TCACCGTTGTGGAGGCAGCTGGACGTAGCTTAATTGGAAATCAAAGTAACTCAAAGTTCAAACTAGTTCAAGCTATTCAAACTGTCCCAGAAGTTCGCTCGAAGAAATCGAACCGGCGAAACCAGCGGTGGCAGGGGCCACAGTTGCAGCAGTTGCAGTGGCGGGAACGCGGATGGATGAATATTGGCTGTTCCGGCTGGTCCCTTTATAACGGGCGGTAGCTTGCGCCACCTAGCTTTGAATTAATTAATTGAGAAAATTTCCTTTTTTCTTCTTTCCGTTTTCTCCCGTACTTAATCCTCTTCCTTCACCTCCTTGCAACTATCACAGGGCAGGTAGAGTACTTTTCAAAAAGACCTTTAAAAAATCGGGCAAAAAAAAAAAAAAAAGGAACCGGCGAACATATAGTTTTTACATTATTTTATTGTTTTACAAATAAAGTTATTTGAATGTTTTATTTTCAACATTATTTTATTGTTCTACAAATAAAGTGACATTAGCGTTTTATTATTAACACTGAAATAATGTTAGTAATGAATCTTCCAAAATCATTATTTTAAAGTTCTATTTTTAACATTATTTGACAATTACATATGTGATGTTACAATAATGTTTCAATATTAACACAGAAATAACGTTAGTAATAAATGTTCCAAAATCATTATTTGAACGTTCTATTTTGAACGTTATTTCACAGTTACATATGTGATGTTACATTAACGTTTCAATATTAACACAGAAATAACGTTAGTAATAAATGTTCCAAAATCATTATCTGAACGTTCTATTTTTAACGTTACTTCACAGTTACATATGTGATGTTACATTAACGTTTCAATATTAACACAGAAATAACGTTAGTAATAGATGTTCCAAAATCATTATTTTAACGTTCTATTTTTAACGTTATTTCACACTTACATATGTGATGTTACATTAACGTTTCAATATTAACACAGAAATAACGTTAGTAATAAATGTTCCAAAATCATTATTTGAGCGTTCTATTTTTAACGTTATTTCGCAGTTACATATGTGATGTTATATTAACGTTAATAACACAACATATAACATTATATGTTTTACTGGAACATTGTACTAATGTTTCAAATACAACTAAAACATAATATGTTAAACTTGAACGTTACATTAATGTTCAGGTATAACACATAACATTATTTAAACATACGCAACAATAAAATAACGTTACTACAATGTTTGGTGCTACCTGGGTACCGCCAATATTGGTTCTACGATGGGCACATTGGCCCAATATTGGACCATTGTTTGCCAATTGGATACCAATGTTGGCCCGACGTCGTGTGCTGTCTGGGATCGTTTTCTAGCCTCCCCACCCCCGAAAAAAAAAAGAGAAAAAAAGTGGGAAAGAAAGAAAATTCTAGCAAGCTCAAGTTGCGAACAAAATTGAGCGGAGAAGCGACTCAGAAGCAGGGTTGCCAGGTAGGTTTAGCTCAAACCGCCAAAATGCCAAACGGTGTAGCCCAAAAGTAGCCAAATGCAAAAAATTTGTATAGCCAAAAAGTAGCCAAAATCCAGCTGAGTGTCAGGGTCCACAAAATTCAAAATTATGCTCTCGCAAGTAGGAACTGGAGCCGGAACTGCATCTAAAGAAGCTTCCAAGAACAGCAACATCTTGAAATGTATATGAAACATTTTATTGGAAAAACACACAAAAAAGTATCGGCATTTTTAAGTATTGACACACGTTTGTGCAGTCACATAGAGTTAACAATCGCTCGTGCAGGGCTGGCTGACCTCATACATCAGTTACGAGTTGAAGCGCGCAAAAAATTCTTCTGTGGGCTTGAAGTCCTTGCAGCACTCTTTCTTCCCAAGGAATGCGAACTTCACAAACAGGATGCTTTCCAGGGTCGAATGGGACAATCTGTTTCTGAGGTCCGACTTCGTGAGGGACACCTAACTAAGCACCCTCTCAACGGCGGCATTTGACATGGGTAGTGTCAAAAGCGCGGTGCCAAGCGCAGGGAGCAACGGGAACATGGCTGCCCCGGAGCTGTTTCTTGCCTCCCTTACAATTTTCCAAGATAGCTCTAAACAATCATCAGACAGATCTCTGATATTCGTCTGGAGAAGCCTGTACTCGGACTCCATGGCCGAGATCACCGAAGTCTGTATAAAAGGCGAAAACGCTTTGTAAAAACTGTCAAAAGAAAACTGTGTGATGCTGCCATGCTTGAGAAACAACAAATCGTTGAGAAGCTGCATGTTCGCAGGGAGGCGTTTCATCACACTTTTGATACACGCAATCACAAACCTCCGACATACTTCCAAGAGCGCAATTCTGTCCTTCTCGCAAAGCGAGGACTGTTCAAGAGTATTCAGAAAAACACTTCCGAAGCCACATGCACGTACATGAAGCACATTCGTTTCCCAGTCCGCGCATTCGGGTGATGCGTAATTCGGCATGATTACTCGTTTCATCAATATCGAAGAGTTGCCCCTGCACGGCTTTGACCTAGATGTAGCCTCCCAATCCACCTCTTTCCTAGGAAATGGTAGGGTGATGAAAAGAAAGGTCAGGGAGGAGGATGCAGGGGCAAGGTCCTTCTTTGTGTGAACTAGGAGGCATAAGATAAGCGACAATGAATACAGAAGCGATGCCATTAGAACTGAATCTAGGTCAAAGCCGTGGTCCTGACGTCATGCCTACGCATCTTCACAGAAAACCTTGAAAGCAGGAATCCGTAAAAAATGGACTGTTGATTTGTGTCCATCCTAAAGTGTCTTTTATCTCTCTACCCTAAAGCAAGCACAAGAAAAATAAATAATAGAGATTTCTGTGTCTTCGTGTCCCCTTATATTGCCCGCAGTCTCAATGTTTGTCATGTTGAATTATTTTTCTCCGTCATGATTTGAAATAGCCCAAAAATAGCCACATAGCCAACCGCCACATTTTGACGCCAAATAAAAAAAGAAGTAGCCCAATTTGGCTATTAATAGCCCAATCTGGTAACCCTGCTCAGAAGGGGAGGAAGCTAAAAACTAGTCTGCACGCACGCACAGAAAAAAAGTTTCCATCCCAAAACGGTTGCCCGCGAGGAGAAGCGATTCAGGAGATAAGCTAAAGAAACAAACACTGTACGCATGTAAACAAAAAAAAAAAAGAGAACTTTTTAGCGCGTTGTAACAAGGCGGAAGTGAAGAGATTAGAAAGGAAGAGAAGCTCTCGCCTCAAGAAGACATCACGGAAGTTCTTTTTAAATGGTTTTACTATATCGAATCACTTGCTATATCGAACTGATCGTAGCGTTTCTTACTGTTCTTATAATTGCATACCCAAGCCAGTAAAACGTCAAACCGCGACCTCGAAGATGGCGGGTCGACGGTGGCGCTCCCTGGCAAAATCGGTGAGTGGCCCAAGTGGCGGTCACGAGAACTAGCGGCGCTGCAGTCGGATCTTGCTTCCCTGTCTCGCGCGTCGTCTGCTACCACCGCGTTGAAAGCTTCCCTTTTATTTTTTTTTTTACTTCCATGTGTACAATAGCAAATATATATATATATATATATATATATATATATGATGAAGTGTAATACGCCACAGAGATCAGAGTCAGCGCATTGTGAGTGTTCTTTCTTTGAGAGTTTGAAATTTATTTTTGTGTGCGTGTTTTCTTGCATTGTGAAGTGTTAGTATGACTCAACAACTCGCCCAAGCTCAAGTATTGCTAGACAGTCCGGAAGTAAGGCTCGACTGCAGCGCTGCTAGTTCTCGTGACCGCCACTGAGCCCACGTCGCAAGCGGAGCTGTGAAACTGAGCTTGCTCCAGCCTCCAGCAACGTTCGGCAGGGGTTCACTCTTTGGGCTGTAGACTTTGTTGCCAACTGATTACAAACAGTTTCATGGTGTCAAATGAATGCTGTGGAAGGTCGCTCCAGCCCCCGCACAGCAGCACGAAACAAATGCTCGGCATAGTTCATTTTTAGACAGCCCGCTCGAACCGCAATCGCCTGCCATCCCGCAACGTCACGGCAACGAAAAGCGCGGGTATATTCGAATCTTGGTTTTGGCGTCATTTTCCATGTCATTTTCCATTTACCGATTTCACAATAACTATTTTAAATTTCGCGATACTAAATAGCATACCAGAAAAAGATGGCGATTTCGAAAATATAGTTAGGTGGGGTTGCTCAAAATAGGCCGACGTACAATTCGCCCTTTCCATCTTTGCCCGCCTCCCCCTTTCTTATGTCCTCCAATCTTTACCCCGCCCCAGCTTGGCTTCCCACGCAGCTTAGGGAAGGGGAGCGTAAGAGGATTATCTTCCCTGCAGAAAACCGAGGTTGTACATCGTCAAACGTGAAAACAGCGCAAAAAATTGAACAAAGGAGCAGTGAAAGAAGTGTGTCCTTTGTTCAATTTTTTGCGCTGTTTTCACGTTTGACGATGTTCAACCAACTAGCCCAACTTACCGCCTTGTTGTACATCGACCTTTAAACTATGCCAGGACTAATACATAACATACTCAGCAGATAAAAATAGCAGATTGCTTCATTTTGTACAAACATACTACTAACACATCACACAGGGGTACACCATCAACACTGTACTCGGAAAGTGCCGAGTTTGTAACCAACGTTCCTTATACTACATATATTGCAAGCAAAGCAGTATTCTCACAGAAGGCAATCCCATCTTGTCACTTAAGTGCAGGTACTCCCAGCAGAGGGAATGCTGCTGCCACAGGAAATACAGCAGGTATAGCAAGTGCTGCACTCTGTTTGGCAACATTGTGGCAGAAAACAAAATCTAGAGCATGCACCAGACTGAGCATTCTAATACCCATTAGCACTGCCCTTTGACGTGTTCGTGCAATCCATGTAAGCAAACCATCTTCCCCGGCAAGCACTTGCTGAGGTACGTTAAAGTATGTCCGGCTTTTTTTCTCGACTCTATAACAAAAAAAGCGATAGTCTATCACAGATGCAACCACAACCAGTCAGAGAAGAATGGATGAGAGTCCAGGGAGAGAACATTGCACGTGTATTGATTGATCCATTGTACAGACAACTTGGGTGGAGCAGGTGGTCCCAGAGGGAGGTGAGGTAGAAGAGCCTTCACGACCTGGTGTACTTTCCCCAGATGTGGAGCATGAAGACGGAGGCAATGAAGAGAAGGCTCATCACCAAAACTGGAACTGGGCCACTGCAAAAAGAGAGGACCCCCAGTTATTCCCCAGAACCGACAGCAGCGTCGGCTCGCGTCTCGAGATTCGACGGGCGAGAGGCGTACACTTTGATTCCGGGCGAGTCGTCCGTGTAGAACTTCCACATGCCACCGCCTGCGGCATTGGGCGTGCGCGTCCTTCCACTGCTGGCGGTCGTGGTTTTCCTGCAAGAGCCCCCAAACATGTACTGCCAGTCAGATTCTCTCGTAATAAAAAAAAAAAAAAAAAAAAAAAAGGACAAAAAAAAAAAAAAAAGGTGCGCACATTTTCTGGTTTTTGATCTCAGTGGCTTGTGAGCACCACCAGCAAGGTCCCTTCTTGCACTACCATTTAAATGATGATGTCCTCAAATCGTACAGTTGGCAGAGATGTCACCAATTAAATGCTCGCGAGCCCCTCTTTTTTGTAACAACGGTGAACAGAAATGATGCTGCCATCCCCTTGGCTTTTAAATGTAACAGCTGTCAACCACACAACATTGCTCCTCCCACTGCTCGATCTCGCGCACGGTAGAATTAACGTGATTTTGCCACCATTCCGGCGGAAAAAGAGGAACCACAAGATGGTCTGTGCAGTCGCCTCATCTCGGAGGCCATGATGGTCATGCGAGGTCGTTTGGCATTCGCTCAACATTACTCCCACACCTCAAACGAATACACAGGATGCTCTCGAGCGCTATTCGGAAATAAACCAATGAACTGAGTGCAATAAATCTATCGCAGTGTTTAGCGTTACGTCCGACGGAACTCGAAATAAAAATTAAAGTAACGTCCTACTGAACTCGAAGTAGAAATGAAAGCTTCATTCAACGACGCACGAAATAAAAGTTCCGTCTTGTGTAACCTCCGCAGCCTTACTGAATGTTTTGCATTACGGCCGATACATGAAGTAAATACAAGAATAACGCGAATTATTACTGCATTACGTCCCATGCAGTATTTGCAAACCGGTTGAAATTGCATCTACATCTATGACTCCAGGTTTGTCGAGGGGCTAGGGCCGTGTTCCTCGCATAGGGAGGCTGCTCAAGCCGTCACATACATTTTCTTTCTTTTTCTTCTTCTCCTTTAAGCAGATTTATTGAATTTTTTTTTTTTTTCTGATCTGTGAACACTTTTTGCTAATACGACACCCAAAAGAAAAGTGAAGTAACATTAACCGAATGGAAACTAAACTGTCAACACACCCCATCCCCACTTTTTTTGCCGCACTTGTTATGCCAGCTTGTAGCCCTTGCTGAGAGCAAAGTAGATTTGGCTAAGGGCAGAGGGTCTTTTGTCATTCTCACACCTAGGCAGCTCCCCAAAACAGCTCTTTATTTAAGACAGTCTGAAAGAAAACACTGCCAAAGCTAGCACCCGTAGAGACTCGAGTGGTGGGTGAAACTTGTGCCAGTTTTTGTATCAGATGTCAGAACGCTAAACTCTGATTGGCTGATTGAAAAAAAAAAAAAAAATAGTGGGTAAACCTCAAGTATGGTGCCTGGAACGCGTCTCCGACTGGTGTGTTTACCGGGTTCAAAAAAGTGGTCCCTCGATTTCCGCCTGATGACGTCATAGAAGTGTCATGCTGTCGCCTGTTGCGACCCTGGCGGCGCCCCAACAGTTGTGGTATAAGTGGCAGACGCCTGTTCTGCTGCAGGTCGCTTTCCACTGTGACAGTTCATGGAAGTTGGAGCAGCCGGAAGTTGGGACGCCTGAAGGGACGTGGTGACGAAAGCGACACTCGCGTTCGCTCGTGCTTTTCGCCAGCATTTCTACGGCCAACCGCCAGGATCGCGACAGGCAACAGCATGACACTCGCGTCATTTGTTGCCACATTGGGACCACTTTTGATGTATGGGCGGGATAGGACGCTAAACACACCAGTCGAAGACGAGATCCAGGCACCATACCTCAAGGCATCTAGCGTTGAGGTCTACTCCACTATCCTTTCAATCAAAGCCAATCAGAGCTAAGCGTCGTAATGACGTCACCGGAAGTCCTGCGCAAGAAGCAGATGACTTGCTCTCCACATATGACCCCAAAGAAGCGGTCGCTTTTGCACCGCGTCCTCATTTCAAGGGGCACGTGCGGGGGGTCCAAGTCTGCGATCGAGCCTTACCTCTGTTTCACGGTGGAGCTAGCGCTTGATCGGGGTGCAGTTGTCTTGGGGGACCTGCCTCCGGCACCGACCGACGTGGAACTTGGTGACGCTGGCTGAAAAAAAGTACAGCCATCAGGAAAGGCCCATGACCGACATGCTGGTTCCCATAACAAAAGGGAGCAGAATCTGGTCTCGGTCGAATCTTTTGCGATCTGATTTTGTCACTTCCTCTGATCGCTTCGGCGACAATCCGAAAAGCAGGTACCGGCAGTGCGTAAGACTACATCTTCCCTAAAACATCGTAGCACTAGGGTATGTAAGCCATCTTTCTTTCTAATGTCACTACGACAAATAAAAACAAAATACAAGTTACTTCTGACGTTCTACTTTCAACAAAGATCAAGGGGTAACTTAGATTCTCGTGACAAATATCTTGTTGTAGGAGCGGCGTCAGGGTCAGGGCGATAGCGACGTTTGATGCGATCTAGCTTACAGGTAGCGAAGTGGCCGAAATGCGGCATCACGACATGGTGCATTAGGTTAATCTTGGCAGTCGGGGATAACAGCACATCGTTATGATGATTTTAGATTGTTTCATGATTGCGTTGTCTTAAAGAATAGGTTAGAAACGGGAGAAAACATCGGTGGTCTTTACCATTGTGACGAGCTGCGAGCCGAGTGAAGGAACTGAGAGAGCGCAAGCTGGCACAACGCACAACGTCACACAAAAAGCGAACACGTTGTTGCCCCCTTTAATAATGTAGGCTTGCTCCTTCGAAAGTGTTGTATCTCTCTTGGCTAAGGGCGCTGCATAACGGAGCATATATACAATCTTTAATTCTTAAACAATCAGTGGTTTGTGATATACAAAAACTTCCGAAATTCGGCAGCATTACATTGTCGTAATTTTATCTTGTTCATTAATTAATACAAAGTTACATTGATCTAGTAATGTTGGCACAAAAGATGTGAAGGTTCTCGTTTTTCTTCGAGGGACGTTCAAGAATTTAACCAATGATAACTAAAACATAGTTACTTGAATTTAATTCGTAAATTTATTAACCATTGAGCGGGATAAATTCTACGGGATTCCGCGTTGTTCCTCAGTTTCGAATGCCGGCAGACCTCAGCGGACCAATCGGCGACGAGCTGCGCTCAGAAGCGCTCTCTCGAGAGTGCGCACTGCTCGTGTGCGCACACCCATGTGCTTTGCGCTCGCCGGTAATGAAGGATCGTAGCGAGGCAAAGCCCAGGTTTTAAAGCGCGTAGTTCCCGTTCAGTGCCCGTCTTCCGACGGACTGGAAGACCACAATGGACCTAATCACAATTCTAGAAAAGACAGTTTCCCCAGGTAAGGCCTTTTTGCGGCTTGGCAACAGCCATCAGCAGCCATTCGCGGTTAGGCGAAAAAAAAAAAAATAATCAGCGTTGCGCTAAGCCTTACCGGCCGAGCTCGCCTCCGCAACGTTTGAATCGGAGCCGGCTTCAAATGCCGGCCCGTGACGACTGTCTCCTTCGACGCGATAAAAAACAACAAACCGAAAACAAAATTTTGGTTTGTCCACGTCCCTGAGTATCACGGGTAGCCGCAGGCGCCGCAGAACATAACGCTCGTGTGCGGTGGTGGTGGGGGGGATTCCTTTCTGCCTTTATGCCCCCCTCCCCCGTTCTCACGACCGGAACATAAAAGAGCGCGCTCGGCGAGACATTTTGTCGATAAACGTGGAACCGGCAGCGTACGTGAATGCATTTCACATTGTCCGCCGCTCAAAGTTCACCTAAAAAAGTCAAAAGAAAGAACAAAAAAACCTCCATGGTTTTGGAATGCCGGGGTATCGCGATAGCCGGCGCCCGTTATCGTGGGAGCAGTGAGCCGGCAAAACTGGCCGACTGATCTTCGAAACGGCATCGTCACTCTAGTTTAATCCCCGTGGATCGTACGACACAAACAAACGAGCACTAAACACGTTTTCGGGTAAACGAACTGCCCGTTGAGGATCGAAGTTCGACCCTCGCGGACGCGTACAAAGCGCGAAAATCCGTTGACGACTGTCGGGAGATCCTTTGTGGAACGCACGGTGTTTTCCCTTTCGTTCCAGACAAAAATGAACTCGAAGCAGCGCAGAGGTACTTGGAACAAGCCGCGCAGAATAATCTGGTGAGTTTGAGGGTTCACCACTGGTAGGTTGTTCGCTTCGTGTATCGTGCGGTGAGTCATCCCTTGTTGACTCTGCGGACGGTGACGTTCTGCCACTCACGGGCGTTTGAAACTTGCGCAGCGGTGTTATGGCTCTCAAATAGCTCTGAGAGTGCTTCCACTAGAAAAATTTATCTCTTCCTTGAAACACCAGATGCGGTGCAAATCGTGATCGCGCATTTGGAACTTGCGTGGAAGTTGTTTTGACGCAGGTTCAATCCATGCTGACCCCTTCGAAACGGGTGCAAATGTGTGTCACCTGTGCTGTTCTCACTCCAAGCTGAATGTCACTAACAGAACAATGATCTTATTTTTTATGTTGGGTGTTGGCTGTTTTGCATGAGCCAGGCTCTGTCAGGTGTGGTGTCGTTTTGGTGTCGCCTCACGATGCAAAAACAAGGTGACCACAGTTTTGTTGTACGACCTTGACCTCGCGAACGCACAGGGACGGGAGTAGTTTTGCACAAGTTTTTTTTTTGTGGGAGTGTTTGCTTCAAGGAAGCATTTCCGAAAGCCACATGCTCATCCACACATTTTTCACACATCTGCACCATTCTACGTCCGACAAGGACAGTAATTGTTTTTGCCAAGAACAAACCACGATCAAAAGTCTCGAGCTGGTGACTTGGGAGTAAACGGTCCACGCGGCGAGACGCTCATAATCAAGCGGTGCTATTCTGTCCAGGACGGCACCATTTGATGAATTATCAAAACATTCCACATTAATAAGAAAATGTCTCGCTCGTTCCAGCACTGGAGAGACTATAAAATAATGCAGTGCTATTTCTTGTGCTATGCGTGGTCACCGACACGGGGAGGAGCTTCAGTTGCCCCTCCTCCAATCTAGTGCGCACAGCTAGAGCTCATGCTCGGGCTTTGGCAAGAGGCTCTGCCATGCTCACTCTGTTAGTTTCACTGACAGCTCAAGGAACGCCTACTGTGATCACACCTGCTTTGCGAGTTGTTCTTGGGCATTCTTATTGCCCGCTGAATAATGATAAAATGCGTGGGACTTGTCACACCCTGCATTTCTTAGCTGCAGCAACTATAAAATAGGTCATTGTTGGAACTATGGGGCCACCAGATTGTGCCTACCAGCTTCCTTGAATATGCTACACTGCTGCGGTAATAGTTTGGGTCGAATGAAGAGGTAGGGTTGATGGAGCAACCTAATTAAAGAGAGTAATGTTAGAGCAGTTCGAAAGTGTGTTTTCATTCAGCAGTACCGACACCTTTTTGCTGCTGTAATAGTTTTACAGTGTATTGCTACCTGGAACTGTCGGAGAATTACGTAACATCTTGAAAAATCTGGGAATTGTTTGGGTTACTCCCAAGAAGTTGACTAAGTCGGGGAAAATGACTGATGAGTGGCGGGGAGGTTCACTGTGAAGCGCGAGAGTGTGGTATGCGTTGACGGTGTTGAAGACGTTTTCCGGTGCACTGAGATACAGTTGCCGAAACTTCGCAGGGCGGTGTAAGCGGCCTCTCAACCCGATTAAACGGGAACGGCCTCTGTTACTCTATCCTCCGGCAAGGACGACACAAATACCCTCGTTTTGGAGATTGGTTCAATGAACCAAGAGTGTTTTTGAACCTCTAGGCCATTCATGCGTGCAATGTAAGTGTGTTCTTTTATTGTGCTTCCTGCAGTTGTGTTTTCCAAACGAAGAAATGTAAGTGACGACGTCACTGCAGAGGAAGCGGTTCTTTAACCTAAGCTGGACTGACCCGATTTTGAGATTATCTCTTTTTGCTTAATGGTTGTTGAGCTTATTTGAAAAAATCTGAGGATCTGGAAGATGTATTTTGTAGGCACTCGACCTTCAGACAAGCACGTTTGTACTTGAAGCTGCCGGCAAAACGTTCCGTCATGCTTGCTAGATGGGTTGTCTAACTCTCAAGAGATGGGCCTGCAGAGAAGGTCCGTTCCGGCGTGTTGCAGAGCCCCCTCCCATGTTTCAGGCGGAGTTCCTCAAGTCGCTGTCGGAAGTGCTCCAGAATGCCGGCAACAGCCCGGTTGCTCGGATGGCGGCCGGCCTCCAGATCAAGAACAGCCTGACCTCCAAGGACGCCGACCTGAGGACACAGTACCAGCAGCGCTGGCTCTCCTTCCCGCAGGACACGAGGGCCTACATCAAGAACAACGTCAGTGGCACTTCTCTCGTCTGGCAGCTCATGGTTGATTGGGGGGGGGGGGGGGGGGGACGTTGGAGGCAAAGCGCCGGCCTGCGGATGCCTAGGTGGCGGGTTCGAATCCCGGCCCAGGTGCCCGCAATCCAACAGAGGCTCATTGCGGAGAAGGTGCCGTGCAACCTCACGGCACCTTCTCCGCGTTTGCGTGTGGTAACAAAATATGTTGGTGGCCTAGTTCATTGAACATCATAAAAAAATATTAGCCAAAAGACTAAAATATTAGCGCGAAATAAGATATTAGCACTAAAGACTAAAATATTAGTGCAAAAGGGGAAGGGAGGACAGGACAGGACTCCCTTGTCCTTTGTCTTTTGTGCTAACATTTTTTATGTACTCTGTGTGTGGGTGCCAGATGCCCTTCACTGGTTTTGCGCATAATACCCCAAATTTGATTGGGGGATGCAGATTCTGTAATGAAGACCGTAGTCGCCTCACAGCCTGCCTGACTCGTAGCTTGCAGCTGGCTCAAGGCTCGTAGCTAGCCTGAATCGGGTCAGGTTAGCTTGCTGCGAAGTAACTGATAAAGGGCATGTTAGTTACCATATTTTTCGGTCTGTAGTCCGTACCCTGTTTAAATTTACCGCACCCGGTAAATTTAAAAATAAATTTAGGTTGAAAAAAAAAATTCTTAGGTGGAGTGCATTTTGTGAATGGTCTGCACGTGGTGCCTAGTCCGCTCATAAAAATCTTGATATGCCGCAAACCTTGACAAATTCCACGCTCTAAGCATCCCAACAAACCCGAAATCACAATCGTGCGTAACTCATTTCCTCGTTAAAAGCGTGTTCAAAGATCTCGACACGCCCTTTTTGGGAAGCATTTTCTTTTGAGTGAAGTGGTCGACAAAGGGCTCATGTCGGCCAGTTGCAAGCGATGGCTTCTCCCGCAATGAAAAACACAAGTCTTCTCCAAATGTGTGCCTATCAGACCCTCTTAGAAACGAGTTATAATAAAATCATTCAGAATCTGCGCGTATTGTAGGGCTTTCATTGGTCCACACAGTGTAGTTTGCGAGAAAAAAAGGGTCCTATGTTTTTCTATTGCCCTGAGATGAATAGGCCGCTTTATAATTTAGGACTTGGTATATCTGAGAACTAACATATTTTAAACAATATCAGATCAAAAACTACCTTTTTCAAAACTGACTTTAGTGCCTCTTTAACTCTCAAAAAATCTTGTATCATTTACAAATCATAATTAACATACCCTGTCATTCACAGTTTCTGTTGCATCTCGTCTTAATGGACGGTATTGAAAAATCAAAATCCTTGTATAGTCGTCACTTGTAGATATTCTGCACCGCGTAAAATTTCAACTTTGAAATATTGCCATCTGCATAGCCCAGTTGGTATAGCTAAGTCGTCAGCGTGCTTGGCTCTCACGCAAAAGGCCGAGGTTCGATCCTTGCCCTCGCTTGTTTTTATCTTTCCAAGAGGTAATAGAAGTTTCTAGCATGTGTGAGAATCACAATTTATAGTTCCAGAACATGTGAGGTCGAATATTTTAGACTTCTAGTAATTTATAATTATTGTAAACAGCTTTACTTTCGCGAAAACTCAGTTTTTTTGGGAATTTTGCGAAAAGTCTGGCTGTTCCGTGCCCCGAAGTGTGGCTGACGTCCTCACCGATATCATACTCGTACGCCAAAGTTGTTTTGCCGTGCGTGGCACAAATCTGGTCCTGTGTGGACAGCCCCTAATCTTAAATATATTGAGAATTTCCAATCCACTATTGCTTAATTGTTGTCTTCAAATTCAAATCTCTAGCCACCAACGAAACGGGAGCAAGATTTTTAAAAAAGTTTGTGCTGCCGTCTGTTGGCAGTGCCACAAACTAAGCGACAAGCGAGCCTGGGTCGTCCAAAACGGTTGAGCGTGTGAACCGGGGAAAGCAGACGAGCCATACTTGTCCCAGAAGGTTTGGGGACGGCTCCACCTAGGCTCAGAGCCGTATATTGGGAGAGTTTGGCCAGTGGGTGTGGCGACGAAAGCGCCGGAGAGGAGAAAAGAAAATGAAAGGGAGGGGAGCGCCGAAGGAGCGAGAGAGGAAGAAGGGAGCAGAGAGGAGACGACCGCCATTTTTTAGCAACGCTGTTGGAGGCTGGTTGGAGAAGAGCACTGCTGAGGCTACGCGTCGTCTGCTACGGGCCGACTTCTTTTTCGCCTGAATAAAAGTCTCTGGCCATACGCCAGAAAAATCTTCATTTATTAGCTTTTTAACCCAACGAGGAATAACAGAATGTCATTTTCTTGCCAGAGCCAGCGATATAAAAGGCAATAATCGAGATTTAGATGCCGATCCCACGCATTCCGCCGGGAGAACAATCGAAGATGGTGGCCCTCCCCACTTAGGTGGGAGCAGCCGGGAGTTCACGCGCATGCGCTCATGCCTCTTGCTCTATGCCGCGTGCTGATTGGCTCACTTGGGAGGAGAGCGTTACGGTGGCGAGATCATAGACTGACCAAACTCTCCCCATATAAGGCTCTGCCTAGGCTCATCCGAAACAGTTACGGTGTCGACTGAGACTCCGGATGCGCGTCACGGGATTTCCCGGCGGTCGATTTAACTCTCAGTCCGAAGTGGGACGCCCAAGATTTACCTTGCCCGTTTCTCGCCGCCCAGATCGTGTCCGCCCTGGGCACGGAGACGATACGTCCCAGCTCGGCGGCGCAATGCGTGGCCTACGTGGCGGTGGCGGAGCTACCGCAGATGCAGTGGGCTGACCTGATCGGGCAGCTGACAGGCCACGTCACCAACCCGAGCTCGACGGAGATGCTCAAGGAGGCCACCCTGGAGGCCATGGGCTACATCTGCCAGGACATCGAGCCCGAGGTGCTCGTGGGCCAGTCCAACGACATCCTGACGGCCATCGTGCACGGCATGCGCAAGGACGAGCCCTCGGAGCACGTCAAGCTGGCCGCCACCACCGCCCTACTCAACTCGCTCGAGTTTACGCGCGCAAACTTCGAGAAGGACTCGGAGCGCCACTTCATCATGCAGGTAGGTCCCTCCTTAGCGTCCCTTGGTGCCCGGGACGGGTGCCTGCTTTTAAAAGGATGGTCCCACGGTTTCTGCCCGACGACACTGTAGACGTCATCGTCGGGCGAGATCCTGGTAGTAACATCCAGTGGTGGTGGATGTGGTGGACGCCTGTTTTGCTGATGGTCACCCTCCAGCTTGACAATATGTTGTCGGTATGGTCAAAGTTACGATTTGCGGCGGGTGCAGCGTGCAGTTAGCTGCTTCATGGTTTGTTCAGAAATAAGCGGATGATATGAATGGCTCGTTTAAGTGAACAAATAACCCTTTATTTCATCCTGAAATGTCGTATGTAATCGGCAAAACCAAAAGGTTAAAAAACAACTTTCAGCTCCACTCTGGTGAAGAAGGAAGACCAGCAAAGCTGTACGCTCGTCCCGTGTGTTTCTTCCTTGTCCTCGTCTGTTTTACACGCTGTTTCTTACAATGAATTCTCACCAACTTGCCCAACTATCCATTCTTCTATGATAGCTGGAAAGGTTGCCGCCATCTACGGGCGATGGCGGCAACCAGACTGGTTGCCATCGTTGCTCATAGATGGCGATAGCTGTCCAGAGTTCTGCATAGTTTTGTGTCGACATTTGTTTGCTACCAGACACGAAATGGGGAAACAGCTCCGCCGTTAAAACCTGAGGAGGGGGGGGGGGTTGGTGTGCGTTTCTGGGTGAATCTGCCGAGCGGTATCGACAGATGCCAAGTAGTTTGTATTTCCAAGCTACTAGTTTTTGACAAACCGCCATCGTTTGACTCTAAGAACTGCAAATATGCTGTCAAAGCGTTAGGGCGACACCTACATTTGCAACATAGGCGCGTCGCAGTACGGGGCCTGAGCGCGGCATTCGGGGAAGACGCCAAAGTCGGAAAATGTGACTGACCTAATAATTAGATGGGCTAGAATGGAATCGAGTGTGTGTCACTTTACTCTTGCGGTCCCCGACGAGGTAAGAGGGAAGATCACCAGCCGTCCCGCATCCTGCGCGAGCTTCCCACCTTCATCGACGCCTTGGGATCTTGTGCACCTTGAGCGTGCGAACATAGCCAAGAGACAACGAAAGACGCGTGCTGGAGGCCGCCTGTCTGAAAGACGCGCCGTCCTTATTCCGCAAGGGACTATAGAGACTGCACTCTGGAACGGCTTCCAGTAAAAGGTTCGAGGCAGACGTTTTGAGTGCATCGCCGACGGTGGTTCTTCCCTTTCGCCCGCAGGTGGTGTGCGAAGCGACGCAGTCCGCCAACACCCAGGTCCGCGTGGCGGCCCTCCAGTGCCTGGTGAAGATCATGTCACTTTACTACCAGTACATGGAGCACTACATGGGGCCCGCCCTGTTCGCGGTGAGTGACTGCGACCGCTGCGGGTGCCTGAAGCGCGACTGCCCACTGAGCTGGATCCCTGAAGTGGGGGAATGCCTGCCGAAACAGACCTCTGGAGTTGCCTTCCGTCTCCCGCAGATCACGATGGAGGCGATGAAGAGCGACATTGACGAGGTGGCCCTTCAGGGCATCGAGTTCTGGTCCAACGTTTGCGACGAGGAGGTCGACCTCTCCATCGAGGCATCCGAGGTGAGCTATGTCTGCCTTGCGTCTGTATCGCGTCCTCTTGGGAGTGCTTCGAAGGCCTACCTTGTTACCTCGAGTAAGGCTGCCGATGGCCATCTCGTTGGTAAATGAGCCGCCGAATCGTTCCTGTGTGCCACATAACAAAGCGTCCAACTGTAGAATAGAGCTTTCCAATTGGCTGATGTAGGCCATCCTGAAGCCGACAAAAGAAAATAATGGAGAAAGCATGTGAAGGTCCAATAATTCCTACACCAAATAAACCGTCTGTGTGGGGTCCAACAGCATTTACAAACCTTGAAATGATTTGTGTACTTCGAAAGGAAACCCTACGCTGTAATTGTAATGCTTCTCATGAAGCTCAAACACAGCCAATATTTTGGCGACTTACTTATTAAAATTTTTTCATCTATACTTATGCGAAGTGCAAGTTTGTCTGCTTCTAGCGCAGGGGTTGCGACGATGTCGGAATGCCGAGCTCTTATTGGCTGCTTGAAAAAAATAGTGGGTAGATCTCAAGGCATCTAGCATTGAGGTCTACCTACTACCCCTTCAATCAGAGCCAATCGTAGCTCGGCGTCGTTCTGACGTCACCGCAACTCCTGGGCAAGAAGCAGATGAATTGCTCTCCGCATAGGCTAATCCATACCTTTTTGTTGGAATTAAGACAAAGCTATCCCCGCTTATAAAGACCCGTCACATTGAATACTGGAAGGTGAACGTGTGCAGAACGAAGTTCCCATTGATATGTTTATTGATGTTGTCATTCTTCGTGGTTCGAAGCTCTTACTTGTATAAAAATGTTGGTGTTTATATAGGTTTTTTTAAATGTCCACTTTCACACTGTTTTCCTGAAGCACTTTCTGCCACACTAAGGCTGTAAGGGGGTCGAGGGCTCGCCAAGCTTCCTGTGGGAGCTTCTTTCCTCGGTTTCTGCCATCGAGTGATGGAAATAAATGGATTAATATTAAACCCGTGCTCTTCGGTACTAATATGTACGTGTGACAGTGGGTTCCTGTGTTTTTGTTCGTGATCGGCACACGCGTTATAGGTTCCTTGGACAGGCAAGTCTGTAGTGGGTTCCGGCATGTTCATTGCACCATAAAATTTTAATCTGTGGTATTGATTCGTGTAAAACGCAAATATGCTGCGTCCGCAATCTGGTATCCTCTCCCTTGATGCAGCCGAATTTGCTATGTACGCAATCAGTGCCATCAGTCTCAGTGTCAAGTGGTTTGTAGCGGGTGCCGGTGTGTTTATCACAAATTGTTTTAATTGAGTTTTGCTGCCGCATCCCCAAAGGTGTCCCACCCTATGTTTTTTTCCATTTATCTTTTCTTCATTTTGCGCGGGCGTCATTACAGGATTTTACAGAACCTGAAAGAGTTACCATCAGCGATACTTGCCGAGCACATACTAAGCTTGTTGTAGCAATGATTTTACTCTGTGGGGTCCAAACACAAAAGAAAAAGCTTTTTTTAAAGATCAGAGTGTGTTGCACATTGAGAACTCCGAATTCGTAAAGTCCAATTCGTCGTGCATCAGTCCGGGGAAGGCGGTCGGGCTCCTGTACGCCCGTCTTCCTCATTAGATACTCAATGAGTTCATACCCTCTGTGAATTCGTGTGGAATCCTCGTAGAGAATTGGTTCTGAAATTCAGGTCTCCACAAATAACTTGGACCTTGCACATCCCACGACAGATTATGTGCAACGGCGTTAACATGGTGGACGTTATCTCATGCCTTGCAATCTCTGAGATCTTGAGGACCTCTGTCGGCTACCAGGCAGCAGTAGCACGCATTCTTGGGAGCCCAGAAGGAGCAGACCTAAAAAGGTGCTGCATTGGGGACAAGACCGGCAGAGCGGGGAAAAAATAATCTTCATAAATATACGAAAGAGTCAGACGAAGAGGACGGACAGGACAAACATCTTTCGGTAATAAATTCAAAAATATACGAAAGAGTCAGACGAAGAGGACGGACAGGACAAACATCTTTCGAAAGATGTTTGTCCTGTCCGTCCTCTTCGTCTGACTCTTTCGTATATTTTTGAATTTATTACCAACGCGCTCAATCCAAATTTAAAATAATCTTCATGCATTAGTCACCGATTTGACAGATTCAGCGGGCACCTACGCTGCAAAAACTGACGTAACATGTGGCGTTGCGTACGGAAATGATGGAAACAACTTGGGAGTTCCCTCAAGGTCTTCTTTAAGGCTTCATTGGCAAAGTATTTTTTTCCCCTCGTACTTTCAAGGCTTGGAGGCATTACAAAAAGGAGCGGTTGTAGCAGGTGAATTTGTTGCAATGCTTCTCGAAGTTTATGGCTTCAGAGACGGCAACGAACGAGACGGAGAGGTGGTTCCAGTCGTTTGATGTTTTGGCATGAAAAATCAAAATAAATGTCTGTTCAACAGGCTGGTGTCTTAACCGTAAACTGATAACTGGTGTGAGATGGCACAGGCCGTAAAACAGCGGACAAGCGCCCAGTCAAAATATAGTGATAATCATGAAAAGATGGGGGATGGACGCTTGTCGAGCCATCAATTTTGCATATCAATGTACTGTGAATTTTTTCTCGGATCTTACAATTTTGGGAATGGGTGCTTAGTGTGGAATAGGTGGATGAGCGGTATTCTACAGTATGATTGGTGAAAGTGAAAGAAGCAGTTGATCTTTAGGAATCGTAAAAAAAACATTGACGAAGATAAGGTAAGCAGAGGGTTGATTGCTTTGATGAAACGCTGGCCGTACGGGAATAATTTGATAGGATTAAACGGGTGGTGCGGATCTGAATTGATTCGAGAAAGTTTGATAATGACCCAAGATCCAAAGTTGAACACTAACACTTTATATAGTCATAGTTTAACGGAAACAGTGGTAGAGATAAAGTATGCTTTGGTGCAATGATAAATGCACTTGCAATGGATTAAAAACATTCCCGTTACAACACGGCTGTTTGCGACATAGCATTGTGTCCTTGAAAGTCTTTGCAAACCCTCAAAGTTTTGTCTTTGAGTGGTGTGCGAACACTTTGCTGTTGTTCTTGCAGGCAAGCGAACAAGGGCGCCCTCCGGCCAGGACGTCCCGCTTCTACGCCAAGGGGGCTCTGCAGTACCTCGTCCCCATCTTGGTGCAGACCCTCACAAAGCAGGTCAGGCCCTTTGCTTGTTTTGCATTTTTATCTTTTCGGTGGGCCAAGATCTATAGCCTAGGTTCAGGGAAGTTAAAGGGACACTGAATAAATTTTTCTACTTTGAGGACACTTGACTATTGCAGGCAGCACCGACGCAAGTAGTGCAAAATGCAGCACAGTGGGGAAGAAACGAAACGTCAATGTGTTCGGCTGCTACACGCTTTGTTTCTCGGTTTGGGTGGTTGACTCCAGTTTAGTCACTCTGTATTCCGTGAAAAAGCATGTCTCGTAATTTTGGAGAAATGTCTAGGCAGCATAATGAACTTTGTTTTAAGAAAGGACCACTTTTAGTAAAGAAATGGAAATGTTTTAGGTGTCTGTCGACATTTAGCTAGAAAGGAAACCTTACCCCTTTTTGTCGGGATCAGCTTTTGTCCCCACCATAGTGAAACTCCTAGGCAGTGAGGTCATTTCTTTATTCAAATCTTGACCGTATTGGCATCTTTGCTAGATACCGATAACTGAGAAGCATACTTCAGCTTTCTCTTGCTACACTAGTCCATCGAGAGGTCTCGCTATTCGGCCATGATGGAGAACAGGGGAAAGGGGTGTAGGCGCTAGCTTTCCCTGTGATGATAGGTTTAAAGGAGCTGTGCAACGATTTTAACGTTGAAGGAATTGGCATTTTCTGCTTTTGATATTGTTCACTGTGTCACAAATGGCAGAAAACACACCTCTTTTCATCGCAATGTTGCGATTCCGCCGCGTAATAGCGAGGCAAAACTTGGAATATTTCCCGACCTGCAGCCACGAGCGGCGGCCATGAGAAACAAGCGGCGTGACGTCACTTGGGTCGTTGTAAGAAAGATAGCAAGTTGTGCGAATACCTGCTCGATAAAAGGTAACTCTTTTTACAAATCTTGTCGTTCCAACATATATATAAATGCGTCAACACCCTGGTATCATCGACAAAACTTTTATTATACGGAGTTTTAGTGGCGCCATCTATCCTAGGTCCACAAAACCGCGAACAGCCGCCAGAAGCCGGAGGGGGAGGGGGACAGCGCCACACTGGCAAGGACGGGTGGTCACGCGGTCGGCAGCGGATGAGTTCTCGCTGCTCGCTGATGGCTCTAAAGAGAGAACTTTTCCGGAACTCCGCGCCTACTCTAGTGACGTCACTGTGCACGTGACCCGGAAGACGATGCACGAGTTGAGAGGCGGCAAAAACCTGGATCTTTTTCATTTTTTTAAGTAAAAACTAGGGTATCCAGGCAAAATCTGTTTTCTGTAGTTCACTGCAGAAGTGTCAGGCATCAACTTCCACAATTATTTAAGCAAAGCCCTGAAATTGTTGCACAGCTCCTTTAACTTCGCGTCATCTGCCGCATACAGTTCAACGAGCGCGATCTAAACCGTGTTTTTGTGCTTTCGTAAGCCATGCACTTCCTGGAAATTGCGTATTTTGTGGCGTTTTTGCTGTTTCTGGGTCGCTTTCTTAAGGCCCCCACTTGCAACCGAGTACGACCGAGAGAGACGAGACCTGTTGAAACGTCTTAAAATTTGTTAGGACGAAAGAACACACTGGCACGCTGGCACCATCTATGCGGTGGCCCTGGAACTGCATTTCCCAAGAGCGAAGGTTTTGCGGGATTTCCGAGGTTAAATGTACGTAATATCTATGAGAAAGGCATGCTTATAACGTTGACAAAAGTTTTTCGAGCCAAGAAAGAAAGGATAATGCGCGAGAGAAATAAAAAAATATGCCGGACCATCAAGTTTACTATGCTACCCAATAGATGGCACCAGTGTGCTCTCTTGTCGTAAGGAACATTAAAGGGCAACTCCGCTTCATTTTTTAAATTTAGAAAGCTATGTAGCTCTCTACATAGTTTTGAAGGCGGGGTTGTCTCTACATAGAACGGCAGGGTTGCCGCTTCAGAACGGCAACCCCGCCGTTCTGAAGCGGCCCGAAATGAATTCCGGCCGCTTCAGAATGGCGGGGCATGCACGTGGACATCGGCGATCCCGAAGGGCCTACATTGCTGGCGATGCCTTAATATATACAAAGAAGCAGCAAAACGTCACTTGTAACGTCTGTGCTTAGATCCTTTTTAGCTTTTTAAAAAAACGCCGGCCTCCTGCATTGCGTAAAAATGAAGCCGACGAGCACTGAAGGCGACTTCAACTCGTCGCGGCCAAACGAACGCGCCTGACCTTTCGTCTGCTTTCTTTTTCGGATGTCGGCACTCGGTATTTGCCGCGTTGTGCTCCCTTCTTTACCGGTCCCGGTCTGCCGTGGCTTCCAGGAGGAGCACGACGACGAGGACGACTGGAACCCGTGCAAGGCGGCCGGTGTGTGCCTGATGCTGATGGCGAGCTGCTGCGAGGACGACATGATTGCCCACAGCCTACCCTTCGTCAGGGAGCACATCAAGCACCCCGACTGGAGGTACCGGGACGCGGCAGTCATGACCTTTGGTGAGTCAAAGTGGACCCTCGCCAGGTGGTTGAGGAGTTGGGGGAGGGACGCAGTCCTTCGAAAGTTTGCCTCAGTGGCGCTGGGGGTTTTGTTTGCCTCTGGGGCGCAGAGTGGATTTTTTTAAAACTGGCGGTCCCTGCCCCAAGTCTTTGGGGTGTTGACACGAAGCTCTGCGATGTAAAGCCCCGGTATTTTCGTGTTCCCTCGCGAAAGGGCAGAGTTGGCCAGTGTATTTGGTGTGAACACTGTGCATTCACGTTTCTGTGCAGCACCTGTAACTCTTGGAGACAAGAATGTGGTCCTGGTTTTCTTAAAAAAACAACAAAGGCAATTTCGGGTATTTTTTTTTTTTTTTTGCAATTGAACTGGGTTTTAGGCACGTCCCAGGCAATGTTGCCCAAATTTCAGTCGAAACCGGGCAAGTCAAGTCCTAAAGCGCGAAACACATGTACGACGAAAACCTTCCGATCCGACGTGCGGACTGCCGGAATGACCTTGTGGGGAGAGGGTTTTCGTAGCATCGGAGAGCTTTGAAAACCCTCGCCTCCGACCGTCGTATTGCGCGGTCGGACGTCGGATCGGACGGTTTCGTCGTACATGTGTTTCGCGCTTAAGACCCTCCATTTGAACTTTAGCTTCTTCCTCGTTGATTTCTGCCTTAAAATCTGCGGTTTGCTGTACTTCCAACGACCATACAACTGCCGAGCAGGATATGGCAGATGACTCTCCCACTCTGGCTTGCTCTCCGATCCAGCCAATCCAGCCAGAATGTCAGGCTCGAGCAATTTGCATCCTTCCTAGGAACGGCGTCGGGTCAAATGAGTCCGTGCTCTGATGCGGTGTGCCATTTCCGGTTCCCGTGGGCAACCCGTTTACAACGGCTGGGAAATCTTCCTGCGCGTAGGCTGTCTCCTGGAGGGCCCAGACCCAGCCATCCTCAAGCCCCTGGTGGAGCAGGCCATGCCCACCCTGATTGAGCTGATGTCGGACGAGAGCGTGGTGGTCCGCGACACAGTGGCATGGACCATCGGCCGCGTGTGCGAGATCATCCCAGAGGCGGTGGTCTCGGAGAACTACCTCGGGCCGCTGCTCCAGGCCCTGGTCAAGGGACTCGGAGCGGAGCCGCGCGTTGCGGCCAACGTCTGCTGGGTGAGTCGGCAGAGCGGAACACTCTGGACGACTCTCGACGTTCGGAGATGCGCGCGTATCTCAGAACGGCGTGTTTACTGCATCCCCAATCGTGGTCCCGCTCGTTGCGATCCTTGGCTCAGTGTAAACAGCGAAACTTGTTGCTAAATGAAGTGATTAATAAAATGAATAAAATGCTGTTACGAGGGTCTCGGTGACTCCGACATCAAAATTAACATTGGAGACGTGCTTAACTGTGGTGCCAGGGGCGATTCCCCTATTGCGACCCGCAGAATTGTTCCCCAGTTTTTAAAGTGCGAGTCTTCGTTCTGGAATGTAGAGGTAATATTTGAGCGTCAGATACGTGAACTGCCGCCGTAGATTCGTTTAACGACGCCGTTTGGAATTTTTGTTTCGCACCTTCGACGCCGCGGCATAACAGACAGCTACCAATGCGTGCGGTTCGCACGCGTTGGTCGCTCTGCGGACGGTCGACGAAAACCAAACCGGGCACAAGTTAGGACGATGCGACGACAACGACCTTTGTGTCCGCTCACCATTTTGCCGGCGTTCCTACGACCAATCGCCGGGAATGCGACATCCAACAGCACGACGCAGCGACCCCCGTGACGCAATTTGTTGCCGCTTTGTGACCGCTTTCGACTTGTGGACGAGACGGGACGCCAAACGCGCCATTTGAGGACACTTTACGGCGGAGTGATCTGAAGACTTTCGGGGGGCGACTTTGCACTCGACGCAGGCGTTCAACAGCCTGGCGGAAGCGGCCTTTGAGGCGGCGGAAACACCCCCCGACCGCACAGAGCCGGAGACCTACTGCCTGTCGGAGTACTTCCAGGGCATCGTCTCCAAGCTGCTAGAGACCACCGAAAGGTGAGCTTGGTTCCGCAGACGTCAAGGGAAGCAGACCTCTAGCCTGGTCTTTTTGAGCCCTTTAAGATGGACCCTCTAGTACCTATGTACTAAGGAATATCTGAGAATTGTGTACGATAAACCTACTGTCGGTGCACACGATAAACCTACAGTCGGTGACTGATTAGAAAACCGGCAGATACTCTGCCTCGAGCGCAAGCTTTCTTCCTTAGATAACAATTTGTGGCACGTGCCGACAAAGTATAGTGGAAGCTTCGTCTAGGTTCTTAACCCGTCGCCGACCGTAGGTAGCGGGTTCGAGTACCGTCCGAAGTGCTAGCATCTCGAAGGAGGGTTGCAGAGAATGCGACGCGCAGCGGGGTTTTGTCGTACGTGGAGATCCCCGGCACGTCTGAGTCAATCTCTGGTACCTCAGCGAGAGCGCGCTCGTGAGATCACTCCGGAGAGACGGCGGTCATTCACGGAGAGGCGGGGCGGTCCTCCGGCTTGCGCAGGGTGGATGGGGGCCAGGCGAACCTGCGCAGCGCGGCGTACGAGGCGCTGATGGAGCTGGTGAAGAACTCTCCCCGGGACTGCTACGTGTGGGTGCAGAAGACAACCATGATCATCCTGGAGCGGTTGCAGCACGTGCTGGCCCTGGAGGGCCACATCCAGAGCAGCTCGGACCGGGCCCAGTACAACGACCTGCAGTCGCTGCTCTGCGCCACCCTGCAGAGCGTGCTGCGCAAGATGACCCTCGAGGACGCCCCCAAGATCTCGGACGCGGTGGTCACCGCCCTGCTCCAGATGTTCAGCTCTAGTAGCTGCCGCTCTGGAGGGGTGCAGGAGGACGCCCTCATGTGTGCCTCCACCCTCGTCGAGGGTGGGCAAAGCCTTTGTTCGACTTCTTGGCGCATGGTGGCTCGAACGCGTCTCCAGACTGGCGCGTCCTAAAAAGTGGTTCCTCGTTTTATACTTTTTGCCGGAACTTCAACAATCAGTGTCCAGAGTCGCGACACCCGACGGCATGACACGCCGACGCTTGTGACGTTGTCGTCTGTTGCAACTTTGGGATCCCTTTTGACGCATGAACGGTGCGGGACGGTAAACACCAGTCGAAGCCGTGTTCGAGACGCCGTACCTGCGGTGCATTCGCGACTCTTTCAAAGCATACGAGGCTGCTCGCAGCGTCCAACGCGCGAGGTGGGGTGTCACATTGCATCAAACCTTGGAGGGGTTAGGGCATGTTGTATGTTTTTGTGTTTACGCTAAATTTTTTTCGAAAATGGCACGATGGTCTTGTGGGTAAATCGATTATTGTGCAGGACCCTCGTGTCCACCCCGTTAGGCCACCAGGTTCGTTGGGTAGGCGACATCATTCACCCAATGCGCGGCGTCCCGTTCCGCGTGCTCTTGAGTTTCGAGGTGCGGTTTCAAGGTAATGACATTGAGGGGGTGGTTGTTATCGAGAGATGTTGCAGGCCGGTAATTTTGACCTAGACCCGCTGGCGACCAGCTCCAGGGACGATGAGATCGTCACGGACGAACTGGGCGTCGTCCTCAACGATGTGGCACGTGCATGCAGGGTGGAAGGTTAACAGGCAAGGGGGCGAGAGCGACAGTAGCGTTGGGTGTAGCCAAGTGACGTGAGTTTGCGGCTATACTTGGTCGTACAGTGGCGGCGAGCATGGGCGCGCCCAGAAGGAAAGAGTGTTCATGATAACGTGGTTTGGGATAATGCAGTTTTGGGAAGTTTTTGGCTCCAAAGATTCGTGTCCCCCCTTAAGGGGGAACACTGGTCTTGGAGCCTTTTTTCTTATTTTATGACTGAACCCAGAGAAACCGCACAAGCTTGTTCAGCTTTTTGTGCTGATTTCATATTTCTGGTCATTTTCTTAGTCAGTAGAATTGTCCTCATGAGAATTAAAACTTGCCTGCCTGTGTTTGGAGCAACGATAGGGAAAGAACTGCCCAACAAAATATCCTTTTTAACACATGGCTAGATACTATGAACTGTAGAGAATACAATGTTGGAAGTATTCTTAAGATAAACCCATTTTTGGTGATTTTACCACACACTGAAGTTCAGTGCTCAATTTAGGGCTAACAAGTAATAAAACAAAATATCCAATACAAAATTTTCTAGGCTTATATTAAAAAATCTACTCTCAACATTGTATGCATCACACATTTAGCTACACATTACAGGAAAGGTTGTATTTCTATCAGCGCTAGATACTGAGATAGCCCTCCTGCAAATTTTCAAGGAGTCCCAAAATTGTGTTTTGTGAAAACAATGTTTTAGAGTCAACTTCAATACACATTCAGCCCGCATAGACATTATAAATTGATTTATAGCTCAAATATTCATCCACAAAATTAGAAGCCTGGTAGATTCAGAAGAACAGCAGCCATTGCCATTTTCAAAAGAATGCAGTTTTAGGAAGTTTTTGGCTCCAAAGACCCATGTCCCCCCTTAAATGGGTGCTGAACTGAAATTTTGAGCTCACAAAAGAAGGCTGGGGTGAGAGGCGGGACGTTGCAAAACCGAGAAACATGACTCATACAGCGACATCTCTAACGGATGGCCGTATTTTTGTCGCAATTTTCATTCCCTCTCCGCTTCGTTTGTCTGCTCGAGGAGGTGAAACAAAGTGGGGTTACTTCCCCTCCTCAACCGTTCGAACCGGGACGTCGTATTCCTCACTTGACCGCACCCTTCTTTTCCAAAGATACAGCCATCCGTTTGAGAAATCGATGTATGAGTGATGTTTTGGAGTTTGTAGCGTACCGTTCAACACTTCTGCGACCTTATTTTGCAAAACCCAAATATCGGTTCAGCATCCTTTGAGGGTTCTATGCAGTGTTGTATACAAAGATTGCATGCTCCACTCAATGGGCTGCCTGGCATGTTTAAAAATTCAAAGTCTGTGCGATTGTATGCGAGTGTGCAACATTGGGTAGAGTGCAATGCACATTGAGGGAAAAAAATTTTTTGGGGTTCTGCTTTGCATTGCAGCTAGTTTGAGTGGGAGTGGGCATTGGGCCTTGTGTTCTTTTATTTAAGTCACTGTTGAAAGAATTCACATTAAGGATTTTTGTTGACAGTTACACTATATTAACAATTTTCTTTCTTTAGTGGTAAATATGTAGCTTGGCAGCTTGACATCTCGCTGTGTGAATGTCCAACAGCAAGTTTGGCTCTTGTATGGGCGTGTGTGTGCCGTGATGGGAGCTCGAGCGTTGGGCCTGAATATCTGTTGCAGTGCTGGGCGACAAGTTTGTCAAGTACATGGACGCCTTTCGGCCGTTCCTGGAAATTGGTCTCAAGAACCACGCCGAATACCAGGTAAAGCTTCCCTTTGCATAGCTATGGGACGTTTTGGGATCATAACGTAAAGAACTCGGTGACCAAGGCCAATGCACATACATCCGCATTGCAGTCCACGCCCATATGACGTGGCTTTTAAGAATCGTTTCCACTTGCACGTCTTTTGCAGCAAGGGTGGCAACTGGTTCACCGCGATAGCTTTGACGTTGGGTGGTTTGGGCTCCCTTCGGAGCCCAAGCTTGCACCGAGGGATAGGAAATAATGACGTCTGCCCGTTTGCAGGTGTGCTCTGCGGCGGTGGGGCTGACGGGAGACATCTGCCGCGCCCTCGGATCCAAGGTGCTGCCCTTCTGCGACGACATCATGACGATGCTGTTGGAGAACCTTGGTGTGAGTGTCTCTCCTCGGTATCTACAGCAATAGCCGTTGTAGAGACTTCTGGGTGAATTTGCGGCTTCAACGTTGTGCCGGGCAGAGAGCTCCATTTTGTGCGTGCTCGCGCGTGGTCTGCCTGCTGACAGCAGACAGAGCACTTGGCTCTTGCCAGGCAGCAGTGTCTGCTACCTGCACGGTTGCCACTGTTCGCCGCTGAGTTCCTCACCGTTGGACCCTATTTGCATTTACTTTCTGATGTAAAGCAACCCCTACCCGTAACGGTCTTGATTTAGTCTTGGGCAGGAATTTGTGTGCAGTCTGCTCCCTTTCGTATGTGCTTCAGCGACCACAAAACTGTTGCGTGCGATCGAGTAAGTGAAGAGTGGATATGCATGGAAGGGCATGTTACCGTGTGCAATAACAGCCATCGCCACCACTTCCATGCTCACTTTAACAAAAGGCTTCGTTTTTTGTTTTTTCTCTTGCTGGGCAGTTTTTTTTATTGGGTACCTTCCTCCCTACTGCAGAACAACAACGTGCACCGGTCGGTGAAGCCCCAGATTCTGTCGGTGTTTGGGGACATTGCCCTGGCCATTGGGCCGGAGTTCAAGAAGTTCCTCGACATTGTCCTGCAGACCCTGGCACAGGCCTCGGTCGCGTACGTGGACAAGGTGCGTCGCGAATCCCTTCTTTGAAACCGGTCCCGAACTCTCGTCCGAAACGTCGGTACATTCAGTGTTGTTACCACCGAAGTGCATCTGAACTGATAAAAACGACAATTCACTATAGTTTCTTATGCTTTGTTCAGAGTTCAGCTACTTTCTTTTTCAGGAAAGGAAAGATTGTCTTCTTTTTGGGCAAGGAGAGCAATGCCTGCGCAGCTTTTTCATTGCTTTTAATATCGATGCCCGTCATCGTAGCATTTTCTTGACACGGGCCCGAACGGTCTTTGAGTAACTGGTAGCATTCATTGACTCTAACAAAAAACCTTATCAACTGCAGAACGACTACGAGATGGTGGAGTACCTAAACGACCTGCGGGAGGGCTGCTTGGAGGCCTACACCGGCATTCTACAGGGTCTCAAGGGGGACCAGAGCTGCCCCAGTGGTAAGGAAAGACTTCTGGGTCTGGAGTTGACGAGGGAGCAATTTGCGTCCTTGCAAATTGCCCCCTCGTACGTCGTGCGAACGGCAGTCTGCCGACATGTTGGAAGAGTACAAATTTACAAAGGTGCTAGGAGCATGCTCTGGGCACTTGCGTGTGTACTTGCATCTGCGGCGAGCACGGTCTGTTTTGTGCGACGTGGAAGCAACGTGACTTGGCCTCGAGGCTTGCCTCGTTGAACGTTCCCTGCCTTGCTCGAGCTGCTGGCAATGAACTGCCACATATTGTGGTCGATTCACGCCGTCGACTCGTCTCGTTGTACGGATGCTGAAAGCTCGTTTCTGCCACGTGGCACGGTTGGGGGGGGGGGGCATTCTGTCGCTTTTTCTGCGGGGGGAGCTGTAGTAGTTTTCGTCGGGTTGTTATCGGATGCCGTGGCGTTCTTTGGGCCAACCCTACGCATTGTATGCGTCGGTGGCTTGGTTTGTTACCGTTGAAGTGGGTGGGGCATGCCTCTGTTCTGTGCCCATTTCGGTTATCCGTTTGGTGGGTCGTGCACCCAACAAATGTGACACGATACGATAGCTTCTCAACGGCGGCAAATGCAGTTACCATGTGTTTTGTTATGTTTATGTACGTATTTTGAGAGAAATATTTGCATTGCAGTGGTGATACAACAAATGTCGGTTAATCATGGGGTGCCTTCGAGATGTAGACAGTTAATAAAAAAAAAAAAGATGTGAATTAATTTAAATGAAATAAAAAAAACTTTATAGATGTAAAAAAAAAATATATAATTTTTATGGAGCACCTAACCAATCTCATAAGGAGACTTCTACACAGTACAAGAGAGTACAAAAGGCTCTTGCCATTGAACAGCAATCCGTGCAGCAATTTCTACAGCAATTTTCGTGGGTAGCTTTTTTGAGGAGGAATATCAGGATCAACTCGCAGAGAATGTAAACAAAATATGTTTTTCAGAAAATCAAATATTTTATGTCTAGGGCCCTTTCCTTTGCGATCTGCAGTTATATTTTGCCATAGACTGTTTTTAAGTGCTATAAATAACTCTCTCCAGCTCAAGAAATGCAATATTAAAGTATCATTTCTCGGGGCTGTATTTTTTGTTTTTGCTCAACGAGCTGGTATCCTGGCAACCATTTCTAACGGTTTCGTTCTGCTCATTTTTTGTACCTTGTTACGGTGAATTCCCTTGGCTGTTTTGGAGCACGCCGGGATTGACTTTTCTGGAACGCGTCGATTTCACTGGGCGTCGGGACTGACGTGTTCCACTCGTCGTTTTGGATCAGCTCCCACTCCCGATCTCGATCCGTATCCGAGAACAAGTCGCTCCACCGATTTTTGAGGATTCGATCGGAAGCCAACCTGGCTTCCAATCGAAGCCAGCATTATGGAACCTTTTCCGTGGACGTGTCCTAGAATCGGGAAAGGTTCGAGAAATTCTGTTTTTAGGCAAAGCTTGTTGTCTTCGTTTTGCGTAGTGCCGACCTTGACGGTGCTTGCCTCTCTCTTGCAGCGGACGTGCAGTTGCTGTTGCCGCACGTGCCACACATTGTCAACTTTATCTCGTCCATCGCCCACGACGTGGATCGGTCGGACACCAACATCGCTTCTTGTTCGGGGCTCATCGGGTGAGTGGCCTCGCGCCGCCGTCTGGCCCCTGTCGTTCCCATACTTTCTTCACGTGCTACCTTGGCCGACGTGGGCAACTGCATGCCACGGATGGGATCAAAGTGGCGAGGCAGTCTCTGGCGTGAGCTTCATCGCCTTGAGTGAAGAGCCTCGTGAGCTTCGAACTAGCAGCCAAATGGGACGGAAGGCGCTGGAGGACGGGAAAGAAATCGTCTCGTCGGCGACTGTAGCAAATGTTGGTCGGCTCTCTTCCACGCATAGCCGGAGGGCTCATGGTCGTCTGCATTAGCGTCGACAATTTGTCGCCCAAGCTGGTGCCGTGCCTGCGCTTGGTTGGCTGGTACTAGTAACTTCGATGACGGCTTTGTACGAGAAAAGTAGGAAAAGAGAAACGGTAATTGCGAGCTAACTGCATCCCGCTCTGTGGACGTTGGTTCGTAGGCGGCGTTTAAGTAGAACGGAGTCGTGGGACCTCCTTCGACTTTGGGTAGGGGAGGTCTTCCGAGAGTCCCGCCGGCGACTGTTGCGAGCAAACCGGCGTCCTCTCGGCTGCAGGGACCTGTGCACCGCGTTCGGGGTGTCGATGCTCACCCTGGTGGACAATGACTCTGTGACGGAACTGCTGAACCAGGGACGGCGCTCCAAGACTACCAAGACCAAGACCCTGGCCTCCTGGGCCACCAAGGAGATCAAGAAGCTCAAAGGCGGAGCCTCCTCGTGGTGAGTGCCGTCCTGGCCGGTCGTTGCAACTTCGTTTTGCCAGCGGCAACACGACGCCCCTAGGACGTCGTCGGGCGAAAGTTGAGGGATCGCGTCTTGGGGTGCAAATGCCTGCGTTGCAGCCACTCATAACAGCTCGGGACGAGAGGGTGCACTGTCGCCATCTGTTGGGCGGCCCCGGAGCATTTCCAATCTGCGTGCGCTTTCTCATTTTTGGCCGTGTGCTCGTAACGGTTCTGACGGCGTTACGAGCGACCGTTGCTCGCAGATGGAACGTGGCCTCGGATCTTGCAGATAGTATGGAACTTTCGGTCTAGGTACATTGCAGGTCAGAAGCGTTTCCGGGTCAACCCGACAGACGGTGCCAGCATGCACCCTCGTCGTACGCAGTCGCGATCCATCGTAGTGCAGGTGATTGAACTCGAACGTGAATGTGTGACCTGGTCTCTTAGGATGTATCGAGGTTCGAAAGAGTCTGTCGACCTTCGCTTCTTCCCCTTGGTGCAGCGGCTACTTTTCTACGACTCGCGACGCAACTACAGTCTACTCATTAATTCAAACTCTCTTTATTCAAACTTGCAGATAATTCAAACTAACATGCAGGTCCCATTCTATGCGTCTCTATGGGAGGAAACTCCCACTTTGCTTTATGCAAACAAATTTTCAGTCCCCCTCGAGCTTGAATTAACGAGATTCGACTGTAGGTTTGCAAATATACATGACGCTGTCGCACTTCGGTCGTTGCGGTTGTGTTCCCGTCCATATGGAATCTTGATCCAAATCTGACGAAGATTCAGCTTGCTTCTTTGCTTTTGTTGTATCCTCCGGAGCAAGGGTTCCCGGACTTTTTGGTCTCGAAGAGTAAACTACTACTGATAGCTGAAAAGTCCAGTTTGGGCCATTGGTGCAAACTGGGTTCTCAGGAATGCCTCCCGATCTTGGCTCCTAGTTAGGCGTCAATGAGTGGTTCGGATCTGCTGAAATAGCCTTTAAATTGAAAATAAAATTCTTTATTTTTCTCTTAAAGTGAAGAGGGGAGGAAAGGGAAAAAGAAACCTCGTAGTTGCTTGCCAAAGCCTCTGCCTCTTCCAACAACAGTAACAGCAGATCAGAAAAAAAAAAGTCTGTGTAACAGAATGTTGGAAGGTTGGAAGTCTGTGTAACAGAATGTTGGAAGGTTTCTCAGATACCCCTGCCATGCAACGAGTATACATCGGCCAGACAAGCTGATGTATAAACGATACGCTAAGAGAACACACACTCTCGATGAGGGTGTGTGTTCACACCCACATCCTGTCAGATTCATTGTGACAGGATGTGGGTGTGAATCGATGTTAGAGGACAGTCAACCTGGGGGGGTATGACAGTAAACGAGGGAGATTGCCGAGGTGTACCACATATCTCAACGTGGAAATGATGTGCGTGTGAGTGCGCTCTCGATCACTCTGTTTGATAAAGAACTGGCGTTCCTGAGGGCGCGTGTATGACAGTCATGGTTCATGACAAGGTGATAAGAATTGAGTCCTGTTTATTCACGGCGATTTTTATCTGTTGCTTTCCAATAAAGTCCAGTTGAGTCAGCGCTCTATCTCCTCTAGTTTTTCTTCTTGTTTGCGCTGTTTTTAATTCTTCAGTATATATTTGAGCGGGTTTCACTAACCGCTTCCCTTCGCTCAAGTTGTTGTTTGAGTAAATATTTTTATTGTTTTGAAAATACTTTTTATAATAAAGGGCAACTTTGTAGTCATTGCAATTCAGAATTTGTATTATATTAAATTTATTAAACAGTGGCTTCGGGTGACTGTCGTAAGGAGCGTGGCATATTATACTAATTACCTGTTTTTTCTGGATTTTGAATTTGTTTAAGATTAGTGTACGTCATATTTCCCCGAACTAAAAAGGAGTACACTAGTTATACTGGGAATAAAAAAGAGAATTATAGACGAGCAGCAAAACCGAAATGGGGAGTATGTTGCGATATTTATGAAGTATACCAACACTCTGCATAGTTTGTTTTACATATACCATAGAATACCGCACATCCGTCCCCATTTCACACTAAGCCCTGTTCGCAAATTTGTAAGATTTGAAAAAATATGCACGGTGCATTTAATGTAAAGTGGATAATCGGAAAAGTTCTGATCCCCCATTTTTTCTAGATTACCTCTAAATCTTGAGTGGGTGCTTGCCCGGTATTTTACGGTATGTTACGGTATGCTGCACTGTCACATCCCATGAAATGGAGAAAAGGCGTCCAATTTTTTCATGGTATTGTTTCTCCAACAAACGCTCTGCATCAATGTGATATGTATCTGACAGCCGGTGCACCCTTCCATAGGCCCACGGGCTGCTTATGAGCACCAGAAAAGTCTAATAAATAAAAATAAATCCCACATCATATGCTGATTAATGACCATAGTATACCAAGAAGCTTTACAGTTTCTACTATATACTTTATTTTCACTAAGAAAAACATTGAGCGTACGAAAGCTATTTGTGTTGCGTGCTTTAAATAAAACTTCCTTCGTTTTGCTTGCATTTAGTTGCAATCAATTTCCTGCTAAATACACTTCACTTGGGGACAGCCAAATAAATTTCGGGAACCCATGAGAATGATTGGAAAAAAACCCTTGTTCCCAGGTATACCCAGTTTAATAATTCGTGCTTTGGAGCACTTTGGCGGCATTATGCGGCCCACGTGACCTTTCTTCTCCCGCTTCCTTTCAGATGACTGCTGCCGGCTTGGCTCTTTGGGGACCCCTTCGTCAACGGGACCCTCAAAGTGTGTGTGACGTCCGTGGCCAGAAGGGACCTCGGGGGAGGGGGACGACACTGTTGTCATGGGCGCCAAGTGGAAACCCCGGACGGCACAGCCTAGGGAGAAACCTCGGCACCCCCGCGTGTCTCCAGCCCTGCCTCTTTTAGTCCTTCCGCCTCGATCGACACAGTTTTAGGGAGCCCGTCGAGGGAAAACCCCTGTCCGTCTTCGGTTAGCCGACACGAGAGAACTTTCTTTTCTTCCTTGTCTTTCCCCACACGAGGAGCTTCGAGGAGTGTTTCAGCGAGGTCCTTGTCTCTCTCTCTCTCTCTCTAGGGAGTAACCCCTCCTCGGTTACTCTCTTTGGGGAGCGTTTATTTCTTTTGGATTGCGAGAGGAGAGGTTGCTCCCTTCGGGGAGCAACGTTTCCCCTTAGGTTGCTCGAAGCAGCTCTCGGCGAGAAGCTTTTGTCTCTAATAGGATGGTCCCGTCTTTCTGCACGCGGAGTGCAAGGACGCAATTAATGTACATTTTGTGAGCAGTTCTGGGGTCGTGCTTCCTCTCTAAACGTCTCCCGCCGACCACCCCCGCGCTTGATCGGATGGCGGGTTCGGGAAGTGCCTTAAAGTGAACAAGAATGCAGACAGAGGGAGACAGCGTTTTGCCCCTCAGATTCGTCGTCGGTCGTACTAGTAAACAAATCGGCTTGGTATTTCTTTTTTTGATACGACGGCGTTAGGTAAAAAGACAAAAGACAATGATGATGCATAGGTAACGACGTTTGCACTTGTGACGAGAGAGAGAGGATACCACCCTTTGCCCCCTTTTCTGCCCTTGTGAATGCTGTGCATTTTATCCTCCTACTGTCTTTCCCCTTCCTTTGTCCCCACCAATTAGTTCTATTTTTATTTGTACAGAGTTTGTATTGAGAAACTGCCGCCGCATTGGTTGTTTTGCGGGCGGAGTTTCAGCCCCTCAAGTCACGTACCGACGGGCTGGTGGAAAGACCGTCTCGAACGCTGGCGCACTGGCCATTCCAACCTTCCTGGCAAAATAAAAGAGCGGATGGAGTCAGCATGGTTTACTAACACCTGTCCAAGTCTGCCTCGGCACCTGCCACTGCCGCATTGTCCATCGAGCTGATTTTTCGAGACACCTTCCGACCGATGTGGGTACTGCTAGAGTCGCTAAACGAGCTGCACTTTGAGGGGAACGCTACAAACCCTGGGCGCTGACATCCGTGGTCTTGAGAGAAAGGGAGCGACAGAATAGCGGAGAAAGCAGTCGAAAGGTTAGGCATGCTCGTTTTACTGCGATGAGTTGAAAGTTGCTCAAGTGCTCGTCAACTTAGTTTTATGCATTGCACGGCTCCGGTGTTTTGCTGCAAGGTAAGCGGAAAAAGAACAAGGTACAGGACTTGCAGGTGATTCGCTGCCGCTTCGCGCATATTAAAGGTCGACGTACAACCTCGGTTTTCTGCAGGGAAGATAATCCTCTTGACACTCCCCTCTTAGCTGCGAGGGGAGCCAAGCTGGGGCAAGGTAAAAAGTAGAGGATTAGAAAAGGAGGCAGCGGGAAAACGTGGAAAGCGCGGAGTGCACGTCGGCCTTTAGGGCATCGCTAGTGATGCGAGCCCATCGGGATTGCCCATGTCCGCGTATTATCTCTGTGGTGTCTGTGCTCCATTCCACGATTATATTGTGGGCACCACCATTTCGGTGCAGAACAAAAACGCTAGTACTTCCCTAGCTTCGGTGCAGTGTCTGGGAGCTTGCTCGACATCATCTTGCTCTGTTGTAACTGTTTTAAAGGGATGCTAAACCGAAAATCGAATTTCAGAAAACGCAGAATCGATAGGCGGGATGCTACAAATCCTAAACCGTCGCTCATAAAGCGGTAGCTCCAACGGATAAAAAAAAAAAAAATCTGGTTTTTGAACTTTGAAATTGACGTGGAACGTAACCCCAAGTTCAGTTCCATGTGAAAAGATCCCTCCCATTCTGGAGCCGTCTGCAAACACAAACTCTAAAAATTTACTGTTTTTTTTTCTTGTTTTAATAATGCGAAAGAATCAACTGTTTCGTGGAGCGAGCTGACGTCATCAGTTTGAAGCGCAAAAACTGCTCCTGGTTTCCGGCGCCTTCGGTTCCATTGGCTCGCGCGCGTCGACGGGGCTCCCATTGGCCGCTGCGCCATGGCCTCCGAGAAGCGCGCGCGCGCTGGTACGCAGCAGACGACAAAGGGAGCGGACCAGCAGACGACAAACCTCAATCAATCTTCATTTGCATAAGAACAAGTGTGATTTCTTTCGGTCAAGTGTCTTCGCTGTCCGAAAGAGTCGGATGTGTGCATCTTTGATCCTAGTGTTTTAGCGTGCAATAGACGCGCCACGCCTGACACAGACTTCTCGCTCGACGGCCGTGGCTCGTTGCACCTTTTATTTCGCGGAGATCTGTTGCCGCAAAGTAGCCCAGTCAATTGCAAAGCATTATCGCACTTCAAGAAGCCAGTGGACGCGGAAAACATATCAGAAGACCGACTTAATTGCGGAGCGCACTAGACATAGCTGCAATGCTGCCCTCTAAAAGCATGCTAACAAAACCCGAACCGGAAGTGTTTTCGGCTCACTGTCATGGCGGCCGGAAGTGGCCCGAATACCCCAACAAGTTATAGAGATCAGTGGGATAGCGAACGCACATCGATGTGCATGCAATGCTCGACGAAATGCGCAGACAGCACGAGGGCAAACGCAAATCGTACACAAATAGCGTACAAAGCGCCCGCGGCTGCGCGGGCGACCCACGGCGACGAATGAATCAATGATAAAGGCTGCATTTTGTAACTGGCGGCAGCTTGCGCCACCTAGCTATATAGCCACCACGTGAACTCGGCGAGCTTCGCCAACTTTAGCGAGTCCTGCGTTTTGTCTGGCAACGCTGGAGTACGGTGTGTTTTTTGCGTTTTTGGTTTGTTTGTTTTGAGACTGGGCAAGTGTGAAGGAGTGATGAAGCGTCATGTGCTTAGCTGTTTACCGTACGCTTCTCAGCTGCCGCGAGCCCTCGTGCAGGGTCATTTCACCGCCGCCAAAGTCGGAGAGCCGTGTCCCGGTGGTCCGTGCGGTTGTCTATAATCGCCCTCGGTAAGCAAGGCAATGCAGTACGCCCGCCACTGCCTCCGCCGCATTGTAGACCAGTGGCGGCGTTGTTTACCTTCAGACAGTGCTGGCGTTTCATTGTTCGTAAGGTCGTCATGTGAGTGAACCGAGCAAGCGCGCCGCGGTTTGTTCGGAGAGACAAGACGCGCGGGAACGAGCTTTGAGCTCGTTTATCGGGCATCTTTCGGACGTCGCTGGCTCGGGGCTGGATGAGTGTGGTCTTGCCATCCGACCCGACGATCAGCTGACGGCGCGGCCATGGGTAGCGCGTCGAGCAAGTTTCGAAGGCACCTACAGAACGGCGACGAATACTCGGCGCTGCAAGTGTTCGAGACCAACCCCGAACTGCGCAAAACGGTCGACCCCAACTGTTTCTACTGGGATCCGGGGAACCAGTGCACGCCGCTGCACCTGGCTGCGAGGCATGCCATGAAGCCGCTCCTGAGGTGAGTGGCCCCTTCGACTTGGCCGCGCTCGGCCTCCGCGGACTCCTGCGCTGCTCGCGGCGCTTCGCTTGGCACGCACAGCGGTCCGCCAAACAAACTCCTCGGCGGTCTTATTATTTTTTTTTTAATGCTTACAACGAAATGAGCAGTAGCGGAACTTGGCGTAACGTGTGAGAAAGTTTGGTAGGACGGCGCTTGGTCATCGGCTTTGGTAAAGGGATCAACGTTGCACACGAGATTTGAAATGGCGGCAACCGGACACCTCGTGAAGCGCTGGAGAAATTGGACAGTCCGGAATATGGACATGTTGCACGGTGTTTACAGAGGATCAGTTGTTCTGTGAATCGCACTGTGGCGCGGTTGACTGAGGTGACTTTGACGATGATCTCTGGCGAGCACACGACATTCTAGTATCAAAGTAGCAACTCCCGAAGTCTTTCTTTTTTTTTTTTTTAACTTTTCTTTAAAGACATTTTTGACAGAACGTTTGGTGGCATCTTCGTTTTTAACGGAAGCTCCCTCGCCCGTATTTTTGCTTTTCTGTCTCACCTGCCTTTGTTTCCTTTGTTGCACACTGATAGGCGATGGATAACTAATTCCCGTTAATCTCGGGTGGCTTTGATTTGTATTCCACAATTTTAATCCATGGAAAAAAAAAGAACGAAGATTGGTTGCATTCTTTACTAAGCCACAAGAGTTAGCCCAAAGTTCAGCTACTGTTTAATACAGGTGCCTCAACTAAAATTTGTTGAATTTGGGCCCTCCACAAGGAAACCTTTTCCAAGCTCGACATTTCAGTGGGGTACGAGACAAAAAGTGCAAACCGGAACAAACTTTGTATGAAAAATATTCACTCTTTTGTGGCTCTGGTGAAAAGGAAAGTGGATGCTACCTTTATTTTACTGTTCGTCTTTCGCCTATCGTAGGGTTTCATATTGTAACAATGTGGGGAAGGGGAAAAGGACAAAGGAGAACTGAGCTGACGCACCTCTAAGTGTACTACTGGCCTCTTGCATCTGTCCTGCACTTATCTGTGTATACATGTGTCGTCCAGTGAGGAAGCAGGGTTGACCAGCCCCAGTGGAATTCCCAGCAACCCTTTGAAGAGTACATTATGAGTAGGTCTCTAAGTGTGCTATAAATTTGTGGTGCTCGCTCGTGGTAACACCAGGTGCCATGCCGTCCTCATCTCTTTTTCGCCTAATTATGTAGAAGTTTGGTAAGGAGTTTCCCTGGGGTCTCCAACTGTGATTCTATTGGGCCATGCAGGGTGTTCCTGGAGGACATGCAGGGTGATCCAAATGTGCGCACAGGCAAGGGAGAAACGGCCCTGCACCTGGCCAGCCGGGTACCATACAACGTCCATGCCAGGACATCTAGCGCCGCCAGCCGAAGAGCCGCCTGCCTTGCACTCCTCGTCCTGTGGCGTGGCTCGGAGGGGGAGACCGTGTTGCTGGATGCACAGGACCAGGTGAGGCGGTGAAGTTGCACAGCGATCCAGTTAGAGTGCCTTTGTTGAGGAGAGTAGTGACATGGTTAGAGGGTTGGGAGGATTGCTTTCCAGCTCTTGGACATCCGTCCTCTCAGTTTTGCATCCCTCTATCACTTGCAATTGTGCTCCGCAGTTTTTGCTTAGCAGACGTCGAGTGCCGGTTACAGCTCTTTATGGTGCGCTGTTGTCAGAGCTGCCACACGTGGATCGACATGCCTTACCGGCTGTTCTTGTCAGGTTGCAAGACCTGACAAGGACCTCCACTTCTCTTAAAGGGGCGGTGCAATGATTTTAACACTGAACGAATGTGCAGCTTGTATTTTTTATATTGTTTACTTCAGCATAAGTAAGAGAAAAAGTGCCACCATACCCCAAAATACCTCTATTTCGCTGCATAATCGCAAAAGAAAAAACCCTTTTTTTTCCAACCTGCGGCCACATGGTGGCCGCAAATGGAACCTGTGGTGTGACGTCATTCGGTGTGGTTTTTGTAAGTGATAGTGTTAGGCAATTGTAAGCTTGATTTAAGCTTAAGTTTAAAAAATCTTGTTGTTTAGGCATGCAGAAACGCTTCAAAAGCCTAATATTGCCGCTAAAAGGGTATGAATTATATGTGGCGCCATCTACCGCAAGTCAACAGAACCTGCCGTCGACGCCCGTGGCGCGTACGGCGGCTACACGAGCAACCCGGACGTTTTGTCTTTCCCTCGCTCGACGGAGTGCGTTGGTCGTGGTCCGTAGTATCGTGGTATTGTTATTGTTCCTGGTGTCTCGACCTCGACTTTGACTTCGACTGCCCGCCGCGCCGCCATGTTGGTCGGGGAGAGCGGCGAGCCTGGCGAGCCGGCGAGCACTGGGGAAACGGAAGCCAGAAGAAACCAACCGGACACCAACGTCACTCCGAATGACGTCACAGGCGAAGCTGGTGCCGCTTCAATGTTGAGTTGAGGGGTGCCGGTGATACCATTTCTTTTATTTTTTTTAATGAAAACTAGGGCAAGTAGGAAAGAATAGTTTTCGGTCCTTCTTTTTATGTGTGGCCGGGATCAATTCCCGCAATTAATTAGCCAAAGTCCGCAAATTGTTGCACCGCCCCTTTAAGCCGTCTGTAAATTTTGTGGAGATAGAGACTGACCTAGAATCAGCATGTTTCAAGGACTGTTGAGCCTTTGGGTAGATTGCATGTGTCAGCTATTTGATGTTCCGGCCTGCATGTAATGTCACTGTTACAACTACCGTAATATTCTGAGAGGACGTCCAAAAGATAGCCCACCCCTATTTTTGGCACGATTTGCTATTTATTTAAAAACTCCAAAAGATAGCCCTCTTCTAGTAATTGCAGGGCTCTGGCCAATGGTGATTTTGGGAGAAATTGTAGTTCTTAGCCTAGAATTGAGATAAGTGAACATTGCTGACTGGGAAGAGCAGTCGTCTTTGGTTCATTGCCCCTTCCTGCAGTCACAAGTTTTGCAGGCACAAAATCTAAAATTAGCATTTTTTAATCTTTTTTTTTTTGTTCGCACACCGAAAGTTAGCTTAGTCCTTATTTTTATCCAATTTGCTTTTGAATTTTGGGCTATCTCTGAAGATACTACGGTAGATGTTGAATTCTTATGATAAAAGAATCTTAAAGAATGAACCCGGGCAGGTCTGCAATAAAAACAGATGCTTTCTTGCTCACATTAAGGAATCAGTAGATAGGCATGATGTTTGTGGGCATGTCATTCTCTAACCCTTTGATGCATTGCCCTGCTTCAGGATGGGAACACTGCATTACACTATGCTGCTGCTTCAGGGATCAAGAAGTGTGTGGAGGTGAGACCGGTGTTTCATGCTTTCTTGGGTCTGCATATCTAGCTTATTGGATGTGTTTTAAAGATTTTATAACATAGATCATGGTAAGAACTCTGAAATTAAAGGACCTTTGTTACTTTGTCTTTTTCACCACAAATAGCAGATAATGACGCTGATTCTTGTTCTGCACTAAAATGTGAGATGGAGGAATGTCAGCAATCTGACTTTGTTCCCCCTATTCTTATTTCTTTTATCGAATAGAGCGCCATAGTCACCTATAGTCACTATGGCGCTCAATTCAATCTGTCTGATAAGGTCACTTTTTGCAAGTAAAGTTTGTTCACTATACATTAGTATCTTTGCTTAAATGCCTGTAACAGTATTAGAGGCATACTTCAACTTTGCTTCATTCTATCCGTGTCTTCGTTATAACAGTGTTTACTATGTAGAGGTTCATTCTTGACCAAGTGAGGGTCTAACATCTTGAGGTCCTTACAAGACGTGTAAGGAGGACTCTAGGTTCATGGGGCTGGGGAAATTTACGGCTAGAAAAACAGGGTATGGGGAGAGGGAAGTACCAGGGTGAAGCAGTGGGCAGTGCGTGGACTTCCGAACATGCGAAGGAGTCGTGAGAATAAAGAGTGAGGTTAGGCTCAACGACTTGTGCAGTTCTAATTTAACAACCACAATGCCAAACGGACTTAAAGCTTTCCTCTCATCCCAAGTGTTTGTGTCGTAATGTTTGAAAAGATACAACCTTAATGGCTTTAGAAAGCCACCCTATTAAAAGGAGTTGCACGGTGGAAACATTCGAAACCCTGTGTTCCTCCTTCCTCTGCAGCTCTTGGTGTCTCAAAAGGCGTCTCTGTTTGTGGAGAACAACCAGAAGGAGACTGCCTGCGACGTTGCCAGCCGTGCCCACCACACCTCCGTGGCAGAGTACCTCGAGATTAAAATGGTGTTTTCTGTAAGTTGGGAGTGAGCACCGCACACGCCACATATTCACAATTTTAATAGTATATCCTCCTTTGAATTTTCTCACTCTTGTTCTTCCTGCAGGACCGTGTTACCATTGAGCCAGAAGAACAGCACCTCACGGTCGATGCTTCTGACAAGGTGAGCCCCGGTTCTTCTACGTGTCTGCCTCCTTCATTTTGCTTCGTTCAAGCGACGTTGCTGGTTTCTGGCCGACCAGGTCAGATGCTTGACTGAAAGAATTGGGTTGTCGTCGCGTAACTGGCATAGCCTTAACCGACCGATCTTGGTGGGTCAGTCAGCAGTGTTTGCCTTCTTTGTTGAACTGGTGTGGGACGTACGACGGAGCCAATCCTTGTTGCAGGGCTCGACCGGACTTCGGCCACAGGACCTTCAGGAGGCCAAAGACCTGCTGCTTGTGGAAACATCTGACATGTTCCATGTCCCCCTCTTCACTGCAGAGGCGCTTTTAAGGACACACGGTGAGCGTCGGCCGTGCTGACCCCTGTCCGCTTGTCTGGGGTAAAGCGGTTGTTCTTGGCAAGGGAGGGAGCAAGAAGCGGGAAAAATGGTGGCCTCGACTCGTTGCACTGTTAAAGGGGAACAAAAGTCTGAGCAGTGTCAAAAAGGACTGGCCCCCAACTCGAGCGGAGCCAGAGTCAAAGAAGGATGTTCTCGCAAAAAAGCGACGGACGAGTGCAGTTATATTCTGTTCTGTTCCCAGGCAGCTCCATGTTCTTTTGCGTCAAACTATGGGTGTTTCAAGATTGTGTAGGGTGCCCACAGTGGATCGTGACACTATAAAACGAGCCACAAAAGTTGGCGTCCGCGCATGAAAAGCTCAAATTTCCTCCAAATGTGGATTTAGGAGGGTATATTTCACCTAATCGAATTTCAAGACACAGCTCCCTTTTAAAAAACGAGTCCAGCAAACTTGTCAGGGTCACCGGTGGGCGTCGACCCTCGAAAGGTTCCAACCTAAGATAGTTGTGTGTTCCAAACCAGGGTAGAGTGTTCCAACCCAGGGTGACCCAGTGTCTCTTCTGCCCAGACTGGAGCCAGGTGGCCCTGCTGGAGGCCTGGGTTCAGGACCCCGTAGGATGCTGCCTGGGCGCTGGAGTGCAGCCCACCACCTCAGCCCTCCACGCCCGGGACGTGGGGCCTGGTCCGGACCCCCGGCTGGTCACCCAGGAGTTCCAGGACGCCTCGCTCAACTCCCCGCGCGCCCAGGCCTGCCACCTGCCCCCCAAGACCCCCGTGAGGGACTGCCTGGATTTTAAATACGAAGACATTTATAAGAATAAATGAAACGGCGCAGAAAGGACACGGGGACTAGTGGAAGACATTCGCAAACATTGTGCCGACTCCCAATTGTCGTCTTCTTGCATAACAAAAAAAAAAAAAGAATGCTACAAAAGAAATTGTGAGTTGGTGCTTTTCCACTACTTGTCTCTGTGTCCTTTATGTGCCGTTTTTATTTATTCTTGACGTGCACCGGCTCGCGCAACTACACACCCAGCTGCATTTACGAGGGCAGCCCTTAGCGCCTTTGTGCCCAAGTATGGGACATGGCCTCTACAGAACGTGCAATTGCTGGTTGCACACTTTGCGTGCAGTCGGCGACCGCTCTTGGAACGAAGGGTTTTCTCGCCGTGTGCTCGGCGACGGCGGCGCACTTTGTTACGAAGGCTCTTACTTGCGCGCATACGACTAAAGCGGTGCAGGAGCGACACCAGCTTGTCTGGGCGGGAGGAAGAAGGGAGGCCAAACGAGAGCGTCAGGCCCAGCAGCGTCGGAAAGCCGGTCATCATTGTGCGGCGGCCGGTCGGGAGTTTGTGCGCCAGGTCACGGACAGTCTGTTCGACATGCAATCTACGACAGGCTGGTTTTGGTCGAATGCAAGCGAGGGCACTCTAAATGCTATACATTTAGAGTGCCTTTGGGAAATGCCGAAGGGGCTTCCCTGTTGGCTGCCGATCTTGTTATAACAGTTCAATGGAAACAAAGTTTGGAATTGTATCGCATTGCCGTAGCTTGGCGTCATCTGCTAATTTCAGCGGGCCGATAGGGCACATGGTGGGGCAGGCTTCACCACTTTGCACTGGCGTCAGGGGCGGATTCAGAGGGGGGTCCGGATGTCCTGACCCCTCTCTTGGATTCTGGATATGTCAAAATTTAGGGAGTGGGAAAGGGGGGGGGGGGGGGGACTTAAACATATGATACGCTGACCAACACCTGACCCCCCCCTCAAGAAGTACCTGCGTTTGCCCCTGACTGGCGTGCTTAAAGAAGTGGCTTATGTGGGGGACCTCCTTGGTCAATAAGGTGGCTCAGATATCGAGGATTGCCACTTGATCTATCGTTTGGCCATCTTTTAAATGTTTCAGAAGTAGCAGGTGTTACACCTTTGATGATGGGAGTTCATGCTCGGTCTTTTAGTGTACTTTTTCTATGATGTTAAGGCTTAGTTTTATTGGCTCAAGGTAGAACAAGGTTACCCATCTCGCTGCATCTGATTGGCTGCCAGTGCTCTCGACTACAGGTAATATCTCCTTGCACCTTGTCCAGTGCAACATCTGCTCCGAGCCGATGCGGGACGATCCTGTGGCTGTGCCCTGCCAACACCACTTCTGCTTCTCATGCTGGCAGTGGTAAGAACCGGCTGCTGTTTTCTTATTTTTTTTTTGTTTTCAATATACAACTATTGGTGTTTTATGATTAGTATTAAACTTGCCATTCTTTGGGGAAAGTGTCCGGTACTTGTTGTGGAAGGCTGTTCTCCTCTTCAGCGCTCGCGCCGCTACCTATGTACCAGCTGTGACCAGGTTCCTGCATTTTCGGAGTTTGTTTTGAGGCAAATTCAAGAGGTTGGTTTCCAGAGGTCGCAGTGCTCCCTTGTTATAGCGAAGTCAACGGGACAACAAAAAGTTTTAATGTAAGCAGTCTAATTCGATAGAAGCGAGGGAGCCCCAAAAAAAGAAAGTGCGACAGCAGCCTTGAAGGTGGACGGGAACACTGCAGAAGACTCGAAGCATACTGTATTTACTCGCATAGTGCTCACATTTTTTCCCCCGAAAAATGTATGCATTTTTGATGGAGCTTTCATTACGTGGGGTAGAAGTTTGTGGATTTACTCATTTTGCGTAAATGTCATTTTAGGTGCCCATCTGACAGGCATTACTGTGGCATGTGTTCTCTGATGGAGGCACTCCCACAGCTGGTCGCAAGTGCGACACAGTAACCATTCCCTTCAAATTGCGAACCTTTTCGCATAAAACATGCTTTGACTCATCAGGATGGGGGGGTCCAGAAATTTGCAAAGCCTACAAGTAAAGGTACTGACTAACTCAGTGCTGATTGGCTGAGCCAGCTAATGACGTCACACCCCCTAGCTCGATGCTGATTGGTTGGTTTAGGTATGACGTCATGCGCGAGGACACGTTCACTTGATGTTGATCGCACTCCCCCTCGTGCGCGACAGCTGGCCGTCCAGACGGTGGTTGGATGTCACCGGAGAAACTTGTGCATATGGAGGGTTCTGGAAGAGCGCAAGGGGTTTAAAACCCAGGTTAGCGCCAGTATCTCCACTCCAGGAATTACTGTAGAGTGTACATGTTACGCTTTAAGCCAGTCGTTCAGCTAACCGATGAAGAGCATTGAAAGCGTAGAAGTCATTCCCAGAGAATCGGACCGGAACCACACGTGTCAAGTGCAACACAATTGCCCAACAATTTGCTCTGCATTTCTTTTCTTATAGGGCGTCTTTGCATTCTTTTCTGCCAAAAAAAAAAGTGCCCTACTAAGCTTACTTGGCACGGTTGACGCCTCCAGTGTTTTTAGGCCTAACCACTTTCTCGATTTCACTGTCTAAAAGCAAACCGCAGATGACGGCGTGTTTGTTGACATCGGTGCGTCTGACGGACAAAACATCTCTGCCCCCAAAGATATTTTGTCCGTCGGATTCACCGATCTCAACAAACATATACGCCGTCGTCTGCTTCCCAGCCTTGTTGGCTGTGCGCGCTGCCTGGCCATGCCGTTGAACACTTCTGCAACTTCTCACTTGCCGCCCTAACGCATGCATGTACCTGACTTGGCCTCTTGGGGGCACACTTGACTTAGTGGCTGGCTTAGTTGGACGATTGTGTATGTGTCAAGGTGTGCGGGAAAATATGCTCTTTTTTTACAAATGACGATTGTTGTGGGGGTGTGTTCGTTATGCGTTCGTTAAACTTCTCTCGTATCGTGTGTGTCACAAATGCATTTTACCGCCACTTGAAAATGACTCTCGACAAAGAAAGCCGAGCGTTTGCGGTTGTTCTCCATCGCGACGAGCCACGATAATGTTTAAGGGGGGACACTGGCTGGAAGCAAACTTCTGAACTACTCAAGTGACAGGTATGAAATTTGCAGGCGAGATTTAACTTCAGGTGAAGCTGTACTCTTCAAACTTTCAGCTCTCTAGGACAACTTTACATACCTGCATAAGATGTGTCACTCTTCGTTAAGAAATCTATGATATGAAAATGAAGCTATTAAGCATCATTTTAACTGCTTGAATATAAAGTGGGGGATGTGGGACTTCGGGGTATCTAGTTTTTATAACTCAAATATGAATATTTCAGGATGAGTGATTACCTCAAAATATGAGATGCATATCTGTCCTATGTCAATTTCTGAAAACGTAGCTTTTTCTCAATGAGGACTTCAACCTAAAACAAAATAAAGTAGATTGCCCTATTCTCCAATAAATTTCAGTTCACAAACATCTTGATTGTGGTATCAGAATAAGTTTACCTTTCAACAAAAGATTCCTTCGTATGAAATTTGCGGCAAAAAGCGGTACTGAGAAAACTGCATTCAAACATTAAACTCCTTTACTTTGTTACTGCCTCACAATGTGTTGAAAATATTTCATATCAACTTAACTATTTGGCACATGATTATAAAATTAAGTGTAAGGGTGTATAATTAGTTTCTAAAACTGAAAACCTAAAAATTGAAAAATGAATTTTTTCAAAAAATTTTGGAATTTAGGCTTATGTCCCCCCCCTTAAACGCCGGGCCGCACGCCGAAGTGTGTTGATTGCTGGTGGTGCCTGTCCCGTTGCCCCAGCTACCTGACGCTCAAGATCCAGGAAGGCAGCGTGAAAGGCATAGTGTGCCCGGCCGTGGACTGTCCCCAGCTGGTACCCGTGGACGTGATCGAGCAGCTGGTCAGCCCGGAGATGGTGCGGCGCTACCTCCAGTTCGACATAGAGGTGGGTGCATCCCCCTTTTTGTTTGTAGAGGGACGAAACAGGTTGTCTGCTAGCCTGCAATGCAGAGTGCAAGTTCGGCTGCTTCTTGCACAGGAGTTGCGTCGACTTCAGAACACCGAGTTCCGATTGGCTCGATTGAAAGGATAGTGGGTAGACTTCAAGGCAGCTAGCTTCGAGGTCTACCAACTATCCTTTCAATCACAGCTCGGCGTTTCGACGTCACCACAGCCCCTGCGCAAGAAGCAGATGAACTTGCATAGACCTTTCTGGAAAATCCTGAGAGGCCTCTCGGGATTTTCCGGAAAGGTCTATGCAATACGTCTTGGAGGTGGCTTAGTTCCTTCTCTCTTACCGCCGCAAGTTCGGAACACGGAAGAAAATGAAGCGAGCACATCCCACAGCCAATGCGCACCCTATTTTGTCATTGTCCCGCTTTCTTTTGCATGCTGAAAATCGTACAATGCCACATCACCGCGAGTTGCTTCACCTTACGTGTACTCCTCTATGCACCATACATCGGATTGCCATAGTGCGTCGAAGAGACGGTGGCAGGTTCCGCGTATTAACGGAACGGTCTATAGGCAATTGCCAGTAGGGCGACTGGCTGCTGCTATGCTTCTGCTGGTGCAGGCACGACCGTGCAATTGCAAGCTTGTCAAAACTACATTCACACGCGTGGTGCATATGCTTGTACGCATGGGGCACCGGTCGGGGCTATACGCTTGCAGGCCTATTGTCGAGGAATTTCGAAGCACCTGGAAAATTGTCGGAGGAAATAGTAAAACATTGGCTAGATTAAAGAAAATGATATGCGAGAGTGCTGGGGTGGCACGCAGTGCGGCACGAGGATACTGGGTGCGGTGGTGTGGATGGTAGCAAAAATGTCTGTAGTTTGAAAGGATTTATCATCTCACTGAGTTAGTGTCCTGAAACGCTTCTAGGCAGAGCAAGCCACCCCCAATTAACCCAATCAAATGGGAGTGGCCCCGTAACTCTCACCTCTGGCAAGCACGACATGCTTACCCATCTGTTGGGCGTTGGTTCGTCAATTCCAGACTGGTTTCAAACCTTTAGGCTGTCCACGTGTGATGTGTGCTTGTTTTCATATAGAGTTTTCTGCCGTCGTGTTTCGAAGTAAAAATTAGGGAAAGTGATAGTGCCACTTTGGAAGCGCTCCTTTAATCTTAATCTAGGCTAGACCTGCCCGAATTAGTTTCCAGATTGTACTTCTTTTGTGGCTGTCGGGGAATCTAAATAGTGAAAGAAAACGTGGAAAAGTCGCGAAATTTGAAAGATAGTAGTGTGGCAGACGCCCCGTATGAGAACCGGCGTTTCGTCTGTATTTGGCTCCCTTTCGTCTCGCAAAGCGCGTCTCACCCGATTGATGTGGCAGGCCTTTGTGGAAACGAACCCGGACATCAAGTGGTGCCCCTGGGCAGGCTGTGGGCGTGCCGTCAAGCTGCCGGTCATCGCCAAACCCCCTGTGCTCCCCCACAGGGCTCCGCCGGTTTCCCACGCCGTGGACTGCGGCAACGGGCACTACTTCTGCTGGTGAGCAACTGCGCATTTAAAGACCGTTCCATGCTCAGAAAATAACACGTCGTGGTTTTGGCCGCACAGTTTAGACAGTGAGATATCGGTCCAAAATTAGTCAAATGTTTTTGCACGATCGGCCCTCAGCTAAAAAAAATTCTGCTACTAACATTTCTGCCTCGTTGCTGAGCGTACACCATAACTGTAACGTCAGTGACTGCTGGCTGTGTCGTGCTTCCTTCTAAGTGGCACAAGCTAGTGTCCGAGACAAAGGGTGCAGTCACAACTTTGTTTGCTTATGCATCCTCCTTTCCGCTTCTTAGGGGGGAGCGCAATACAAGTGCACAGGTGCAAAAGATGGAAATGTGCAAGGACGTCCACACCAACTCGCTACGTCGCCAGCCACTGTGGCACGAAGGTCTCTGCTTGTCTGTGTATCTGCCATGTCTTCTCACTCGTGGCACGGTGGAATGCAGCTCTACATTACGAGTTATAAAAAGACCAGTCAAAAACTTTTACAACGAAGCTGTATACCTCTACCAGCTAAGGAAATTTTCGTGTTGTTGGCATTGTAAGCAAAACACTTTTGGCGAACGATTGAAGGCAAAACAGCATATCTCCTTGGAAATCAGGCATGCAGCATACAGCTCAGTATCCGTTTCAATAAAGAAAACCACAAAGCAAGCATCAAAACCACATGATGGATGATAAGGTGCGTGTGACCACTAGGAACACCCTCCCACGCGTTCCGGTAAAGATTAGGTTTGCAGCTGCTTCGAAAGGGGTTGACGTCATTCGAAGCCCTCGTGTGATGTGCAAACCGCATATTGCATGATAACGGCGCCTGCGAACAATGCGAAGCACGTTTGTTCTTTCCGCGTGTGTTTCCCAGTAAAGATTAAGGCCTATTCACACTCTTGCAACTGAGTACTACCGAGAGAGACAAGACCCGTTGAAACCTCTTCAAATTTCTTAGGACGAGAGAACAGACTGGCACTCTGGCGCCATCTATGCGGTGACCCTGGAACTGCATTTCACAAGAGTGAAGGTTTTGCGGGATTTTCGAGGTTAAATGTGAGTAATACCATAAGAAAGCTCGTTTATAATGTTGACAAAAGTTTTTCGAGCCAAGAAAAAAAGGATAATGCGCCAGAGAAATAGAAAATATGCCGGGCCGCCAAGTTTACACTGCTACCCATAGATGGCGCCAGTGTGTCCTCTCGTAAGAGAGATTAACTAGGGGTGTGCGAATACCTAATAGTAGTTATCGAATCGAATACCGAATCAAATTAAGAAAAAAAAAGCTGAATATTGAATAGTGATTTTATTTGTGGGAATTTTTCAAAGTGTACTGCGGATGAGATCAATATATGTGCAGAGTATGCATCTCATACGGAACGAAAGCTCAACTGTATAAAAATTCTGGTGAAAAAAAAAGAAAAAAGCAGCTGTTGATGGACGTTGGGCACTAAAGATCCAATTTATAGTGCAAACATAATCTATCTACCCTATCATCAAGCATAATCTATCTATCTACCTAAGTGTCATAAAAAACCCTAAGTTACAGGCCACGCATGCTTTTTTTCTCGTTAAAAGCACGACCTAAGGGCATTTTGCGATATTTAGTCTCAATTCTAATAGAGAAAAAGGGCACCGGGAATTTTATTTTATGTAAATAAACAGATAGGCTTTAAATCTGAGTAAACAGGCTTAAACAATATAATCTGAAGTAAGAAAAAAAAAATGTGGCTAGGTGGCGCAAGTCACCATCCAACTGCCGTTATGCATCCATTTCTTTGTCCACCTATCCTGTTTCAGAGAGCCTAGATTCAAAAGAGGAAGCAAACAAAATTGAAACCACGGAAATGGCTCCTGCACGGTCGTAAGTGCGCATGTGTTGTGTAGCCGCGTGGAAAGAAGGCGAGCAAACAGAAGAGTGACGACGCAAAGTTGAACGACGCCTGCCCGACCGACGCTCTCGTCTTTTCGTCACCTTCTCGGATTTCGTAATTCAAACACGGCTATCGAACGGTTGTAGACCCTCTCAAATCTAGGTGCACTATTTTTCCGTTTGGTTTTGTTCCGAATCAGAATTTACGGCTTGCGGTACCAAAAGAACGACAACTCGGCTGGTTTCATCGGCGTGGTTAACATGGTTTTCATTTTGTGATCTTGCAGTCGCCGATTTCTGTGAGTGTGGCAAGTGAGTTCTACATCGGCGCTTCAGTTTGAAATGAACGTCTTTACTTGCGAAAAGTAGGCGTGGCTCGCAGTTGTGATTCAAGGTTAGATTGCGTCACGATCATGAGTAAATCTGCTTGCTAAAAAGTTTGTGGCGTTCGTCACTTTTCTTTTTTCTAACCTGCGCGTTAGACTTTTGTGGAACGGTGGGACCAATAGGTGTTTCTCGCATGGTCTGTCTAACATCACGGTGCTAACATCGGGAGAAAAAACGGCTCTTTTGTCAACTCTGCGCCGACCGCGCGCCTTTGGCCGAATGTATTGAATATTCGAGTGACCAAATACTAGGAATTCGATTCGCGAATCAAATTTTTCGGGAACTTGCTATTCAATTCGAATTTGAGTATTTGCACACCCCTAATATTAAGAGGTTCCAAGGCACCCAGTTCTAAGAGGGTCGCAAGTGTGGGAACGGGCCCTTACGATTGCGCAAGCTACTTTGAATGGAAAAGTACCCAACAGCATAGAAATCATGTAGTGACGTCACCACGCTTTTCAAGTGACGTCGCAATGGGTAATCGTTGTGGGTGTTGTTTACAGCTTAGCTGTCTAACCACCTTCACGACGTGGATTGGAGCCACAGTTTCTTTTTGTAATCAAAGTTTTTCAATTCTAGGCAAAAAAACAGAATACTTTGGAATGCATAGAGCTGTACTTCTCCGCCGTATGACGTGAAAGCTGAAGGCCGACTGTCCGTCTTCTGTTTGGACATCCACCAGGCAAACATCACTGCTTTCCTTCTTGCCTCCTCTGCTTTTTTGCGACCTCGGTGCTCAACAAACTTGACGCCGCACACCACCCGCCAATCATGTGCCTTTTGCCTGTCCATGTGACCTGCCGCGCCCTTGTATCTTTCCTTTTCCCATTTTTGGCACCTGAAGAGCGGCAGAGGCTTCGAGCGATTGACTGACAGCCAACAGAGTGTGTGAGTGACTGTTTGGACCCACGTGATGGGCACGCTCAGGCCTCTGTGAAGGACACAAGCGGACGTGGCAGAGAGAAGCTTTCCCCCCGCCAAAAAGAAACGGACGGATGCATACCGCCGCACTTTATTAGACGAGAAGTGTTGCTTCTCGCTCTCTTGAAGTGTCCTGTTTGGACAGCCCTTTAGCCAAATCAAAATGTGTTAGTGTTTGGGGCGTATCATGTTAAAGAACATATTTTGCAGGATTGTGCCACGGAGGTTCCACGGTAGGTGGTGTAGGGACGATTCAGAGAATTCCAGCCCTCGAGGTTCCCTTGAGAATACCCTGGGGAAGCCTTGGGTACCTAGGGACTTAGTAGCTTCAGCTTCTGAACATGTCCAAGTGATTGAATCCGGGCCTTCCGGCTCTCAGACAACTCGGATTTGATGTCCCTGGGATACGAAAGTGGCGTCACTTTCAGTTGCTTCTGGTGTCACGTCCCAGTACGTCTTACGCTGTTCCTTTACCCTAATGGCAGGGAGTTGGCAACGAGGGGATTGATGAGTGCTCCCCGTGCAGGGAATGCCGGGGTGGCGCACACGCACCATGCTCCTGTGACCTCTGGAAGCAGTGGCGCACCAAGGTTGCCGAAGTCAAGCCGGAAGAATGTGAGTTTCTTTGGCTCGGGCTAGAGTAGCTGAATGTTCCCGGAGTAGCATCGCATTTCATGGTTTTCGCCTGAGCTAATCGAGCTTTCGGATTGACCTAGTGTTGGCCATCTTGATGTCGGGAGAGAGCAAAAAAAGACAGATACACGTTCACATAGGGTTTTGTGCGATATGCGAATTGGCGTCACCTCGTAGACTGGTAGAGAAAATGGAGGAAGGAGTTCACCAGCGTGGTTGCACGTGGCTCTCCGAAAACGGAAGGAGCATTTCTGAAACTGGCATTTTGCATTGAGCTGTTCAGTGTCCGAGTGTGCTAATGCCAAGGAGGTTATAATGGGGAGGAGGTGGCTTCCGTATTCTCCATATATGGGAGCGAAGTATATATGAAGTAGGCTGGCTGCGCTTTTACTGCAGTCTCAGGTAAGTTTCATCACGATTGGGAAACTCAATTATAATTTTCTTGGGGGCAAACAACTGCATTGCCGTGGCAACGTGGTTGTTTGCCCTATTTTTACATGGCGTCCACCGAATCAGTGTTGAACAGGCGAGATAGGGAGCCGAACACTGGCCTGTTGAGTAGGAAGTAGGCGTGCGGCGGACGCTCTTGGCATCGCGCTGAGAGCGCCATCTAGGGTGAGTCATTGTAGCATGCGCAGCTTTGTCGAGGGGACGTATTGGGCATTGCATGCACGAACGTTGAGATTGGCATCAGGCTGAGAAGGACTGTAGAAGTCCTGCTTCCAGCAGGTGTTTGTTTCCTTGCGTCGTGAGGAGAATGCGTGTGCGCATCGAAACTTCTTTTGGTGCGCCGATTGTATCGAAAGCCAGCCATGACGGCGATCAGACGAAGCAGATCGCGGGTACGGAGCAGACGTGGCCTAAGCCTTACGTAGCCGACCGAGTAACGGGCAGATGATGGGAGCTTGGATGAGAGCGAGCGGGTCACTGCGCAAGGCAGTCTGGGATTGAGTGCTTTTTCCGGTGTCGCTGAGCATAGCGTCATGCCGGGTCCCGGGGTACTGTCGAGACCGGTTATAACAAAGTTGGGTATAAGGAAATAGCGGCTACAGCAGAGCGATCACGCTTTCCCATTCCCTTTTGCACTTCGTTGTAACCGAACCCGGTTATAACGAAATAGCGGATATAGCGAAGTGATTTTCGATTCCGGTTGACTTCGTTATAACCAGTCTCGACAGTATTTAAAAGTCCTGGGTTAATGCACTGCGGCTTGGGGTCCGCAGAGAACTCTGGCATTCTGCGTTCAGTCCCCTGGCCTGCCAGTTTTGATCTACCGGGTGATTCAAGGAGAAGGCAGGCTCTTTAAATCGACCGCAAAATTTGGTTTCTTAACCTATCGCGCTACGACCTTGTGCAGCGTTGCCCACAGATGGTGCATTTTTTTTATAACATTTGCAAAGAGCGAACTTACCTGAGGAAAAAGTAAAGAAAGAAAAAGGCTTAGCTCCTATGGAAATGCAGCGACGCCACCGGTCTGGAAACAACACGGCGCCGTAGATGAGAATTGTACCGGCGTATGGTCACTACTGTGTGGAGCACACCGATTAGGCTAGCGGTGGTATCGTGCTGCCCCACTTTCTGATCTACAGTGGTGAGAAAGTTAACTAAGTGACTTCTCGCTTTCGAAACAAACGTGGTTACTGAACGTACAAACACCCGTGTCCGTCCCGGTTTTTGGACTGAATATCCAAAACATGAAAATTTCTAAACATCGCCCACTCCTCCATTTCTGTCGGTATCGCGCAATGTCGGACGGGAACCACTTTAACTGCGCGACCTGCGGAATTAATACGTGTGACGAGCGAGTTTGTAGGGGTTGCTGCGTGTTTGTCGTATCGTGAAACGGGAACCTGCTGCGCCCGCATTCCGCAATGTCCGTTCCCACGTGTGAGCTCATAGTTAGGTCCCATGTTCCTTGTCCGAGATTAACACGTGCGATATTGGTTCCCATGATACTCGAGTTGGCAGTGGGCTTCCGCATGTTCATCCGACCATGAAACGCTCGTCTGCTGCGTCTGCATTCTGCAGTATCCGTTCCTTTGTCCGCGAGTTCGTAGCGGGTTCCCGTGCTCTTTTATTCAATATCTGTGATATTGGTGCGCATGATGAGCGAGTTTGTCGCTGGTCTCCGCATGTTTATTGCATTGTGAAACTCAAATTTGCTGTGTTGCTTGCGTGTTTGTGAAGCACGCAAGTTTGTAGCGGGTTCACGCCTATTTCTTGTCTGCGATCTGTGCGCACAATATCGGTTCCTGCGACATTCAAGTTTGTAGCAAGTTCCTGCATATTATTGCGTTGTGAAATGCAAATCTGCTACGTACGCTGTCTGTGGTGTCAATCTCTGTGTCACATGGTTTGTAGCGTGGTTCGATCACATTTTACTGTTGCATCTCCAAAGGTTGCCCACCCCATATGTTTCACCATTTACCTTTTCATTTTGGATGGGCGTTCTTACGGGATCTTATGGTAGCGCGGCGTTTCCTCGAAGCATGCGATGAAATTTTGTTGGAGTCTTCTCTTCCGTCTCCTGAGGAAGCTGTCGCATGTCGCTGCAGTGGAGAGTGCCTGGTGCCACACTGAGGATGCCGCTAACTCCCTCTGGATGGTGACGAACTCCAAGCCGTGTCCCTCCTGCAAGTCTCCCATCCAGAAGAATGAGGGCTGCAATCACCTCAAGTGCTACAAGGTGGGCACCAGTAGAGCGACTTGCAGTCAGGTGTTTACATGGAATTTCTCCTCACCCGATTTGCGTGAGCAATATGCCATACATGATTAAATTGCCAGCAGAGTGCCGTCATTTCGTGGGGACATTCTCGGAAAAGTTTCACGGAACTTTATTCTTTCGGCACGGATAGAGTTTCTTGGTTTCAAATGGAATACTGTTTTCACTCCGTCCTTTTACCCACCCTGGTGGTGTTCTTTAAAAGGAGGCATTTTCCTGGCGTTTTCTTTCAGTGCAAGCATGACTTCTGCTGGGTGTGCCTAGATCCGTGGCGCAAGCACAACTCTGCCACTGGAGGCTACTTCCGCTGCAACCGCTTCGAGGCTGTACACCGTGCGGAGGAGAGGGCGAACACCATCATCAGCGAGGTGAGAGAGGTCGCCGGTTACACTACATGATCTATAGGATTTTTAGGATCATTTACTGGTATCTTGAAGGGACGACGTAACAAAACATAATTGCGGAAACACTCTGGTGAAGATTAACCATAATGAACAAGCCTCGAAATTGAGGAAAGTGCAAGCGTGGGACAGCAAACGTGCACAGAGGTCTCGAGTTTGGGGCCCTGGTGAGCGCATTTTTGGGTGTGCTGTCTTTGGACTTGGGGGTTTTGTTCATCCTCATAAAGAGTTTACTCGTGGGACAACCTTTGCAGGTTTCATAAATGCAGGCTAATTAAAATTCTTCGAAGTTTTAATCCCTTTTTTTCTCCTTAGTTAGTACAGTCAAATCTCGATACGAATTTCATTGGACTCACAAAAATCGTTTGTTATTCTGAAATATCGTTATAATGAAAAACTCGTAAATTGTAATTAAATTTGAGCAAAGATAACATACCTTTGCAATAGGAATATCCAAATGCTTGGTTTTATCTTAAAAAAAAAGAAAAAAGCTACATGTGATTGAACACTGCATATTTACTGAAAGGAAAGGTCCAGCACAAACGCTACAGGAAGAACGATCCGACGTTGACAGTGACACAGGCACCGCTCAGTCCTCATGCGATTGGACACGGCACAGTTAATGGAAGAAATCCGAGATCATCTCCTGGTTGGTACAGCACAAACGCTGCAGGACGAACAATTCCAAGTTGTCCACCTTCCTGTGGACAGCCTCGGCCACATTGTCACGCCTTCCAAGGAATATGCGCAACTTGCCGATGAGGTACAGCCTACTTGAAGGAGAAGAATCCGAAGTTAGACATTTAGGCCTAGTGCACATTTATTTCCCGGGTCGATCTTTGATGATGATGATGGTTTCCATATGGTTGGGTGTCTTGGGAGCCACCAGGCAGCCAAAATGCACCTGTTGCTGTAACTTCAAATTTTTTTCGCTAACCACAATTGCTTTTGGCCGTTTTTTCTTTTTCTCTTTTGATATAAATTTGTAAGATTGAGGTGTTGTTTGCATAAGTAAAGAATTTAAATTATGTGCATTATTTTGAAATATTCGGTACTTTGAAATTCATAGCATTGAAATATTTTTGCATTGAAACTTATAGGCATTCGTAGGGGACTTTTGAAATGTTTGTAAATCTGAAAAATTTGTTATAACGATGTTCGCAATAACAGGGTTTGGCTGCACTATGTCATAAAGATTTGCTGGTTGCCAGTGGTCAAGGCCCTCCAGACCTAACTGCACGATTTTTATGATGAAACATTATGCTTTAAAGCGAAAGCTTTAAAGGGATAGTGAAACGAAATTTCGAGCTCTCGAACCAAGGGTAGACGGACAGGCGGGACGCTGCAAAACCCCAAAACATCACTCATACAGTAATATCTCTAATGGATCGCCGTATTTTTGGAACAGAAGTGCGCAATTGAACACAGCTGACGAGGCCGATGAGACAAATCACGTCACGATTCTCATTCCCTCTCCTCCTCGCTATGTGCCGTCGAGCTGGTGAACTGAAACGAGGAGAGAAGCGAGGCCGCTTCCCCTCATTCTCAAATTTTGCACGAGGACAATGACGTTAAAGACCTTGCTTGATCGCGCCCTTCTTTTCCAAAAGTACAGCCTTCCGTTTGAGATATCGATGTATGAGTAATGTTTTGGAGTTCGTAGTTTCCTGTTCCCCGCTTCTGCGGCCTTATTTCGCGAAAGTGAAGTTTCGGTTCAGTATCCCTTTAAGGAGCTTGTGTCGCAGAAAAGCCAGCCTTGTTGTCAGTGAGATCGGAAAATCCTGATTGATCAATAAGTAATTCATTTGCCTTAAAGCAAATAATTTATCACTTATTTGATCTGTTTCGCTCACGCCATCGACCTACTTGAACTTCTGCATCTCTGCTGTATTTCTGTGCAGGCACTGTTCACCATTAAATATTTAACAATGACAAAACATCATGATATAAGAAAACACAATCATATGACAGTGCATGATAGCGAAACTTTTGCCTGCCATTTCGAGGACGTCATGGAAGGGTATGTAATCCTTGTGATCATGTGTGTTTTCCGGAGCAGCGGAAGCCTACAGGTGGGGGGAAGGGGTGGAGCGAGAGGTAGGCTTGTCGTGTGTGAGAAATGAAGGGGGAGAGGGAGAGCGGTGCCTCTGCTATGGAGTGGGGTTTTGCGTTCGTACACGAGCATTTTTTCCTGGGAAGGGGCACTAACAGCTACTGCCATGAAAACCGGTTCCTTGTCCATGCTTTATGAACGTGAAGTGTTTGACTCGGTAAAGTGGACAATTGTTTTCTTATTAATGATGAGGGAAATTGAAGGAATTTCCAGGTTAGTGTGGTTGTACAGTCTACTTTGCCATCGTGGTGCTTTTTCGTCTAGGCCGAGGCCAAGAACAAGGAGATGCGGGAACTGCAGAGGTTTGCCTACTACTACACCCATTTCAAGGAACACGAGAGCAGTCACCAGGTGAGTGACATTGCCACTTGCACCACTGCTTGCACTTCTTCCCATTCACCAGTGGAATGGCACAGACGCTGCTTTGTGTAGGACCTGTATTTGTATCCTTCTCGGGGATGTGTAATGTCCGATTTGTGTGCTAGCATTGGGGTGTTGTTTGCTGCTCTTATTGCAAGAAGTCCTCTGGGACACCTTGAAATCAGCGTTTCATACCCGAGCCAGTCTTATTCGAGTAACTCGTAATTGCATCTCCTTATGCAAGCTGTTGTTGCCACGAATGAGCAGGAACAGTGCTCCTCAAACTTAACACCGCCACTGGGTTCCCAAATACTGGGCTTGTGTCGGCTACTTACTGTAAAATTTGTCACCAAAACGTTCGGGATGCCTTGTCAGGATGGGATATAGACCGAAAACCCAGACATTCTTCACATGATTCAATCGGCCGCTGCAGGGACTGTCAAAAACAGCAAATGCCGTGGCGGCGTTAAGTTTGAGGCGCACTGTACATGCAAAAGTGGAGCTTTCGGATAGGTCCAGCAGTCTTTTCAAATTAACAAGTTTAAATTCATGACTCTATTGAATCTTGTGGGGGCAGATATCTGATGTAATACATACCAACAAGCACAAAGTGCTGCAAGCGTAATTTGCAGCTTTGAAAACAAACTATATAGGAAATGAGCCAAGTCAGTCATCTCTACATACATAGCCCTCCCATTGCTACTGCTGTTTTTTCATTGCAGCTATTCCAAGGCAATTTCAAGCTTGCACTTCTGCCTTGCGACATGAGCAGACGTAGAAAATTCTTTATCGAGTTAGGCTTAATTTTTTTCTGAAACAACTTTTGAGCTCGAGGCAGGGTGTGGAGACTTCCCCGAATCATTTGTATAGATGAATGGTAGTGGCTATTGACAACCAAACTAATGAGGGTGCTCTGTCCAGCTTGTTTTCCACAGGGCTTGGTGTTTGCCCGCCACAAAGCCCGTGGACGAGACATCATCTTCCCCGGTCGAGTGCAGGGCGCAGGTGGTGCACGAGTGCTGCATACACTGATGGAGCCCCAGTCTAATGTTGACTCAGTCACAAGCCTTAATAATTGAGTTGACAAACAGTTGAGCTGGTTAAGCGTACGCACAATTTAAAAACTGGAGACGAACGGACAAGAAAGGGACAAATGCACACGTGTCAAGTTTGAGACGTGTGTTTGTGCCTTTCTTGTTGTCCGCTCGTCTCCGGTTTTTAAATAATAGAAAATAATTTGTGTTGTTGTCCCTATGTGTTTGGTTCTAAAGTTAGCCATTAGGGACATGTCTGTTGGATCTCCTCTCTATTACCCTTTGTGTCGGTTTGTACCCTTGCCCCACCTGGCCTACAACACTTGAGCTCGGAAGCAGCGTCGAGGTTGCCGTCACACTTATTTCTTTGCAGACGGAGGAGGCCCTGCTGGAACGGGCTGCAGAGAAGGAGGAGCTCTGGCTGTCTGAGCTCGGCCCTGGGGAGGAGAATCAGTCGCAGGCGCGTTTCCTGTGCAGCGCGGTGCAGGAGTTGCTGCGCGCGCGGAGGATCCTCTGCGGCTCGTATGCCTACGGTTTCTACCTGTACGAGGACGGCTACGGCCGCACCGTGTTTGATCTGATGCAGGTGAGGCCGTGTTGCCTTCCGGTCTTTGGCTTATGGCTAGGTTCTTTTCTAGTACAGAAGCGTGCACGAGCGAAACAAAGCGAAGGATTCTGAAGCACAGCAGTCTGACGTTGCAACAGATGGTTGGCACCGCTGAAGGAAGTGCACGAGCCTAATCGTTCAAATACGAAGCTCATTGCTGTTTCAACTCTAGCCTTGAACACTTCAACCACTTGTGTTTCCTCACACTACTGAGCCGACGCCGCCTAGAGTATTTGATGCCTGCGAACATCCTCCTCTTCCTTGGTGACGGAAGCACTGCGGCGTTTGCGCCGGACTGTGCCACGATCGCAAACCCGCTACATGTCTCGTCAAAATACCATTTTTGCGAAGAATTGCACCAAGATGAGCTTGAGCTAAGCAATGAAAGCAAAAAGATGGTCTTTGTAAAAGGGCTTGCGGTGCAATTGTAGCCATGAATGGAAATACTTCCCTTCGGCTTAGACTGAAAGTGAGGAGATGGACCAATTCAAGCAAGTAGTACGTGTGCGGGTGTAGAAGAAGTTTCTGAAAAACACGCACCCCGCCGCTGGCGTCGAGCTTCATCTCCTTGCACGGGAGCACACGTGTCAAGCTTTACTGCTCCGCATCAGAGCACTAGGAGCAGCGACTGATGGGGGAGAGCATTTGCCTTATCTCTGAGGTCTCCAAAATTATGCTCACTAGTAGCATTGGTCAACCAACAGTAAACTAAATAAGAAAATTAAAAAAAATTAGACCTACATTTTTAATAAAGATAATAGTCACCCAACCGTCAGTCGATCAACAAGTCACTACACTGAATTCTGACTCAGTTTAGCTCCAATACTGCTCATATGCCGCAGAGTAATGCGAGATGGTCGTTTCGAAGCACATATGTAAGTTTATACACTTTTTGTGGGTGTTCGTTTTTGCGGTATTCCTATAAACTAGGTGAATGTATTTTCATCAATCAACGTTTTACTGATTATGCGTGTATTGTGCTGAGATTTTACGGGGGTTGTGCTGGAGGGTGACGAGATGCATCGTCTAAACTGAAGTGTTGCACATGCTCCGCACGAAAATCTCTTTATTTGTCTGAGGAGCGGATATTTCAACCATTTTTTTTCCTCTTAATAGTACCTAATCCTTCTGCTTAAAACAAATATTCTTATTGCAAAAAGAAAAAAAAATGTAATGTGTTTTTATATGAAATATGAACCTTTTCGGTGATCATCAAAGATGGGCACTTGCGATGAGTTTTATTATTTAATTTCCGAGTAACGTGCTAACGTACATGCTAGCACTTGCTCCAAAAGCATCAGGTGCTGCTGCAAAATTAACATTTGGCCCACTACAGACTTGCTACAAAAGTTTGAATGCTGCTTCCATCGCTGCTTCCTCCATTGAACGTCATAGCAGTGGGATGTTGCCAACTGAGGAATTGACGATTTGCAGACTGCAGGTCGCAGAACGAGACTTTAACGGTGCGTGGAAGACTAGTCAGAAACTTAAAACTTTGACGCACTCGTGATAAAACATGCGGCAGGTCCGGTAACGCTCTTTCGGCTGCCGAGGGGGAGCCATCAGACTTCCCTTCCATCTCTATACGGCAACTATCCAAGCTTTTTCTCCCCCGAAAAACATGCTTGTCCGACCGAAATCTAAAAGAAACAAAAAAACGGGCACTCCCTTTTGTGTAAAATTATTTCTCGCAGTCATTGGCGGCACAGTGCGCTGGCATTATTAGAAACAAAGCGACCAATGATGCCGTTCTTGCTTCTGCGGCAGGCTGTTACAGTGTACGCCTAAAAATGGCATCACGGCTATTCGCTTTCGGCCGGAAAGGGGACACGGTATCGCTTTGTACAAGTGCAATGGCTTTTTTGGAAGAAGTCGTCCGAACATGGGCTTGCCTAGCGTCTTTTGACACACCGATTGGACGCAAAGCCCGGCCGATCGCCGACACGGTGCTCGCATCCAATTTCCGTCTGCTCAATCTCGCTGTGACAACATCAAAATTCTATTGCGTGGGTTTGAGTTATGAGTGCCATCTGGGGGCTTGTCTGCTAACTACAGTGGAATCTCGTTAATTCAAACCCTCTTAATTCAAACTTGCGGATAATTCAAACTAACATGCAGGTCCCATCCTACGCGTCTCTATGGGAGGAAACTCCCTGTAATTCAAACTTTGCTTAATTCAAACAAATTTTAGGTCCCCCTTGAGTTTGATTCAACGAGATTCGACTTGGAAACAAAGGGCAGCCCAACGTACCTTCGCCGGTCGGAACGCGTTGGCGACATACCATTGTATCGGTTTTCGTTGCTTTTAATGCCCCATACTACTGATACTTAGAAAAGAACTGTCAAAAAAGAGGAAATATGAGCTAGGATGAATGCTGGGAACACTAACCGTGTGGAAGGACGGCGCCCTCCGTATATGGCGACAGCAGGAAGCAAGGCCGGGTGAGAGGATTAGTGCACGTGCGGGAGCTTACTGGTAAAAAGGCTCATTCTTCCATGCAGTGTTGACTGAGCGCAGAGTCCCGATCACCCTGCAACAGTTCGATGCAGTCATTGACCGATTTTCTTTTACTGGAGGGGGTGCCGAAATTGTCTGAATAATTAAGTGGTTCGAAAAATCGATTTCAGCCAAATTATAAAATTTCTGCGCGTATTCCGCTGCGTATTGGCCACTTACCTCTTACTTAATGTCAAGTCTGAGTTCTCGTGCAACTTCCGCTTTATATTGTTCACTTTTCACTTATTTGTTTATCTGTTTGATCACGGTGGTGCGCTTTGTCGGCGCCTTCGTTGGCACAAACAGCGAAGTTGAAGTCAGCGCCATTTGGCACTATTTGGAAACAACGTTTCCACCAAGCTTGCTTCAATACTAACCCTATCGCCAAAAAAACTTTCGCGTTCGAAGACCACAAGAACGGCAGACAACTGCTTTTACCGCGGTCGCACTCAAAAAGCACGGATTACGAGAAGGACTGGAAGAACAGCGGCCATGTTGACTATGGCGGAACCGGAAAACCCGACTATAGCCTCAACCCAGCTTGTTTATTGCGTAGGACATGGTATCGAGACTACAGGGCAAGATCCAAACAACCAAAATGGTGGCGACTAAACTCGCGGGCGCTAACGCGGTGGCCGTTTTGTGGCTGTAAACTGAGGAAGTTACGCAAATTACGTCCGAAATATCGAGCAATAAGCTTTATGGCGTCCGAAATTTCGGTCATTGTTATACATTAACTCTATGGGGTGAGTGGCGGTTCAGCGAAAACGTCGGAATAATCAGAACTGCCCGAAAAATCGGTCGGCGACTTTACAGTACTCTCAAACGTGCGTGACGAGCTTCGCTTTCGAATTAGGCATAATTTTTTTCCTGGAACAACTTTTGTGCTCTAGACACGGTGTGGGAACGGCCATTTGTTTGTTCCTAGCGTGACCTCGAGGAAGCCTCTGGCAAGCTCTCCGGCATGCTGTGCGGGCGCCACCTGCGGTGCCCTCGGCGAGTCGTGGTCGAAGCGACTGACAGGGTGGCGCGTAAACGCCTGGAGCTGCTGCGGGCAGTGGCCCAGGGATTGGTACCCCCCGAGAGCCCACCCAGAGCCCCCCGGGGAGTTCGGAAGAGGCCCTACCCGACTGTGCTTGGGCTAGACCCTCCCGAAGACGTGAGTGGGTCTCGACCCTCCACTTTTCTGTGTCCTAATTTTTCCCACTTAGGTAAAATTAAAAAATTGCCTATTCCTGACGATTTTTCAGCTTCCCTGTCTCATTAGGGAAAGTTAAAGGGAAACTGAAGTGGTTCCGTATTTGAGAAAAAAAAAACGCTTAAATCGTCTTCATTTGGCCTCCAGGATCACTAATATCATTATATCTTAGATTGATGCGCCAACTAGCCGCTACAGCGCTTTCAAACTTGGGCTGATGAAATAGGGCTGGTGCATAATAAGGCTATGGCACGTTTGGTAGGAGGAGGGAATCGTGACATATTATATAGAAATCTCAACACATCCGCACCTTCCGCGAGTCTTACCCGAGTGGTCGAAAACGCTGCGTGCGGTCCCTCACAAGTGGTACGTGCAAAACTGTTAAAACCTCTGGGTATGACATCACACCCGATGGTTGGTTTTGTCTTTTTTTTATTCTCGTCGATCGATACGTCTGGGTCAAATGCGTGTGATATTCAAATTCACAGGACAAAACTATGCTAAAATTCACCTCTAATTCTTTCCTTTTTTCAAGAACCTCTTCATCTTTTTTTTTAAAGGATAAGGAATTCCCTATTCCTTACAACTCCTTAACATCTTCACTCTACTAGAGAAAGTTGGGGAATTCCTTTTTTTTACCAGTTCCCCAATTTCACTACGGAAAGTTAAGGAATTCCCTATTTCTGCTAATGCTCCATCTTCCCTACTCCTTTAAGAAAAAAACTTTTGCTGAATATTTATGTTGTTGGTTCCAATTTAGGTGGAGGTCATGACCCGCTAAGCCCCGCCCAGTGCTTACACTGCTTGCACCTCTCGTTGGCTGGAGAGATGATTGATGTGTGAAATCTTGGTCGTAAAATTGTTTCTCTGTGCTGTAACAGTTTTTTGTTCGACATAATTTTGTTTGATAAACAAATGATCTACTAGATATAGTCATTATTGTTTTCAAAAATATCCCGACATTGCCTTTTCCACTTTGGTTTCAAACGATTACAAGCAACACCACATAGCTCCTCGTGCTCGACTATTTTTACAAGTGCAAGCCATTTTGCATTCACTGAGTTGCTTAGGACAAGGTCTCCTCAATTGACGTAGTTTTCAGCAGACAACTGTCGCAAGTACACACCCTGGGAAGCATTGGGCAGGTTGTTTTTTTATTTGCGGAATCGGCATAAGCCTTGCATTTCATGTCAACTAGTTCACTTGATCTGGTTTGATATGTCTGTTTGAGCATGTTGATGCTGAATAAAGATGTTGGTTCCCGTAACAGCGGCCCCACTGCTTTGTGAATTGTGCAACTGTCGTGATTGTGACTGTGGTTTTAGAACTGAGAGGACACCTACATGGGTAAGCGAGCCATTCGGTCGGAATCAATTGGGTGCCCACCTTGCGTCATTTTTGTTTAGGTAGGACAAAATAATTAAAAACTGGTGGATTGTCATAAAAGCAAATACGAGCCTATAAATTGGCACAGTCTTTAGGAAAATGTGAATAAAAAGGCACTTTTAATGTGAAAGCATTACGCCGTCATCAACTGCCGCGCCAAACGGTAGCTAAACTCCCCTCTTCCAGTGGAGCAAATCGAAACCGCGACCTGAAGGCTCCAAGCTCTGAAGCCGCGCAAGAAGCCAAGCCAAACAACAAATACAGTGTAGACCGCATATAACGTATGTCTCGGGAGTTGCGAAAATCCGCACTATAAGCGGTACCGCACTATAACCAAAACATCAATTTTTCAGGCCAAAATACATGCCATGAGACAACTTACCTTTGTAAAAGAATTTATTTTATGTTAGATGAAAAATAAAGCTTAGTTTGAGGACAGTCTTTATTTCACCAGACTAGTACAGTTCTGTCTCAAGTGAGTCACACATTTTGAAAGAAATGAGCGGCTTTTGCCTGGCGCAGTCTTTTAACGGCGTCGCGGGTTGCGGACGGACGTTGCGAGCGTTCAGGATTGCTAACCCTAATCACTTTTCTCCGGAGATGAAAACGCGTGAAAATTCGCATTCTTCATACGGTACGCGCCAGTAATACCTTGAACTTGAGCACACGCATGAAATGCGCCAAATAAGAAATCCGGGCGATGTTCGAGGACACAAATGCTTAGAAATCACCACTGTAGTCGAAGTAAACAAACACGACGACACGGGCGTTTCTGCCGTCTTGAGAGCGCCGCCACGACACCGCCGCACGAGTAGGTGGATCTTCACTTCTAGTACGTGCTGGGTTATCATAGCGATACACAACGAAAATTCACAGCCAAGGATAGCGCTTTTACGCAGAACGATGAGATGCACGCAGTCTACGACGACGATCACAACCGATGCCATGTTTGCGGAATAGAAGCAGCCGGCCCCCCGCGACTGGCATACAACGCGCGCGAACACTTCTCCTCGACCTGCGATTGGTCTGTCGTTGCGGTTGTTTGTTTCTTTGATTCCAACGCAGCGGAGGGACGCATGCACGTGAACGACTCGTGCGTGCGTCCCTCCGTCGCTATGGCAACTGAAGCCTCTCTCTTCGCTTCTCCCCACGTTTTCGAGCAACCTCCTTGCCCCGCGAGTGCAGTTTGCGGCTCGCGCTGTCAGCGCCGTTATCTAGTGTCGCACAGGGAAGCGAGCTCGCTGCTCCGGTCGTCGGCGCGGTCGGCGGGCTGTGCCAAAAACCGCACTATAACCGGTATTTCCCTTCGCGCGCCTGCATTTTAAGCGGTATGTAATTACATGGAGTTCTATGGGAGGTGAACCGGTGGTTTAAAAAAACCGCGTTATACCCGGTCCTGCACTATAAGCGGTTACGTTGTAAGTGGTCTATACTGTACATTCCCCTCTCCAAGTGAAGCCGAAATCTGAGGGATAGGGAGGGCTCCCATCGGCTGGCGTGCGCCATAGTTTCAAGGAACAAGGCTCCCATTGGCCAAGGTGCGTCAGTTTCAGGAGAGCCACCCCATGGCGCTAAGTGTCCGTGCCAGAGCGTGCCGGGAAAATGAAGCGTATGGCTGGTGGGGCCTCCCAGAGAGAGCCCGCTTGAGCATACTCCGGAGCGCGGTGCAGCCACTTCACGAGAACGTGCACAAGAACGACATTCATGCTTTCGCATTCACAACTCATAACAAGTGCTTTAGGTGTACCTCGAGCCCTTTTAAACAAAACCTAGAAAAAGCCAAACAAATTTTTAAAGGCTGCATTTAGGTATTTGTATAGGCATCTATAGGCAAATGGCCTAAACATCTGGGCCCCAGTCATGACACTCACCCGCCTTGCTGGCAGATGCTGTGTAAGAAAACAACTGTGACAGAAAAGCTGGAAGAATCGCTCACTTTTTCTGTTTTTATTATCCTTTTAGCCACTTTACACACACCTGAACTGGACCGTAGCTTGTGCATGATGCAATGCTATACCATTTTTATGGTCGCGTCTTGCAGGCGATCCAACTATAGGTAGATGGCGACAGAATAGCAGATGGACAGAGGCAATGGCAGACGCTGACGTGCCATTTTCATGGTCACATCTTGCGGACATTTCAGGTGGTGGCAGAATAGCGGACGGCAGCGATGGCGGATGCTGACTTGCTTCTTTCGTGGTCGCTTCTTGCGAGTGTTCCAGATGGGGGCGGAACAGTAGATGCGGACAGCGGCAATGGTGGATGCTGGCGCACTGCTTTCATAGGCATGGGGAGCACAGTGGAGTGATAAAGTTACCACTCTTGCAGAAGGCGCAAGACACTACGGGTGTGATAACGCACTCATAGTGTCCGTAGTGTCCCTATCATCCATATTTTCTTGCTGCCAGCCTTGTGCCTGTTGGACGAGTGGTAACTTATAGCATGCTACTGTGCTTCCCATGTGCTCAGTTTTTCTAAAAATTACTGATTTAGTGATTTTCAATAACGTTCAGTGAACTTCTAATTGGAACCATATGTTTATTTTCACTAAATAAAAAGTGAATTGACAAGTTATAGTCATTTATTCGACTTTCCGTGACGATTAGCCCCCTATATTATGTGCCTCTGGCCGTATAACTCGCCTGCACAAACTGCATTATGCGCTTTTCTAAAACAAATTTGTAAATCCTATAAAAGACACTCTGTATAAATGAATAAGTAAAAATAAAACTTGGTAAGGAGTAGACATTATCGTGTATGCCGCCTTGTTTTCAACGCCTAGGGGTGAGTTGACGGATTTTTCTCCGTCCCACACGACACAGGAGCAAGTGTTGCTGGCGCTGTTGGAGTCTGTCGGAGACGCCCCGCTGGACGATCCTTGGGTCAAGGACGTCCGAGGATGCCACGCCAACGTTGCCGCCCTCTTCGACTGGCCTCCTGAAAACGACAGCAACTCCTCGGCTGACGAGGATGCAGAAGACCTCTTCGGCGATGTCCTTGGTAGGCTTGTTGCCTCTGGTTTCTTTCCACCGTCCGCCCGGACTATTTTTGAGGTTGGCGCGGTTGCAGGGTGGGCCGAGAACAAACTCTGTCATTACAGTGTCTGGAGCACATTTCCGGCTTGCACTATGCCGGCTCCCGCTGTGGCATTTGTCACATCTTCGGGACCACTTTCGATGTGTAGGTGGGATTTGACGGTAAATGCACAAGCCAACGATGCCTTCTAGGCACCATACTGTCGTCTTGTTGTGGTTCCCAGAAATGTGGTGAATGTGAGATTCGCGTCCTGAATGCCTCGAAAATCCTCGAATTGAAATGCTTGGTAGGTTGGCTCTTGAATAGTTCATGTAGAAAATTCAAGAGAAAATTCACTAGTGCCATCACTTGCGTTGTAAGGTCGGACAGTCTAGGGAACGGTCTGGAGGTCGACAGCAAGTACTGTGAAAGATCAGCGAGGGTGTTGAAAAGAAACTTGCTGTTTGCGTCTGAGCACCGCCTTAGAAAAGTTGTCCTCCCTTCAGTTGGCACGCAGCAAGATAGTGTCTAAAATACTATTGTCTTTTTTAGTACGATGGGATTTCACGGATTTTGCGTCCTCGAGAAGCTCTCGGCAAGCCACTTATGGTGTATTATTAGAGCGCAGCTCTTAGGCACCCGTTTCCAGGTTGGGCGGCGTCGCCATCGTCGTCGACATTCGTCGACATAACCGTGCATTGCATTATAGGACCTTTACCATAATGACGTCAGACGTGGCATCACGAGGGTCCCTAGAGTCACTAGTGAAGGTCATGACGAAGGTCACAACCTTCACGTGACCTTCAATCGTGACATGACCTTCGCTCGTGACGTCACAAGGGTCACGAGAGAGGAGGAGAGGGTACCCTCCTCTCTGTACCCTCCCCTCCTCCTCAACAGCTGGACTCTAATTGGGCATTACAGGGAGTTGTAAACGTTTTTCATTCTTTTATTTAAAAATCTAGGCATCCTGCACTGAGTACGCTTGTTGCGTCCACAGGTGTGTGCGCCAGGGATGGTTGCAGCAGGCCGCGGGCACGTAACCCCAGGACGCGAGAGATGCACGAGCACTGCTCCTTCAAGTGCCATCGGCTCGACAGAAACAAGGGTGAGTGCAAGGCTTCAGATTGCGCAACATTTGTTTATTGCAGGTTTCATAATACAATGAGTTGCAAGTGTGCTCTGCGGTGTGTGTCTTGTTTTACCGGTCCACGTCTTTTTAGCGTTTTCAATCGTCGCAATGCTGCGTCTTTGTCGGATGCCAGTGACGCTTACTAGGTATTGCAATGTTCCGTTGAAGGACCCATTTGAGTAGTACGACTTTCTTCAACAAGAAGCGACCGACCGACAAACGGGTGCTATCGAGCCCCGCAGCGAGGCAAGGGAGGGAAAAGCAGCGAGGCAAAAGATGTTTGGCTGAACATTTTTATCGGTAGTAAACAGCGAAGCTCAAGACTGCTAAAATAATGCTTAAAAAAAGAAAAAAAAAAAGTGCTTTGAGGTAGGCGTGGTCGAGGAAATCTAGGAGTTCAGAGAACCTCTAAAGGTCCGTTCACACTCTTGCAACCCAGTACGACCGAGGGAGACCAGACCGGTCTTTAAGCCTCTTGCGATCTCGTAGGACCAGCTCCGCTGTAGCGCATCCGGTCCTAAGAGGTCGCAAGAAGCTTAAAAACCGGTCTGGTTTCTCTCGGTCGTACTCGGTTGCAAGAATGTGAACGGGCCTTAAGGGTACTTCGGGGAATTCCCAGGCTCCTAGGTTGCAGGCTAAACCATGCCTCTATGTTTTCCAATCGGAGCTCCGACGAGTGTCCACACTCGCACGGACGGAGCGTCGCTTTTCCGAATGCAGAGCAGCTGTGCTATGCACACCCTTCTTGCTTCGGACAAACTGAGGCCGCATTTTTTGACGGGTCCTTCGGGTGTTCCGGTTGCCTGCTTCCAGACGTGCGGCCGGCGCGGTACGAGGCGGAGTTCTCGATGGACCTTCTCATTGCACTCGAGATGTCTCGGCTACAGATGATCGAGGACCAGCGTCGCTTCGAGCAGAATCAAAAGAATGGGTGAGTCTCTTTGTACTGGGCGTAACTGTGGGTGCGTGCGTTTGCATGGGTCACTGGAACGGGCAAGCATATTCCCGATGAATCGGAGCTTTTTCTCGGGTTGTACAATCTACGAGCTGTTGGAAGGTTTTTTGCGCGGGAATCTGCATTTTTATCAAACGGCCCATTTTGATATGGTAATGCTTGTCAGAGCGACATGCGGTCAAATCTTTTTAAAAAGAAGTTTCGAATAAAATGTTTTGGTATTCCTCATGTCTTTACAGGGGTCCTCTTGTCTTTTGATAAGTGGAACTTTTGTGCAGTGGAGCAGTTGTGCATGAACTTAAAGACATTCTGCTCCATTTATTAAAGTTCAAGGGGACCAGTATTTGAGTATTTATAAGACTTGTTGCATCTTTTATGGGATGTTTATTTTGACACAAGGAGGGGGGGGAAGAGGCAGGCAATAAGGGGGGGGGGGGGGAAATGTTGGATAAACTTTCTTGCTTCACCTGTCTCCTTGATGTCTATTTAAATCATAGGTTGGTGAAACTGTTTTCATTTTTTTAGTATTTTCTAGGATGTTTACATTACTGACTTTAAGGTTAAGATTCTAATAAAAAAATAAAAGACGCTCACTGCACAGCTAGCAAAGAAAGACATTACCGTATATTCGCAATGTTTTTCACACTTGTCCTGAGATGCCAGCAGTTTGTCATCTCTTTGCTTAAGTATGGCCTCCCCGAATTTTCTCAACAGCATTTCAATATTCGGATCTAGAGTCGTTTCAAAAGTTGCTCTAATTTATGCAGTAAACCATTTAGAAATGTTTTAATTATGCACGACTGCCTGATTCTCCCATCTCGTTGGCTGCCCTGAAGCCCCTCTCAAGCATACCTTAGCAGGGTGCTTTGAGGTTGCTAGTGTCGCTTGGCAACTCTAGCCGCTGCACAATCATTGTCTAACTTTTTGTAACTAGTCCTCTTTCACCAGAACTCTCTGGGTTGTTTGGATATGTAAAACACAGGCAAATTCCGGGGTACATGTGGTCGATGCCACAAGCACGGTATGTTCCAGACTACCGTAAAATGCCGTACGAATGCCCAGCCAAAATCAAGAGAGGTAAATGGTGAACAATATGGGGTAAACAATCTTTGAAGATGCGACAGAAAAATGTTAAAAAAGAAACTAGTGATAAACACAAACATGAGTGGGGGTTGCTACAAACCACTTGAAATGGTAACTGAAACCACAGATTGCGGACACGGCACATTTGCGTTCTATGGTCCGATACACGGGTGGGTATTTGCTACGGACTACCCTGTCCCGGGAAAGGAGATTACAGAATGTTGACGCAGCAGATACGCACTAAGTGGTGTGATAAACACGCAAATGCCTGGTTCAAACTCGGGTGTGACAGGAACCGATGTTGCATGCGCAGGTTGCGGACAAGCGCAGGAACCCGGTACAAACTTGCTTGTTATGAGAACGGATGCTGTGGATTGCGGACATGACAAATTCATGTTTCACGGTGCGATAAACACGCGAGAAACCGCTACGAACCAATATCGTGCACACAGATCGCATACAATGAAACGCAGGAATCGGCTACGAAATGGCATGTCACGGGAACGGATATTGCAAATCGCGGGGTTGTGGAGAGAAAAAAAAAAAATGCGGGAATGAGTTACAAACTTGCATATTGCGGGAACAGACATTGCAGATTTCAGATTCAGCAGTTTTGCGTGTCACTTTTGCAATAAATGCAGAAACATCTGCTGAACACACGCTTGTCACACGTGTCGCTACCGCAGATTGCGTGGTTGATCTGATTCCTGTCGGACATCACATGATTGACGTCTGGCGGGAATCGGGGTGGTGAGCTATGTTCTGGAATTTATATGTTATGGATATTCAGCCCAAGAAATGGGATGGGCAATCTCCCGGAGGCGGGCGTCCATTCAGGATTCTGTGGTATAATCTGTAAAAATAAATTTCAGTTGAAAAAGAAAGTTTTCCTTTAGGTAGTTCACACCTAATGCATAGTTTAAACCTGTTGCCTAGCCCGCACGTAAAAAAAATTTCATACACAGCACATTTTGACGGATGCCTGTTTTATTAGAACATAGAAGAAAGCTTGTAACATACGTAATTCATCATTAACATGCCCTGCCATTCTCAAGATCCATCGTGCGTGCCATCACAACGAATTATCTAGAAAAAGTGAATCCTGGTATGGTCTGCACTTGTGAATTGTCCGCACCGCGAGTGATTTCAACTTTTAAACGTGTACTATGTTTTCCGGTATATAAGACGCATCCCCACTTTTCGCAAGTTACTATGTAAAAATGAGTATATAAGACGCACCACCGAAAGTTGTAGAAAAAGCGTGCGTCTTATGTATGAGACGCATCGTTGAGACGCACTCACCACTTTTTGCAAGTTTCTAAGTAAAAATTAGTATATAAGACGCACCTGTTTATAAGACGCACCGCCGAAATTGTGGAAAAAAAGTGTGTCTTATACACCAGAAAATATGGTATAATCCAGAAATCATAGTCCCAAAAATATGGTACTACCCAGCTTTTTGCCTCCTTTCTGACATCCCCAGCGAGGAAGTAAAACTGGAACGGTTACCTTTCAGAGAGCCAGCGAGCAGCGGGGATGCGGGAATGTTGTCAGAGTCCCTGCGCTCGCAGTTAGCAGAACAGAGGGCGGAGGCAGAAGCTCTCGTGGAGGCCATCCAGGAGCACTACAGGCAGCACGCGGGTTCTGGCAGGTGACACACAAACACACATCTGGGATGCCTGGAGCGCTTTCCCCTATTGGCGCCGTTCAAGTCTTCAATTTGTCGCTCTAGTTTCTGTCTGCCAATGTTGTGATGGCGTACCATATTTTCTGGACTACGATTTGCAGCCGCAAATTTAAGTTTAAAGGAAAATGTTTTTCCGTAGGTAGCTTGCACCCGGTGCGTAGTCCATACCCGGTGCCTAGTCCATGCAAAAAAAAGTTTATTCTACGCTGCGCATCTGGACAAAGGCTGAGCTCGAAACCACCTTGTTTTGGCAGAAGCCAAGATACTAACTCGGAACGGCAGGAAGCAGGGGGATCGGGGGGTGCACTGTCTCCAGCGAGTCCATACGGTAAGCCAATGCTTCCTCTTTTTAATCAGTCCTTTTTACTTCTACCTTTGGTGGCATTTATGTAATTGTGAACTAACTAATTGATTGACTGAGTTATCTGTGCTTCTGACAACCTGTGCACACTTTTCTGGCAGTGCCCCAGGAAAGTGGGAAAACTGAAGGACAGGACAACACAAATTTCCAACTTTTTGTTGGAGATTGGTGTGGTCCTGTATTAGAGATTTGTGCAGTCCCGTTCTTCTATTTCCCCACTTTCCAGGGTTAAAAAATGTCTGTTCTTAACTGGCTCACCTGCATCCATGAGGAACTTTGCAGTCTGTTAAAGAATGTTTGAGCAGTTTAGATTTGCATCCGAAATTGGTGATCGGCACTTTCGCTGATTCAGGCGGGTCTGCTTATAGGTGGTCTGGGCTTTTCTTTTTTTGTAGCTTTAGCATGGGCTTCTAGACCAGGAACGTCAGTTAATTTCTTGACAAAGGCCTGTAATGTTGCTTAAAACTTTTTTTTGCCAAAAGGTGTAAAGACTAGCATTCCGTTTGTGCCGCAAACGAAATTCATGAAAACATGGTTGGGAAGAGCGGTACCAGAGATTGCCTTTTGAAACAAATGCCCTTTAGCGTCCTACAGTGAGCTGCCACCATTAAAACATGTGCTACGGGACGTGAACGGGCAAATGAATGTTATGGCAACACTAAACAAGAGGAGTGTCGATACCCTGACCTTCCGAGCGATTCGCGCTCCCTTTCAGTATAACTTGGCAAATGGCAAAAGCTCCGGTGAGCCAGTCGGAGAGGCGGCGTGAGGCACATGACAATGGATGTATGAAGGACGCTCCTGCTGTGTATTGCTGTCACATGTCGTGTCTTGTCACTGTCACTGGCCCAGTTGGGCTAGTCACGCTTAAACAGAGCGCAGTAATGTCAATGAAACCATATTGTTGTGTAGGATCAGCGTTGCCACCAGTATGCCCGATGGACAGGACGCTTTTTTTGTTTCTCCGCATAGTAAAACAACTTGCTGCAGGAGAAAACGGCATGGGTGGTCCCCAACACATAGTGTGAAGTGCAAAGAGTCTAACTTAAAAAATATCACGTCCGTTACTGTACAGCCGCGTACATCAAAACGACGGTGCCCGCGAGCCATTTTCACGTAAGTTTAGAGTGTTGCAAATGGACGAATGACCGTCATTGCGGCATTGAACGAGCTGACGACACTCTGGATCTATCAATTTTGCCGACTCCGATGTTGCTCTCTGGCAGGGGGCGCCACGCCGTCCTCAGAATCGGGGCGTGTCGGGGACGCGGGTGGCGTTCGCCCTCTGGGGACCAGAAACCTGGCCACAGGTGCCTCGGACAACAGCCACAAGCTGGACAAGCAGCTGTTCGGCACACAGTCCAAGGGACCCTGAAACCGACCTCGTCGGGTGTTGCTGCCCCCCACAGGGTCCCATCCGAGGCATCTCCCCTGCGTCAAACCTCTACCATTGGGAGTCTCCTATTTTTGGGCATTTTGGGGCAGTGGGTCGTCTGTTTCTGGAGTTTTGAGCTGCGGTCCTTTGTAAGGAATGGCGTGGGCTTCATTTTTCTTTAAATTTCACGTGCCATTTACTAGGTAGGGGAAATCTAGTGTCGTCGTGAAATTCTAGGCGATTCGGAGAAGTCTGAGATTTTGGTCGGGGAAAAGTTTATGTAGTCGTTAACAAGGAGGGGACGGCAGAGAGGGGTTTTGGTTGTCCTGCCTCTTGCGCATGCTTCCTACCTTGGAGAATGCTTCGTCGTGTACACCTTGGGTGTGCGCGCGCAGTCAAAGTGCGGTGAAAGGCACGGAGTGCGTACTTGAGCCCGGGCACCCCAAAGACGTCCTCTGCCGTTCTTGTTGTCAGTGACACAAGGAGATTGCTGAAAATGTTACTCTCTTACTCTGCGGGCACGCACGTTCAAAACTTTCCGAGTCTTTGATCGACCGTGCCAGCTACAGAAACCAGTCGAAATTCGGTTAGGTGTCGTCAAAGTTTAATTCCAAATTTATTTTGGGTGGCGGCGCGCCATTGGCATGAGTCTGGCGCACCTTTACTTTTCTAAAAAAAAATAATTCTAGACGTCTCCGTTCCGCCGAATATGGAAATGAACGCAACCTCAGTTGCCGGCGGAAAGACGGAAAACCGGGCGATCGAGAACCATAATCATAGTAGCCAACCTGTTTGTGTGTGTGTTGCGTGTCTGCTTGACAAATGTTCATGACGCGTTCCTCGTCCCTTTTTTAAAGGAACAATTTTTTTTAGAGTGTGCAGAGGCTGTCGAACGTTTTGGGTCGTGTCTGGTTTCAGGCACGACCCCAATCGCCGCTACTATGCCCCGCCTACACTAGTCTGCCCGGTCCGTAGTACGGGGCCGTATTTTAGAAGCGCGTCGCCAAGTTGTGTAATTGAGAGCCGCCGTTGCTGGTAACGGCGGCTCTCGCGCGTCTTGCCTCCGGTCACCCGTGCCTCTTTCCGACGCGCCGGTAGACGTACCGCCCTTGCGGAGAGCGCAACAACGACGCGGGCATAACGTCACGAGTTGCGTTGAAGGCATTTAAACCGACACCGTTTTGCCACTGTAGTGTATGACCGCGGCGAAGAATAGACAGAGTGCCTGAAAGTTCGGCAGTTTCTCTTTTCCGCGTCACTAGCTTCAATATTGTCGATTTAAAGAAAGATTTTTTTTTTTTTTTTCGTCTCAATAAGCCGTGTGGGGTTGGACTTGGGTGTACTGCCACTAGCGACAGGTCGAAGCAGCAGAAGAACCGGCAGCACACACACCGAAGTATGTACACAAGTGAAGTGCGTCGACGGAACCACGCTGCCGACGCAGTATTTCCGCGCTTCAAACGGGCGGGATTTTAACTTAAAGTGTTAGGTAGTTCGTGGCTAGTGGTCTTTGTGCTCCCGAATGGAGTAGCTATACTCTCGGTGGGGTTATATTTTTGTACCGAATGCCTTTTTGTATCTGCATGCGTGTGGCTGGCATTGTCGGCACCGCCACTGGTAGCACAGGGTTGAGCGTGACCCCAGTATTTCTTTTACTTCTCTCTAAGGGCACAGCCTTTTCTACTCCCTCTGGGGTGCTCGGTTGGTTTCGCCGGATCGAAACCGACGCGTTGTTTGACGCCCCTTGCGTTGTGTATGGGAAGTTCAGTGGTTTGGGCGGGGTGTGCCCGCCGCAAGAGTGACTGATGACTCCATCGTTTTTGCGGACGATCCCTCCTAAAAGCCACGTCCTTCGGACAAACGTTCGACCAACGCGTCTCGCAGATGTGGGAAAATCCGTTTGCTGCCGTCTGTTCACGTTTCGACAGTAACATTGTTTCTTTGTTTTCACTTTGTTGGTGAGTAAGGTTTGTCAATCGTTCGCCTAATTGAACTCTGCTCTCATAGCCTTGTTTTACGAGACAAACGTTGCACAAGCGCTGCTTACAGATACGCCACTATCGTCCTTCCTTAGATTTAAGCCTAAGAAAGGTTGATAAGAAGCGGTGCCGTGTGAGCGACCGCTTATCTTGGGAAGTGCGGCGTCCCTGACAATTTCGAGTGAAGTTAAATGCCGCTTCATTTTTAAACTTTCCCAAAAACTTTGGTTGAACGTTTCAACTAAAGTTGGCGATACGTCGCAAGATTAAAATATTTGAGCATAGGCTTCAAATTTTGAGCTCGTTGAAAAAGAAATGAATTCCAAACAAGAAGAGGCCGCGCGAAATTAAGGAAATATAATATAACGGACCGGTAACGAGCAAGACCGATCGAATCGAGGCCGCGTTAAGTCGGCATATAAATGCCCGACAGGTGGGCAAAAGCCTTAAGAGACTGCGTCGTCTGCCGACTGGCGTGTTTACCGTGCCCTCAACATTCGAATAATGCCCGACGACTTCACAAAAGTGTCGCGTCGTCGCCGGCCGCGATCCTGGCCTGTTCCGCGGCAGGTCACTCTCCACTGTGACAGTCTGCAGGAGCATTGGCAGCCAGGGGTTGGGACGCCACAGCCACTGCGACATTTGCATTTGCTCGTGCTTTTTGCCAGAACTTCCACTTCCAACCGTCGGCATGACACTCCGGCTTTTGCGACGTCATTTTTTGCCACTTCGGAACTGCTTTCGATCCGTGGACGGAAGGGACACTACACACACCAGTCGGAGACGCATGGCAGGCACCGTAGTAGAAGTTGCTTTCCTTAGTATGTCGGCGAGGAGCGTTGGTCGCTCGTTTGCCCCGTGGGAACGGGCCGCGAGGGACTCTAGTCCCTGTGTTTGCGGGACGCCAAGCATTTCTCTTACCTCTAAGTGCCTTGGCTGGTCGTGAAGCAGGCATTGTTCCTCCTTTCTGAGACTGGGTTTTAACTTATGACGCCGGGGATGCGCTCGTATTTTGCGCTTTTTTCCGACCGCTCCACGCGCATGGTGCGAAAAGAAACCGAGAGATCGACGTTTTCGTCGAACGCTCTTTCGTCCCGTGCAACGCGGTGTGCTTCCAGCTACGTTTTTTTTGTTTGTGTAAGCGTGAGAAGTTGAGTTAGGAGCTGAACGCTTGATTGTCGAAGTACCGCGTAGCTCTCCTTTTAGACGTTGCATTTTTATTTGTCATTGTACGGGCTGTGTTTTTCTCTGCAGTGCACAATAAACGTGGTTGAAGAGTGCTTTCTGGAGCCTGTGTCTGATGTGGCAGTCATATCTGCTTGCAGTTTGGGGTGTGGTTTCTGGGCACACTTCGAAGCACTACTGTAGTGTCTACATTTCCCAATTCTTCGAGCCTAGGTGAATGGATACCCTTTGTTCTGGGCAGTAGCTTGCGCACCCTTGCCCTTTTAATCTGTGCCTGCGATTGCCGGGCTAGTGCCAGTGCTGCCCAATTTAGCGGGTTTCCCACTAAATTTAGGGTTTTTTTTTCAGTTGTCTAGCGGGAGAAATGTCCGTTCTGCGGTTGGCGGGATATTTAGCGGTTATCGAGTCATGTTAGCAGTTTTATTAGAGATGGGTCGAACTTTTGCCGAATCGAAAATTTGGCGCCAAATCTTGTGATTCGGCAAAGTCGAATTTTTGCTGAAATTTTCTAAAGATTCTACAAAGATCCGGCCAAAAATACATTGTTGCCAGACCTAAAAGTTAAAATATAAATTTTTCATGTGAAAAAGTTTTTTTTTTTAATACATATTGACACAATTAATACTAAATAAGGTGACATTCTACAAGATAATCGTATTTGTGTCATTTTTGTGTGTTTACTGGTAATTTTAAAGTGTCTTTTTGCAGACGTGGTGTAACATTGGTGTAGGGTAGTAGCGGGCGCAGTCGGTGCAAGCCTGACTGCACCCGCTTATCAGGCCTTGTCAGCGCAAGCCTGCAAGTGTGTATTGTTGAAAAAAAAAATGCGGCAACACTGTGTTCTATACTACCTGTGCGAGTCACCGTTTCATGCACGAAAATGCATGCAACAACTGTTGAGCCTTCACCAGAACAGATAACATTATTGTAAATATGCATATTCTTCAATTTGAGTCACTTCAGCTTTGCATGGAAGTGTGCGTCCCATATTTGCAACGTCTCGTTTTTAACTTTTCAAATGCTGGTTTTTGATGTTGGGACACACCGGACATTCAGGAACACTGGAAGAGTTAGGAATGTCTGATGTGCAACGTCGAGCATGATTGTTCTGTGTTTAGTTGTATGCGAATAGATGTAAAGTGCAATATAACTAATTGAAAAGCAATATTATTTTGTTTGGGCACAAAGTTTTTGTGAGCCGAAAACAGGATTGCTATAATGGCGAGGAGTGCTTTAATGTACTTGTCAGTCAATCTTGCAACTACCTCGTTGCATCTCTGGAAAGATAAAATGAAAATCACGTTATCACGATTGAGACCATGACGTGATCACGATATCACAAGAGAACCACACTTGCAAAGGCTGACAAACGCATAGTTACCATGTCGCCTACTCCGCACCTTGCCGTAACCGCTGGTAGTACTGCACTGTACGATGGTAACCGTACCACTGCACTGCGTCCATTTGCAATCCATGGCCCCGTTGCGTTCTCGCGCATGCGCAGACGTTTGCCGAACGTTTGCCAAACTTTCCTTGAAAAGTTCGGCATGTGCCGAACTTTGCCGAATCTGGAGTTCGGCAGATTCGGCCCATCACTAGTTCTTAAGTTGGTCTCAAATGTTCTCAGGTTCACATTTATAAGTCGTAAAAAGCTCAATTTCTCTCGTAAGTTCGGTCATGGGGTCATTTTTACTTACTCTCAACAACATTGTTTTTTGTGGGAATAACGCTTGCGACACCACTGAGATATTGCAGTGGCAAACATTGAAACATGCATTGAACCCCGACCTCTTTTGAACTGATTTGTGCGTTAATGTACGAACCCATTTCCATGTCTGCCAGATGACAGGGGGGCAGGGAGCTATGTACAACCATTCAGGTAAACTGAGGGCTATAGGATTCTGAACTTCGAGACTGGCTACTGGAAGTTCCAAGCGGCCTCAGAAGACCTCTACTGGAGTCCATTTGTAAAGCATGTGAATTTGGTCACTGCTCTGAACTGTTACCAAATGTTGCTCAAAACATTCGAACTATGAAAATGTATGTGTGCAGGTATGACTAGGCAACGCACCTGGCAACAGCAAGTGGAAATCATTCTGTGCATGAAAGCACTCTGAATCAAATAGGAGAGCTCTCCATTAAAGGACCCCTGAAAAGAAAAAAAAAAGATGTTGTTTTTAAACAGCCTGGTTGGGACACGCGTGTCAAGAAATAAATTTTACGTGAAAATGTTTTTAGAGCATTATTGACGGCGTGAGATTTATTTGAAATTCTGCGCGCAAAGTCCATGACGTTACGAATGGTCATTCACTCTTTCAACCTCAATGAGATGGTCATTCGCTCTCTCCATCTCAACTTGAAGGCGAAGCCAGTCCATCTCTCCTTCATGCGCCAGAAATACCAAGAGAGAAAAAAAGTGGAAAGGAGGTGACTACCGACTAAATCGCGTCACGCGCGTCCCAACCAGACTGTTTAAAAAAAAAAACATTTTTTTTTCTTTTCAGGGGTTCTTTAAGGGTTGACTAATTATAGCATTAAATAGTCTTGAAAAGTAACTGTAATGGGTTCTTAATTTTGCAGTTGGTGGCATTGCTGGGGCTCTTGAAGATGACTTTTTGCAGTTGCTCGCAAAGATGTGCTGTTTACATTCACCGAGTTAGGCACAACAGAGACCTTGAGCAAACTGCTTCTGTTGTGACACTGTCTACACAGTGAACATGCACCGAGCTGAGCACAGTTGACGCTTCGCGTTTCAGATGGAGGTCGGATGATCGAGAGCCACATGCTTCCAGTTCTAACCTATCAATCTTTTGCCATGTATCTACTATATGTCCAGGGCTGTGTCCACAGTCAGGATGCAATAGCCGAGTTCTCACGACTATAAGAAAAGGCTCTGGAAAGACTTTAGATTCTATTGATCTGTGTGTTTGAATAAGGTTCTCAATGAACTGCAGAGAGGCTACAAGCAGCACCACTGCATTACTGAACGCGACCATCACGTCGGAGACACATTTCCAGTCGCCTGCGTATTCTCTGGAAGAAATTTATTTTTCTATGTACTACATTCAATTAGCTTACATTAACATACATCTGCAAGTATCTTACAGTCGAAGCAACATTGTAAAAACAGGTCCGGGGATGCCGAGAAGCACATCGTCGTATATCTTTTATACTCTGGGCAGTCGCTGTCTTCGGGGACAGCGTCGACACACTTTCCGGAACTAGCGGCGGCGACTCGTCATCGGGTCGCGGCACCTTTATGCGAACGCCGCCGACATCGGGAACTGGGATGGGTCACGGGGGTGCGTCATGCGCAACAGTGTTCCACACAAGACGGTGAGGTGCACTTGAAAGGGCGTTGCAGGGACGGGGTGCGGAGGTGGTGAGGTGGGGGGACGTCAGTAGCGGTCCATGCCGTTGATCATGATGTTGGCCATGCCATTGCGTCGCCTCCGCCAGGAACCGAGATCTTTGGCGTGGTAGCGGAGCTGCTTGAGCCACTCCCTTGTCTCCATGCTGTTCTCCGCCTGCGCAAGGAGAGCAGACGGTTGACGGTGTGGGCACGCATTTCTGCGGCGTCTCGTGGCAGAGGCAGAGGCGGCGGAAGGGTTTTGTCTGGGGGTCGAACTCTGGCTAAATTGATTTCAGGTGAACAGGAACCACTATTTGATTCATAGTTTGGGCCAGGGCTTCGACGTGCTAGAACGATTGAAAGATGCGCGGGGGGTAAAAGAAGGCAAAGAGCATAAAAGGGAATGGGAATAGATTTCACTGAGAAACTTGACTAACAGAACAGGGAAGGTGTCTGGGAACATATGGGCATTGTTCCCATTGACCGAGATTCAAAATGAGATGATTGGTCGCTTCGCTTATTGAACTTCAGTTTCTTGGCATTGTCCATGCCATACTTTTTAGAAGACGTGAATAAGTGATTTTGTTATTAAATTTGATAATACAATTGGGTGAAATAATTTTCTTTTGAAGCCTAAGTGTAGGTACCTTCACAGCCTCTAAATGAAGTCATGGATGGCTTCATCCTGTGTCCTTGCCTAAGCAGTTTCAACTGATACCCTAAAGGCCCGTTCACACTCTTGCAACCGAGTACGACCGAGAGAGACAAGACCGGCTTTTAATCCTCTTGCGACTTCTTAGGACCAGGCGCGCTGCTGCGGAGCTGGTCCTAAGACGTCGTAAGAGGATTAAAAACCGGTCTGGTCTCTCTCGGTCGTACTCGGTTGCAAGAGTGCGAACGGGCCTTAATGTAGATGGAATGCACATATACTGCCAATTAAGGTGATATTACCCTGCCAGCTGAATGAATTGACAATGAATATAGCTGTGTGTGCTGTTGCTAAAACATCTGCAAATGAATTTGACTATAAAGACCTTTCCTTTAGTAACGAAAGGGGAAAGAAATTTGTATAGCTTCCCAGCGAATGAGGTTTATACCTTGAAGAGGAAGCCTTCCTTGGAGGTGTGCTCTTGAATCTCGAAGCAGTCCTTCAGTTCCGGGTCGCAGCTGATGATGCAGCTGCCCAGGGAAAGGGGCTCCTGCAGGTAATCAGATATGCAGGCTTCAGAACTCTTGCAGAGGTATTGACACCAGCAGTTAACTTTATTATGCAGTTACGACAGAACCATTATGCTGTTGAGATATTGAAGCGCAAAACGACGAGGAAGACGGAAAAGTGCACTACCACCGCCAAACCAGTATGTAGGGTGCATGGATTGGCCGGCGATGCCCTGTGGCTGTCGCTGGAAGTAAGATTAATTGCAGGCTGCCAGTTCCTACCGAAGCGACAGCAATGAAAGGCAATAGTGGTGCTGTCACCTTACGTTCTGGGTACAGTCGCTGTCGTACCTCTCGCTTCACTTCTGAGCAGAGCGGTCTAGTTCTTGTGTATGTAGCATGTGCTGTTGCCGTGGGAGAAAAAGTACTGGCCCAATGGCCAGACTCTGCAACTTTAACAAGGATAAAAATCTAGAATGGCCTCTTCTGGAAACACTTCCACTAAATGCAGCTGGAAACATTATTTGTGCTCTATTGCAAAACCGCACAAAAATGGATATATATATATACATATTTTTTCATTTTGGGCTTAGCACTTTTCACTTTTTCAGTATTCAGTTCTGCATCAGATTCTCCTCCTGTCGTCTGTGTCCTGTCCAGAACCAGAAGCGTGTCATTAGCTCCGTATCTATTTCTATTTTAACCCCGACTGCCAACTCTATTAGTTCTACTGTGTAGTGTTGCCTCTTGCTAGCTAGCCATCTATCTGTTTAGCAGTCCCTCATTTCCCAGATTCCCGGTGCGAAAGATTTTCGGCACGAAGTTGAATGGGCATATGGCACGAACGAACGCGAGCATTTCTTAGAAAAATGAAGCTAGGTTCTGTTTGCTCTATTGAGCTATGGTGACTTAGGTTGAGCTTCCGAAACAGTGCTTGCGTGCCGATCACTGCTTATCATTCGCCCCTGGTTGGTGCAAAGAAGGTTCGCTCCCCTTTTTTTATTAGCACCCTTTCTTTCCTTGTATTGGGTACTGAGGAGCCCTGGAATCGAGTCTTTGACAGGGGCACCACTCCTCCCGAAAGTAGCGAATTGAGGTATCGCTTCGACAAACCGCCGGATGGATCCGTCTCGATTGCTGTACCCTCAAAGTGAGCTGCTTCGGTGGCTCTGAGGCAAAGCGCCGGCCTACGGCCGAGCTTTGCCGAGGTGCCTGCAGTACCAGCCGAGGTGTTCACAATACGACGGATGCTTGTTACAGAAAAGGCGCCGTGCAGCCGAGATTTTGGTTGCACATTAAAAGATTTACGTGTGGTTGAAATGAATCTGCTGTCCTTTGCTGGGGCAAGTCAGCAGAAGACTTGGTTCGGTGCATAATACCACGAAATGTTTTACCCTTGAAGCGATTGAGCGGCCCTAGGCCCAAGTGTCAACGAGGCAGGGAGGACTCACTCGGGGCAGCACAAACTTGCCGGCCTTCTCCTTGGCAAGCAGGAGGGCACCGTCCCGGATGCCCGTGTTGCGCGGGAACAGGAGGGAGTTGTCGTGGGCCAGATCGGGCCGGTAGTTGGAGTTTGGCCGTCCCAGCACAGCCAGCAGACCGTGCAGGGACGCGAACCGGGCGGCTCGGCCGTACGGCTGCTGCTCGGCCACCAGGAGGCGGCCGGCCATCACGAATCGCGTCTCGTCTCGGTTCCACCGTAGCAGGTCGAGGGCCATCTGCAGATGTGGCGGAGATGTTTACGCTTATCGCCTGCCGACAGCAACACGCTTCCCAGTGGCTTATCATGACACGGACGAAAAAAGGAAGCCTAGACATCAAACATGCGTACAAAAATATCGAACAAAGCTTAAAAGAATCGCATATACAGCTGTAGTTCTGACATTACTGAGTTTTTAAGGAAGACGAGGCAAAAATGTATCGGTTGAAGGTGATGGAGCGCCATTTAACGAGGCTTCCACTTGTGTTACAGGCAAGGGTTTGGAGTGTCCACCAACGTAAAACAGTTCCGTCGACCTCAGTGGATGTAATGCGTGGGAACTATTTGCATAATTTATTTTTAGGGTTTTGCACGCACGCTTGTTTGATGCCACCTTTCTGGAAAGGGTGCTCGTCCTGACAAGAGAAAGACCAACGGTGTGTTGGACATAATTCGGAAGGAACACTGTCTGGCTGATAATAATTGCGAGACTTCTTACACTGTCCCTTTTCCTGCCGTAACTTTTGGCATCTTTTACAACGCAGCTTTCAGGCGCCCGTTACTGGCTTGAGCAGCGCTGGCGTAACTGTGCGGTGCATTATGGGAAACGTCCCATAATGCAACGCGCGGGTCACGAGTGAGACCTGAACGTTGCATTATGGGACGTTTTCCAAAACGCACCACGCGGTTACGCCGAAACGTCCCATAATGCAACGTGTGGGTCATGATTGAGACCCGCGCATTGCATTATGGGACGTTTTGGCGTAACTGCACTGTGCATTATGGGACGCTTCCCATAATGTCGTCACGTGACGTCGCGAGTTCTGTCACAAGGGTCACGAGGGTCCCGCGTATTGCGTTATGGAAAATGTCCCATGATGCAATGCGCGGCCTCACTTGTGACTTGCACGTTCTCTCCGTACCTTCCCCTCCTCCTCCTCAAGAGCTGCACTCTAATTTGGCATTGCAGGGAGTTGTAAACATCTATCATTATCTTTTACAAATATGTGCACCATGTGAAAACTACTGGAAGCAATCAAAACCAAAGCTTCTGAAAAATTCAGGATAAGAAAAATTAGACTCTGTCATCCTTTTTACAGGCAACTGAGAGCAATGAATGGTTCCTGCGCCCAGTTCTTTTGTCTCCCAGTGCTGTGTGCGGTGCCACCTAGAAACTCACTTGTGCTCCTTGAAGGCTCTACTGAGTTTTTATTTTTAGTTTTATAATATTCCGACTTTAACACAATCGTTCATATGATCCATAGGGAACTGTTGACAGGAAATGTGATGTGGTAGCTTATTGTCGGAACGCTTTGCTAACGGATACCTCTTTTGGGACACTGACCAAGTTGAGCGTTCAAGACAGTTCACCTTTCTCAGCTTGATACTTCCGACGCCCAGATTGGCTGGAGCTCGCCTTGGGTTGACGGAAATGCTTGAAATTCGCCTCCAGATCTTGGTCGGGTTGGTGCCTCTCGTGAGCTGCGGGGTGTGGAAAAGTGCACAGTTAGGACAGCGGCCTAAATTCGTTGAGTGTCGCCGAAGCGGGACTATGTCCAGCAGGCAGGCCTTTGGGCAATGCACTGTGGACAACGTGCACTGCAGGACAGTCTATAGAACTATAATTTGTGACCCGTTAAAGAGTTCAAGAGAAGCTCCCCCCCCTCTTTCCCCTTTAGCTAAATAAATGCAGGAGAGGAGATTGCCTCCTCTCCAGCGTTCGTTTTGTTAAAGTTTAAAGAGGTTTGAGGAGCTTCCCTTGAACATTTAACCTGTCACCACCTATAACGCAGTTGTAACTGGAATATTCTCTGAAGGGATCAATTCATTGCCCCAGGACAATTAGATTGGTAGCTAGTTGCTCTTGAAAGGAAGTGACGGACATTCTCTACTTTTATTGGACTACTGTATGTCACAAGACGGCAGTTGGAGGCCCACCTGGTTGATGTGCTCTAGGTGCAACTGCACCCTGTGCTGAGCATCGCGAAGCGCTTCCCTGTCCTGGTGGGAGTGGGGCGTGACCTTGTAAAGACGGCTGAGCAGCAGTGGATACCTGCACAGTGGCACGAAGGATCCCTGTGACGCACTGAATGACTATAGTAACGTCTGAAAGACATCTTTTTGCCTATAACCTGCATGGCTGAGAAACCCTAAATACGTGTTCTTAGTAAAGCAGATGAAGCCTGAAAATTATAATCCTGATAGGCCTAAAAGAGTTGCTATCTAGACTGGCCTATGGTATGATCTAGAACTTGTCTTTACAGCACTGCATCACAAAGCTGGAAAGCCTCGCAGATAGTGATGACAACACTGTTTATTGAGGGTCCTGGAGAAGTGTGCTCAAAGCTATGGTCAAGTTGAATTGGGATGTCTCGTTTGACAGATTGAGCAGTCAGACCCAATAATTTCTCCAGAATGGCTGAGCGATTACCGTAGATGGATTAGATGGACTTTTAGAAATGGAAACTGCACAAAGTGACAACGTTTTCAATCTTCACAAGTATAAAACTGTGACATCGGAGGAGTTGCAAGACGGCAAGAGGCGTATATACTTGTGGTTCTTTTGAGAGCTATCAGAAGTAGACAAGAGGCGACGTTTGTGTGGTACCCACTTTGTGACCCTCTGAACCGGTGCCATGAGGAAAGCCGCGAGGTTCATCCTTCGAAGAAGCGTGTTCTCCATCTGGGACACCCTCAGAAATATGCGTAGTAGCTCCTTCTCTTTCTCCTGGGCCATTAGACTCAGCGAAGCATTTGCCTGTGAAAGAAAACAAGAATAAACGACAAAGTACGCCGTCCGAGTGCAAGACCTTGAGCAACCCGAGTTTGAGTCCGATGTGCACGGTAATGCTGCGCGTTCGGACAAATTAACGCAGTGAATGCGATGGAAGTTCCAACGAGCACCCAAGACAAATGCATCCACGATATCAAGGAAGAACGAAAGGCTTTGTTCAGAGGCATATTGGATGCAAAGGACATTGTAATTACCCCCTGTAATGTGCCCATGGCATTGATGGTGCATTTCAGAAAGGCGGATCTCTGGTGTGCACGGTGGTATACTGTTGCCTGCCAGTGTGCCTCAAAAGGACACTGTAGATGATCTCACCTTGAGGTGCTTGGAATTTGACAATAAACAAATAATGAGGCAGTCTTTGGTGTCTAAATTTGGGCCTGGTTAAGAGTTGAGGAAACGTTCCTCCCACCTCTTTCTACTTTAGCAGGGCAAAACAGTGGAGAGGAGGTCGCTTTCCACTTTAGCAAAGCAAATGCTGGAGAGGAGGTCACCTCCTCTCAAGCTCTTGCTCCACCAAAGTGCAAAGAGGTTGGAGGACTGAACTTTTCACCTGAGGAATGAAATAATATCCGAAACAGTGCTGGTTGACCCAGCACAAAATCATCTTTCTAACAATGCTCTGGTACTCTCAAGTGCTCCAAGTGTTGGGGCCTTTATGAAGATTGATTCTGTGATTATTCCTCGGCTGGTTACACGGATGTCAAGCCCTCATCCTATTCTACTGCTGGCTTTTGGTCGGAGGTACCCACCTGTCTAACACAGTAGGTCTGGAAGGCCTGGAGCATCCCGGCGGCACCGAGGAACAGCTTTCCTATGTCCACAGTTGTGTATTCCTGCACAGAAGCGACAAGCTATAGAGCCTTCTCCTGGAAGCCGGAGCTGAGCATATTTCCTGTGGTAAACTCCAAATACCTCGTCTCCTTGCTCGCTGGCAATGTCCAACGCGTCCTGAAGCTTTTCGGAGAAGGATGTGTTGACCGTAATGAGCTCGTCCAAGTTCAGGAAGATCTCGTGCAATTGTGGCTTCGTAAGCAACCCCGCGGTTTCGATGGGCTTGTAGAATTCCTGCGTGGGCAAAAAAAGGGCAGACATTACATTTTAGTTGAACTCTATTGTATAATGGAACTGTTCCATTCACGACGCCTTGCAAGGGACAGCAGCAAACTTCCCCGTCGCAATATGAAACACTTGTAAATTGGCCCTCTTTCGAACAGATATCCGTATGTGTATGCACACACTTTCTATCACGTCAAACGTCAGTCACTGCAAGCTGCTGTGGAAAGCGTCAGTAAGAGCGGATTTAGAGCAGGGTGGAGAATATCAAGATGATTCAAATCATGATTTGCATCATGATTTAAGTCGGACCAGTTTTATTGTAATGATTTAAAGAAAAACTTTCCTACAAAAATAATCCCAAAAATATTTGTTATTTACCATTTATCTATCTTTTTCTCTACTTTGTCAGTTACATAACGTTTTAATGCATGTAAATAAAATTCTGAAAGCTGTAAATGTAATGCCTTATATTGCAAGAATATCAGAATGTGAAAAGTAAATGAAGTTTGACATGGTGGATGTAACAGCTTTAAAAAACGACTGCATAAGGACGCTGATATTGATGAAACGCTAAAAATGCTATAAACAGCCCCGCGGACTCTGAGCTAAATCCTGGTTTTTGTTGTTGTAAATTCTCGGCTTTTTAAGCAATTCCTGCTAAAACAACAATCACGAGAATGATAATATTGTAAGAGATTTCTGCAGCCCATCCAGGTTGAAGGGTGGACAGCATGCACAGTATCAAAAACGCTGACATTGAGGAGAAATTTTCAAAGCGATATGACAGGTCATTGTTGCACGTCAGGCGCTTGTTCAAGGTGACTCCAAATTACTCTCAAAAGTTGTGTAAGCGAGGATAGGGTTGAAATTACCGATCACTAAGGAGCTGAAGTAACACCGTTCCCATGATTCTCTTAGCGCGAGCCGGGGCGGTTGGGGGATATAGCAAATGGTCTATGAAACTATACTTTGAAGTTACAGCAAATATTTTTGGGCATACTTTCAAAAATCGGGTGGATTGATCAATCAGACTGCCATAAGAATCGCTATTTTTAGCCACGGTGATTTATATCAAAATAATTTGATCTAAATGAAATCTGATTTATTTGTTTTTTTTTCCTCCCTGACTCTCTCCCTCTCGATTATATATATATATATATATATATATATATATGTATGTATTTTTTATTTTGCTTCAAATTTTTATATTTTGTGGCACATGTTCCAGCAAGAACAATCCTGTTTATTTTAATGTCCTGACATGTTTAGTTTCTGAGAAAAAGAATTTCAATGAAGCGGGAAATAACGACGAGGTTTTGATCATTGTCGTGTGTGGCGTCTTAGAGCGCAGCTCTTAGGCGCCCGTTTCCGGCTTGAGCGGCGTCGGCGTCGCCGTCGGCGTAATCGCGCGGTGCATTATGGGTAAATTCCCTAGTAAAAAAATCATTTGTATGAGAAATTTCTTGTGTCCAATAAACACATGAATCATACAAGATCTATAAGAACATATAAGAACCATATAAGAATTATATGAGAACTATATAAGAATTATATAGGATATAAAAGAACCCCATAAGAAACTTCCCCTTAGTTTCTTATATGGTGCTTGTTTGTTCTCATATATCTTATTTAGTTCTTATATAGTTCTTACATGGTTCTTATAGGTTCTTATATATCTTGTATGATTCATGTGTTTATTGGACATAGAAATTTCTCATACAAATGAGAATTTTCAATAGGGTTTCCCCGCTAAATCTAGAGGAATAATTTTTCCGCTAAATTTAGCGGAATATTTTTTCCACTAAATTGAGCGGGGAATTGTACCCGCTAAATTTAGCGGAGAGAGAACGCGGTGAATAAAAACAGGAGCTGAGAAGGGCACTTTTTTTCGGATTTTCTTTCAATAGGCTTAATTTTTATTTAAATCACACGTTTAGTTACTATCTCTACATAGGCATACGGCATATGTTTCAGAGCACAATCGGTGAAGTTTATACCAAATTTAAATTAAATTTAGGAGTAGAATGGATTCTAGAATGACCTTACTGAGTTAAGTTTTCGCCCCCATGAGTTTGCATATTCATATAAGTAAATGTAAAATGTCATTTTCTGAACTTTTTTTTTTTTTTTTTTTTTTTTTGTACACGAATACGGGGATTGGTGGTCGAGTGGGCTAGCGCACACCAGCTCGAAGCACGCGCGGAGCGAAAACTCGCGCTGCAGAACGCAGGGATTCTGGGTTCAATCATCACCACTGGGGGGGATCGGTGGCCGAGTGGTCTAGCGCACACCAGCTCGGAGTACGTGGAGCGAAAGTTCGCGCTGCAGAACCCAGGGATCCTGGGTTCGAGCCCCACCCCTGCCCGTTTCGATCTGGATGAGCATCGTATACCGGCGTGCGGTCATGTATCACTACTGCGTGATGCACGTTAAAGATCCCAGGCTAGCGGCTGTACCGCACTGGCTAAATTTCTCATCTACAGCTGGGAGACTCGTCGCCCCTGTGAGGCAGACCAAGTTCTAGGCTGTATAAACACACACAAAACCCAATTATTAATCATCACCACTGCCCGTTTCGACCGGGATGAGCATCGTACAGGCGTGCGGTCGCTTACAACTACAGCGTTATGCACGTTAAAGACACCAGGCTAGCAGTGGTACTGTACGCGCTAGATTTATCATCTACACGTGACCCGGTGTCGCCGCACGTGAGAGGCAGACCGACCTTGCGCCATATAAACACAAACGTCTTTTTTTTTTTTTCTTTTTTTTTTTTTACCCGAATATATTGCTATTTGTTTTACCCTTGATTTTATACCTTAGATAACCGTTCACAGATTTTTAGTCCATGTCCTTCATCAATCATTGTGTGTTTCGAAAGTGGCTGGTGGTTCTTCAGCTAGCTGAGTGTCTGAGGGAATCTAGTCTGCTCTGCAATACATCTGCAATGCTCTGCAATACTAAGAACAGGGCGGTTTCACAGAGATGGGAAAGACGAGTGAGCATGTTCTCTGAGCATGTTCTCTGAGTGAGCATGTCCTTCAACAGCCTGACATGGTAATCATGCCTTGTACACCGTTACTCGAAAAACAAAACAAAAAACACTAATCGATTACAATCGCAGTTACTCTTAAAAAAAGGTATTCAATCAGATCACTCAATTTCTCGGGCCGAAAAATAGTTGGCCGTTACTCGAAGAAGTAACCGTCACGAGTAATTTTAGTACTTCCAAAAAACCCTTGCGATTATTCCTAATAAAAGTAATCAAACGATTTCAAATATTACTCCAAAAAGTAATCGGTTTCAAGTTTTTGATAACCGTAAAATCCCGAAAGAACGCCCACCCAAAGTGAAAAGAGTGAAAAACACGGGGTGGGCTTATCTTTGGGGATGACTCAGCAAAACTTTATAAACAATTGCTTATTTACATCGGGGCACCCGCTACAAACCACGTGACGTGGGAACGTTACCGGGGACACGGTAAATTCGCTTTTAGATGCGATAAACACGCGGGAATTCGCTACGAACTCCTGTGTCAAGGGAAACGATACCACAGGCGGCGGACGCTGCGGAGTCGCGTTTCACGGTGCGAAGAACCCGCGGAAACCTGCCGAGAACTCGCATCTCACGGGAACGAATGTCGAGGACGCAGACGATTCAAATTTCGTGGTGCAATAGACAGGCAGGAACCTGCTACAGACTTGCTTGTCACGTGGACTGATATCGCGCGCGCAGATGGCGGACAAAAAAAAAAAAAAAAGAAAACCAAGGGAATTTGTTACAAGCTCGCCTGTAACGGGAACGAATACCGCAGATTGTGGACGCGGCAGAATCACCTTTCACATTACGATATACACGCGGGAGCAGCTCGCGTGTGGGGATCGTGGACAAAAGCGCGGGAATCCGCTACAAACTCGCCTGTCACGGGAACGGATACCGCAGATCGCGCGGATGCAGCAGAATCACCTTTCACGATGCAATATACACGCGGAAACAACTTGCGGGTTACGGGAGCCGATATCGCGGACGAAAACGCTAGAACCCGCTATGAACTCGCTTCTCAGACGTGCTGGTACCGTAGATCGCACGATCGATGCGATTCCCGTCGTACATCGCGTGACGTCCAACAGGAATCGGGGGGTGGGCGATGTTTCGGAACCTTCATGTTACGAATATTTAGGGGAAAAAAATGGGATGGGCGATCTCTCGGGGGAGGGCGTCCTTACGGAAATTTAATTGAGTACCTTACAAGTCCGCATGGTGTTCCCAGTGGAATGATACACAACGAAGTGTACACTTGTCATGCGCGTTCGGAGGGGGGACGGAGGTGTGTGTGTGTATGTGTGGGAGGGGGTGAGGGGCAGGCAAGCAGCAAAGCAGTTTTCGTTTTTGGAATTCTACGAATATATAAGTGAATAGATGGATGCTAACGGTTGCACCCTTTGTAACGGGCGGTAGCTTGCGTCACCTAGCCCAGAAACTAAAAACTAAAAGTGTGATTCCTCCCCTCGTCCTTCCAAGAAAATTTTTTTCCCCTCTGCAATTTTGTAACTATCACCAAGCGGTGTGGGATGTGATCAGAATGACCTTTGGGGGATCGGGCAAAAACAAATATAAAATTGGCAACTCCCCCGGCGAGGGAGTTGCCAATTTTTCTCTAGTCAAGCCTAGTCGGCGTTACCCCAACACCGGGTGCACTGAAAGTCAGGGTGGAGACTTTAAACCTCCAAAATTGCCCATAAAAAAAAAGAAAAAAAAAATAGCGAAATTTATTTTTGCTTGTGCTTCAAAAGTTTGTTTCTCCCAAAATTAACTGTTGACTACTCCAAAAGATGCTCCGAAATGAGTCGGACCAATCACAACACGGCGAATCTTGCACATCCCAATCTGGAAACAAAGAGGGTAGCCGTACCTCCTTGACGATGCGCAAGTCGTGGCCGTACTTCAGCTCCGTCTGCACGATCTCGGTGATGATCTCCCGGCGTTCCGTGCGCTTCTTCTCGCACTTGGGACAGACTAGCTCTTCGTCTCCGGTCACCTGGAAGGACGAGATGATCGCCGATGAAACCACCGGAGCCACGGGTCGGACCAATACTACCGCCTAAAAGACAAGGCCGTGCGCCTTCTCTCCGAACGCCATCGTTGGATGAGGTTGAACCTTTTCAATTGTGCGGCGGCTTCGAGAATTCATAACAACCAAGATTTAAGTCGGAGTCAGCGGGGCTGTTTATAGCATTTTTAGCGTTTCTAACTTAATATCAGCGTCTCTGAAGCTGTACGAGAACGATAATCAGCCAGGTTGAAAGGTGGATCGCATGCAGAATATCAAAAACGCTGACATTGACGAGAAATTTTGAAAGTGATATGACAGATCTCTGGGCTGTATACGACGCTTTTTCAGGGTGCCTCCGTATTACACTCAAAAACTGTGTAATCATAGAATTGGTCTAAATTAACGATCACTAGGGAGCTGAAGGAACACCGTTCCCATGATTCCTCGAGTGCGGGCCGGGCCGCTTGGGGGATTCAGCAAATGGGCTATTGGTTAAAAAGCCGAGAATTCACAACCACCAAAACGGGGATTTAGAGTCAGCGGGGCTGTTTATAGCATTTTCAACGTTTTTAATATCAACGTCTTTGAAGCTGCACGAGTATGATAATACTGTTGTAAGAGATTTCTGCAGCTCAGCCAGGTTGAAGGGTGGATGGCATTATGGAAAACGCTGACATTGATAATAAAATTTAAAAGTGACTTGGAAGGTCATTGGACTATCACTAGGCAACGGAAGGGACACCGTTCCCATGATTCCTCGAGTGTGGGCCGGGACGATTGGGGGATTTAGAAAGTGGTCTATTGGTTCGTGTACCGTACCTGCTGGTCGCAGTCGGCGCATCGCTGTTCCTCGCTGTTCCCGTTGGGGGAGTGCTCCAAGGGCCCCGCATAGCGATCACCTCCGATTCCGCTGTCGTTTCTCTCGACGTCTGCACTTGATGGCTGCCGGGCGAGATTTGTGACGATGAAAGGTTGAAAGCAACTGTCAATGAATCAGTTGGCCACCAGAAAGTACCCGACCTTAGGAGAACCTTAACGTATGAAAACATTATGAGATGTTTTGTCGCTAGTAGGGCAAGGACAGGAAAGTCAGCAATGAGTGCACGTGTTCTCTTACTTGGCACTCTTAGTTTTACGGATGTTTGCCCTAGCCCGTGTTTTCCTACTCTACGATATAATCGGCTGTTGTATTTTATTCACACAATTTGCAAATCCTCTTGATATTGCGATTAAACGTTTCCACAAAGCGGTTACGGCAGACCACGTGAACAGAAAGCTCAGATCCTTGTTGAAGACTCATAAAATGATCTCTCTTTTTATGATGCAATACAGTGTGAGTAAATGCGCACCCCAGTTGGATGGTCTCAAGTACGCTTCAATAAAAATGGCCTCAAGATTAACTTGACGTACTTGTTTCCCGCGTTTCACAATACTCCATGATCGAAGTATTGTGTTTTATCTTATTTGGCTTCAATATTTCTTTAAATATCTTTTTATTTATTTAATTTTACTGTTATAGAGATCGGACGTATGATAATTTCCCAAACTCGCGATAAGACTTAAGGCGGGGTGACAGGCGGCACCCTACGTGCCGCTAGGATTGGCGACCTTCTATATCCACACTAGCAACAAGCACCGCATGCGATTTTCACACACTTGGAAACGACGAGTACTGACGCCATGAGCCACGGTCGGGACACTTATCGCGACTCTGTTGCGTCTGCTTCACGGCTAACGAATTTGATATTGAAGGGTACTAATTTCGCTGGTGACTGCCTCGGCAATTAATGAGGTTACAAGTACCGATGTTGCTTAGTTAGTTGGCTTGTTCTCGTCAATATTTTACATAAAACGTAATTTTCTGAAGGTCCCAGAAGTGTATCTCCTGGTACAAGACATTGGTACAGGCAATAAATATTTGACGTAATCGCTAAAGCAACCTCTGCTCAAGCTGTTTGAAGAGGGTTTATGTAGCCGCTCTGGCTCAATGGGCCGCAGTACCCTTTTCCGCTCTCTTTGTACACCCTTCATCAACTGAAGAATCGTCCAATGGTATCCCACTTTACGAGCGTGTGTTACTCGAAGAAAAGGTGAAACCATGGTTGCAAGTCATTGTAACACTCTTTCTTGCGTCTCTTCTAACCAAGTGAAAAGCGCAACCATAGTCCTGTCTACTTTTTTGGCTGCTGGTTCAACCTATAGAGTCACTGAATAAGCGCTTAGAGCGTCGGCACCATGTTCCCCGATAATCTTGTAGGCACCGCCATTTTGGTGCCTAGCGGGCGCAATCGACGATAGTTCGGATTTTAAGGTGTTACTTCTTCATGAAGCTCAGATGGTATCGCTTTGCTCGTTCGAGGAGGGCTATTTTAACATTTATGGAGAGCGGAAAAGCGTTTCCTGCGGTTTAAGACGAAGTGAATTGGCAACCATGACTCAGCAGAGCTCAAGTGTCGTTACTCTGAAGCGTCGCTTGTTTGGTGACTACGTTGAACGCATATTTGCAGCGCACGATCAGGGTGCCACTCACGAGTTTGTCCAGAGCGGTGTCTTCTGCCAGGGCCTCGAAGGACACTGTGCCAAGGTCACTGACGAGGTTCTCGAGACCCCGCACCTTGGCGTCTTCGAGGTATCCCAGAATATCTGCCTTTGAGGCGCCCTCAAAGAAAGACTTCTGCGGAATGTCGAACGGCAGCACCTTTTTTTCTCCTGCAAAGTAGGCGCCGAAAATGTTCAAAATTACGTTCTTGTAGGTCTGAGGTCACCGCACAACACTCTCAGAAGTGCACCTTTAGCATGCCTTGGTTATTACACCATATTACAGTAATTCAACCGCATTCAAGGATGGTATATTTGATTCGCGAAGTGGGCTAGTATTAAGTTTAGATACGTGGCATTAGAGCTTGTGAAACCACCGACTTCTGTGCTCCGCAAAACTGTGTTGCTCTGCCTGCCGGTTGTCTTGTTCGAAATTTATTTTGTGTTTTCAATTACTACAATAGTAAAAAAAAAAAGCTTTATTAAGAGTAACATTGGCTGGTTATATTACGCACGGGTAAGTCACTCTCCCCTCCCCATCACTGTCTGGGGTCCCGACTGCGGACCACTATATTCCTAACTAGAAATGGAGTGTAGAAATCGTCCCTAGCCAACATGAAACGATTCATCATTCTGCTGTGTACGGCAGGTGACAAACGAGCGTGCGATGATAGCCGTCCAGCGGCTGGACTTTCTCACAGGAAAGTATACAGGGCGTTCCCACGATTCATTGCGTGCATCACGCGTGGCTATTTGGAATGTTTGCAATTAATGCGCAGCTGCTTCTATCGTCTTCTCGGTGCGGTTAAGCATTTCGCGATTTCCGAACGCAAGGAAAGCAGGACGATGACAAAACAGGGTACGTATCGGCATTGGGATGTGTTCGCTCTGTTTTCTGAACTCGCAGTGGTAAGATAAAAGGAGTCACTTCCAGGTTGCATACGGAACATACGAGCCCGCCCAACCGTATACATCGGAACAGCCCAGCAATTTCCCGCGCCTCGCGGTGCAATTGTCAAGGAGCATTCTGGTACTTTGGCAAGCTGGAACTCACTGTGCTGCTGGGTTGGTTGATCGGGCAGTTCTTCGTAGACGGGCTCCTGGGAGGCGCTGCAGTCGTCGTAGACCGCACACTCAGGGGCCGACACGACCGTCGGCAGCGTGTCCGCGTACAGGGGTTCGTCCGGGGACCGTGCCGTCGGCCGGCTCTGTGGAGCTTTCTCTTCGCGGGGAGCCCTCGTTCCGCCGGTCAGGGAAACGTAGAATGTCGACGTCGATTCCTGCGCGTAATGGCCGGTTTTTGTGCTCTTAGTTATTCATGAATAGATCATCATAACTTACAGCGCGACTGGGACAAAAAGAAACTCTGTCTATCCTTGTCCCATGCAGTCGCGCTGTAAGTTATGATGAGCTCTTAACCACTCGCCAAATTGTCCATTTTGCTATCCATGAACAGTTTCAGCACAATATTCTTGATTGAGCTGGTCGTTCCATGCTGGTAATTATTAAATAGCATGAACGAGACGAAGACAGAAGAAAAGGTGTCGTATGTGTGCTTTTTGTTTCTTCTGCCCTTGTCTTGTTCGCGCTATTTGGTGATTGACACCATGAATAGTCGTTTTCTGCCTTTGACGACCATTGTACTTGTCCCCATCCCCATGAATGCTGGAGCGTCTCTTCTCCGGCGTTTGCTCTGCTAGAGCGCAAAGAGTGGAGAGTTCTGCGTGACGAACTTGTCCCGATTTTCTTAACTTGCAGCGGAGTATGGTTTCACTTATGGAGAAAGTGGTCTTCCCAAATCCACTGCTACTCCATAAGAAAGAGAGACGAAGTGTGTGTGTGTGTGTGGGGGGGGGGGGGGGGTAGAAAATGTCAGCGTGCAACGAAATCAATTGTAGCGAAGAAGAAAGGACAGACCATGAGGCAATAAAACCACAAGGAGAATAAAACTGGCTGATTTCTGCCTGCTCCTTGCTCCTCCACGTTGGTCAGGCAACCGGTCTTGTGGCCAGTGGCCAAAGAGTGTTCATTCATTGGCCAACGCTTGGCCGATGGCTGATGGCCAGTGGCCATTGGCCAATGGTCAGAGGGAGGCCAGTCATCAGCCAATCTCTCGCCACTGTCTGGCCACTGGCCAAAGGACCATTGCCAGCCATTGGCCAATGCTTGGCCAACTCTCTGCTGTTTGGGGAGCTTGTTGTGAGAACTGGGAGACGGGATATATCCCGTCTCCCTGTGTTCCGACGTCCCGCAGCGGCGGGACGTCGGAGTCACATGACATGGGGACGTTACCTTTGCCGGCTGCAGTCTCTGAACGATGGTGACGCCACCAGGACTTGCGGGCATGGCCGCCGGAGCGGCGAACAGGGCCCTCGCCGAGTCGCCGTCCAGCTGAGGCGCAGAATGCCGCATCCGGGGCCTTCGCTTGGCGGCACCCGTCCGTCGGACCGGGTAGCTGCCGCTGAGTCTCCCGTGCGAGCTGATCAGCACCCGAGTGCCCGTGCTCGTCTGGCTGGTCACCATCACCGTGTTCTCAGCAGGACCTTCTGCGTAGAGTCGGAGCGACAGGGGGTTGGGGGAAAGCTCTCGCTGGGCCCCATAACTTCTTCTCAAAACGCACTTAACGGTAGCGGGTGGTCGCGACAAGTTTGGATCGGGGAGGCTAACGAGAAAACATCATCACTGTATACTATTTTGTGGCGCGTTTGTTTAAGACAGCGGATAATTAGACAGCCCCAATGGCAGTGATGGAAGTGCTGCGCCAAATTGCGGCATGAACGAAAGTCTGGTACATCGTGCGCCAAAACGCCATTTTTGCTAAGCATTGCGCCATTCCTGCGCCGAGATGGGCTTAGAGCAACATGAAATTAATATTTTATTATTGGTCGACCCTAATATTCAGCAAAGTAGAAGAAAATAAAAATTTTACGAGTACGAATTTCACGGCGTCTCAACTGAACGTATAGTTCGTTTCGCCTTAGGTCGCAGCACAGTCGTAGGCTCGAGCACATACAGCCAGAAACAGACACACTAAATGCGCAAGTCAAGGGACATTCCCTGCACTTGATTGGTTTCGCCGATGAAGAACGCGTACAAGAAGGTGACGAATGCCACAATGTCGCGCTCTGATGTTGCGAATCAACCGGCCAGAGCCGTTGATGCTGAGCTTCAAGCGCTCTGGCCGGTTGATGCGTTGGCTTGTTGATCGCCGACATCGTCTAATTTTCCAGACGATGTCGTCGATGTCAGGAACTAGGAGTTCCGAGAAAAACTGTGCAAAAATAGTAGGATTGACGATTGTAGCTACCGCGATAAAGCAGAACCAGGGTCTTGTACTCCTGGTAAGATCGCTCGATTATCACGCCTACCACATGCCTTCGTTCGGTGGCCGCTCGCGTCAACCATCACCACCTCTCACCAGCGTGCGCGCGTCGAGCTTCACCGCTTTGCACCGGAGTGCTAGGGTGCAGCGGTTGACACGGGGGAGCGCCTGGCTTAGCGCCATTGGGATTATTACGGGTCAACCTTATTTGTCCTAATTATACGTTAATTTCTAATTAGGAAAAAAAAATAAAGACTGATCAGAGAAGGAGAGAGAGAGAGAGAAGAAAATACGGGTCTATATATATGTCAATAAATACCTTAGTCACGGTAGCTCCTGTGCAGCTGTCGATCGAAAGAGAAAGACCTTTTGGGTTTGTGTTTTTGCAGTTTATGATATTAGAGTTTTGAGGTTGGTAGGTTCGTTAAACTTACGGTACGCATGTTTATTGGTAGACGTGTTAGCGGATATGTGGGTTCTTGCTGGCATTTTACACAAGTGATATTTACAGGCTAAGCAAACTACCGAGTGTAAAATGGGGAGGGAGAGAGGATATATCCCAATGAAGTATTGCGCTGATTCACTGTTCAACCACTTCTTAATACCCATTATAAATTAAACTTACTCTGACTAGAGACGTATTTAAGAAGACTGTGTTCATTTTACGCCCTATCTATCCTTATCACAAACGGTAATAAACAATATGCTCGAGTATCAAAGAGGAACCCTATAGATCGCTATCATAAATGAACTCATTTAGAGATGCAATCACTTTTTCATTCTCAAGTGACGTGTAACAGATGTCATCTGCTCCAAAAGCGTCACTGGCTGCTCCAAATCAATATTTTGCCTGCTACAAAACAAAAGATCAAATGCCCCTTCCATCACTGCAATGGGTGTCTGGTGTCTTTGCTGCATTCGCGGCTTGTAACACCTTATGCACCGTATCCAGTCTACCCATTCGGTACAGAGAGCGGGAGATGAACCGTAAGTGTGTTTTCCTAGCCACGAGCCGCAAGTAGGTTTACCAACTCGCCGGATCAGGAGTAATACATCGCATATGCAACGAAGCTGGCAACCGCAATTTGTAAAGCTAAGTATGGCGGCACTCGCACAGTATATCCCCGTTTGATGCCGCGCGGCCACATGTGGCTGCATCCGAGCCTCAAATGTATGTAAACCAAGAACCACGTGACGCCGTACTATTTCAAGCACGCGCAGTCTTTCCTCCTGTCCAGTTAGCATAATGATGACGGTCCTCACGCGGCGGTTTTCTTGGGCGAACCCTATTGTTTTCCATCTTCCTGTCGGCGGTCCGCCACGGGTGCAACAACGAGACCGACTGCCGTTCGCCGATGCTCCATTATAAGCGTCTCGGGCAACGAAAATGGACGCCGCTCCCTTTACAAAACGTACGGCACACTTTCCGCGTTTCATCGTCGGCGTACCGCAGAAGACGGGACCGCCTGGCCGCCGCCCCAGCGGGAGCAGACAGAAGATGAACTGCGAGAAAGAGCGATTGGCGGAGCCGGTCCTCGTCAACTTATCGCCGCAGCAACTCCCGTAAAGAATCTCTTGGAAGAAGCGAGCTTGAAACGAGGGCGCTTCCCATCGGGACGCTTTTGTCTCCTGCTTTTGCATAACGGCTTCGCGTGGGCCAGCGGAGCGCTGCCATAGTGAGCGCGTCGTGACGTCTTGCAGACCACCGCGGGACCGACGGCAACCAGTTCTTGGCGCCGCCGTCGTCGTCTTCAGGACGGTGCAAGCTTCTCTACCCGATTCGGCGCCTATTGTTCTCGTTAAATTGCAGCGGCGGCGGCAGCGGTGGTGGTGGTCTTTTGAAAAAGGCAGTTCTGGGAGTCTTCAGGCGGCTAATCTCCAGGGTCGGTGCGTGCCCTCTCTCCCTCTCTTTCTGCACTGTCCTTAGAGTCCCGTTCGAGTCTTTTCAAGTCTGAAGACTCCGTGGCTTGGTGGTTGGAGGGGCGATCATCGGAGACGCGGTACAGGTCACCGCACTTTCGTGACGATCGCACACGTTTTCAAAATACTTCGGGTGTATACGGGGTCGGACTGTCACGGGGATATGCCAACACTGCAACCCAGGATCAGTTGTCTTTAGGTTGTAGGGCTTCGAGTCCTCCAGGCAGAGCACGAGAGAAATAATTTTGACGAGTCGTGGAGTTGGGCTAGCTAGCTTACCATAAAAAGCAGCACGAAAAGTCTGAGGACAAGTTGAAGGAGCACATACACACAGCGCTGTTTCGAATATTCTGGTGATAAATAGACCCTTTCCGAAAGTCAGTCTACCCACCTTGTGCAGAGCCAGACCCGACGCTCTAATGGCGGAACTACACTGTTTCTCCACACCAGAAAAATCGAACGTCTTCGAAAGCATAGAGCAGAAGAAGGAAAAGATGTTGGTCGTTTCACGTCACCTTCGATGCACGAAATCGAGGGTGCTTGACTTAGCCGCGCATGATCTCCTATCACCGCCATTAGAGCGGCAATATTGGAGCTTTTCGGACTGCCACAAGAGGACTCTGACTTTTGAAAAGGGTCTATTAAAAAGGAAGCGTTCGCAGGGTGCCCGTGGCGAGCCGGCACGTTCCGGGACGGACAGTGGTGGAGTACACGCGATGCGAATGCCCCAGTTTTAGGAGTGAGCAGGTCACTTACAGTAACGTTTTGTTCTTGCATCCGCAAAGTAACGTTAATTCAGTCTTTGCTACCTGATAGATGGCGGCAGTGTGCGAGTTGATTTCTCGTCGTATGCGATTAGAAGGGTATACGCAACACACTCAAACGCAAATGTGTGAACCAGCCTCAAAAGTGAATCGCTCTCTTATAGTTGCGTAATAATTTAACGCTCCATGTCGGCTCCAGCTCGCCCATCGGCCCTAACCGAAAGTAGAGCGCACACGCCGTCGACCGTCAAAGCTCGAGCGGCACGAAAGCAATCGAGGCGGGAACACAACTTGAGTGTTCTTCTGTCTTCGCAAACAAAGACTGCAGGATCCGGTTGGACGCCTTGCGTCAACAGTCGTCCTGTTACTGCAGGATCGACGAGAACGAAGAAACCGGGATCAGCTCCTGGCGCGAACGGACGCCTTGTGTTACGCACGCTCCAATTCCTGCTGTTTTGTTAGGTGAGAGTGGTGGAGGGACTTTGGTTTTTCGACCGCGACAGGTTTCGACTTGGAGTGGGTCGTTTAGCTTTTCTACGTCTCCATGGGGCGCCTTTGGGCAGTACAACATTTTACCTTTTTACGGCGAATGAGGTAATTGCTAGTTGGTTAGTCATTTGGGGTATATAGAACCATGCTGAATCGGGTGAAACCAATGTTCATGCTTGTTACATCCGAAATGAACCTGCAGGATCCCTGGGTTCTGCAGCACCAGCTTTTGCTCCTCGTGCCCGGAGTTGCAGTCGCTGTGGTGCGATAATAGTAACACAGGTCTGGGTCTCGTTTGGCACTTTAATGATACACCGACAGGGTTTGCAGACTATCTTTTGTATGATGCATTAGCACTGCAGCGTGACCACTCCTTTAGGGTTCCCACTAGCAATGACGCAGGAATAATAATAGTAACTATTAACCGTTCACGTGCCACTGGTTGCTTTTGTCCGTAAATACAACTTCCGCGGGAAAGAAAACCGGGCCACGCCAAGATTGTCCTTGGTCTTTCGAAGATGAATGCGGCTCTGACTCCAACTTTCTGTCGCCTCCGTAAGCTCAAGTGTAGGGTTATACGCCAGACGATAGATGCCGAAGTGACCGCTACTTTCGACTGCGACCGGTCATCAACTGCCCGGCGCAGTATAAGTTCCACAAAGGGACAATGGAAAGCGAAATGATCCGCATCAGATCGTCTTTTATATATGCTCCCCTATTCTGAGTGAGTGGCTTCATCAGCAACGGTTCCAGTGGATAGAAATCTGCCCATTGCCGTGGCCATACCCACGTTATCACACACGCGAACCCGGCTTACGGTACACGGATAAGCATCTTATTTCTGGGGCAAGACCGACGCATGCCTTTTTTTAGGGGCGAACCGGCACGTTCCATGAATTATGAATTCACGCCACACGGAACCAACGAGATAAAAAATAAAAAAGAAAGGAAAACTCTAACGGGATTTTTCTTTTCCTCTTCTTTCGTTCATCACATTTTTATTTTTGTATTATTATGGTTGTTGTTACTCCTGCAAG